CGCATCTTTTTCTAGAAACACGCGCAGTTTTTATGAAACCCAACCAGGTCCACGACCATCTATAAATATTAGTGACACCTCATAAAAACTGAATATTTATAAATCATTTAATGTAATTTATTTGCTAAAAATATCCCAGAGCTAAACTTGATTAAAATTATTTGTTTACCCGATTTGTAGTGAATAGATTAAACGTGTTTCTTTGGCTTGTTCTAAATCAAGATGAAATATGTAATTCTAGCTTATTTTTTCAATTCGACATAGAACCGACAATCATTAACATAAAATGTTATTTATCTACATTATACCTATATGTTTTAATTTTATTTGCCGTTCATATTTAATAGAAGGTGCGATTTCAAATATTTATATTACTAATAACCAACGTGTACTTATTTTTATATCGCGCCAAACAAATTTACTTAACATAATTTTCGATCGATACAAACAACCTGACCAATCAACGAAAATTGGTTCCGGTTCAAAAACCTAGGTCACTGCGTAGTTGTTTGTCACAAATTGTGGTCACTTTAATATTTCAGTAGATAATTAATATAATATACAAGCACTATTAAGTACCGGAAATTCAGGGTTTCGATTTTTTCGAAAATTTTTTTTTTTTTCAGAGGGTATATAAAACCAAAAAAAAAAAACATTTGCGTCGGTGTTCCGTTGCTTAAATCAAATCCAGTGTATTGTAGATTTACGTTTAAACAATTAGCTACTATTGGCTATATGTTGCACTGCCTACTCATCTACGTAATAAGACATGATAGAACTACTAGTGTAGGCAAACATTCTATAGGTACATATAAACGCGACTTGATATTTTTCAAGATTATGAGTTTCTTTAAACAAATGAATGCAAGTAGAAAATCAGACAGACTTAACCGATCTGAAGGGTGCAACAACGCAATTCGCTAAAAAAACAGCGGCTGTGTGCGCCGACTTATCTACCAAATCCCCAAATCTAGAAGATTGTGGGGATCATAGTTCGATAACGGACAAAAAAAAAATTACGAGGAAACGAACACAATACACCTATATGTCAGCGATAACCTTATCACTGCTCTAACAGTGGAAACATTTCGGGACTGCTATAATTGAAAGTAACTCGTGTTTCTGTTACAAAACGGCCTGCGAAAATATCGTGTGTTAAATTTGCGCGCCGCCCAAGGTTCGCCTGTGTTGGGTAAGTACAATAGATTAGTGTTAATTATCGGATTTGTGTTGATGTAACCGTGACGCACGATTTTTTTCCCTAACTCGTAGCAACAGTGGAAATATCGGGAAAATTATCTCCTTGCTGCTGAACGAAGGAAATTCTCGCGTAAATATACTTTTAGTTAATTCAGTGAGCTTCTTTGGGAAGCAGAAGGTACGTCCTTTAAAAAGTTTTTATGGGGTTAACCTAGAGATTACACGATATCAGCCTCGTTCAAGGTTGTAAACAGTAGGTATTATTTACCTTCAGTTGATAAGGAACGAGAACGACGAGAATCTAGACCGAACCTGTTTGCAGCACTGAATGATACTATGTTGACGCGTAAGTCCGGAGCATTTCAAATATATTTCTTTTTAGTAAACAGGCCTAATCAAGGACATACAGGGGACATACCTTGAATCGGGGTCATATTTGTATGGAGACTACCGTTCACCTTTTTATAAACACGTATATTACTTTGTTTTCTCAAATTTCGTCGAACAAACATTTTTGTAACCTTTTTTTTAGTAATTTTCATCCCCCGCCGCTGGACGTATCCACATACCAACACCAATATTAGCATTTAATAAATCATGTAAACAATTTTTTTTTTAACAGTAGAATGTTTTTTCTCAATGTTCGGGCGCTTCGTCCACATTGATATCAAGAAAATATGGTGACTTTAAAATAACACGTCGCTAAACTATACAAAAGCAATCTGTTTTAATAAATTATTTTCCAATTGAAAAAGGCAACAACTGGCAACGCAGAGAGTGCACTAATACAACTTACCACGCTAATTGCGAGTGGCCCGGTGTACGCTGCCTAGTGGCGGAATAATCAAGAATCAGAGGCTGTCTAAAAAACTAATTGTAACTCGATTATTTATTTGATAAAAAAAAATTCAGATTCGTATTTTGTCTTCAAATAACCAAGTAAAAACTACATTTTTTGATAAATTTTGCTTATTTTTTTAAACTAACACGTAACACGTATCCATTAGTCAAATGTACCCCCTCTCTCCTCCTTCTGGATTCACACCGATATCATCGCGTGCAAAGGAAAAGTGGCACGGTTACGTACGCGAATAGAAATGACATTAAGTATACGGTGGATGAGGACGCGGAAATCTGCCATAAAAGATTTCTGCACTGCAATCGCCGTCTTGTAACTTCGATCAGGGGTAACGACCTCGCTTACGCGCCTGTAAATGAGACTATGTAGGTATAAAGGCCGTATTGCTGCCGACCAGAAGGTTTGTCCGCTGTACTTTCTATTTAGGATTTTTCTACCTTTTACATTCCCAAACGGTACTGACAGCTGATTTGACGCGCTGAAAAACCGGGGTTAAGTTTCTCGAAGAAAAATAAATTACTGCGATTATTTCTTTTAAAATGGACTCCAGGGACCGGCCATTTAAAGTTGACAAACGGTACATGACGAAACGCGTTTTTAATCTGCACGTGAAATTAAAAAAAACTTTTAATTTGAAGTAACAGATTTTATGTAACACGCTATTGCAAAATGGCATTTAATTTTTAATTGATTATTGCATTGCAACTATCATTAAAAGACAATTTTTATAAATTATATACTATGTTATGCTTCTTCAAAAATATCACGCAGGAAGCAGTGGCGGCTCGTGACATTGAGAATAGGTGAAGCATATTCATTGATTGACTAAAAAGAAAAAAAAAGCGCTGCAGGCGAAAATTTTCAAATTGTCAAGGTCAAACGGCTGTAAATGAATCTGGAAATAAATTTTTAGTTGCATTTGCAATATATCCGAAAAACTGACGTTCGTGAGAAGGATTTTCATTTAGATTTTATATAAAATAGAAGTATTAGTTCGGCTTGTGGACTTCTGCGAACATGAACACACACCGTACATGTAAGTTCCTGTGGTTACCACAGCCTGGCGTGACTTTCCCAAAAGTGTTAAATCCCCCCTTTTTCCACACACCCGACTTTACACCTACAATTAAACACGGCATACAGAAAAGTTTTTTTAAATAAACACTTCCACACAACCATTTATACTCCGAATACCATTCATTCCGAAACTTCCGAACGTACACATTGTCTTTTGACTTCCCTTTTTTCCATATCGAGAGAATAAGGCACAGGTCTATCGCAATTTAAAAAATCCTTTTTGTCCTCAATTTTCCATCTGGAAAATGGTGTTTCCAATAAAATACATACCTACTGCATCATACATAGGAAACATTTCTACAATTATTATACAAAACAAATAATTTTAGAAGGCGTTCACCGCGCACTATTCTGTTTATTTCTGAGTATTAAACAAACACGATACATTTTCAATACAGGGTGTTTCTAAAATAGGATTCCAAACTTCTGCTGCGTTTATAACTCATTAAAATAAGCCAAAAAGTTCATATTAACATGTGCCCTAAAACGCAATTTTAGGAAGTTATATGCCCTTAAAAGGGCTCAAACAAAACTGTTTTTTTTTCTGTTATTGACAAAACGGTTGCAAATAAATAGAAAAAAAATTATGGGTTTTACATAACTTTTTACGTTAAATAACATGGGCTACTCCGTTTTTCGACATGCCAATCATATGCGTCCCATTTAGGTTGGTGAAGGGGGTTTTCGGCCCGTAATTTTTTTTGTTTCAATTTTTTACGATTTTCTCTACAGATTTATAAAATCTTAACAATTTTACGTAAAAAATATTATCTTTGTCCAAATCGATATTTCCAATGGTTTTCGAGTAAATTGAGTTTGAAAATTACTCTGCTCTTTAAGTTATTAGGCCAAAAATTACAAAAATCTGTTTACCATGGCAAATAAAAGACTGACGTTGCCACAACGTTTAACAATTTAAGTTATTGATAAACTGTCAATTGAGCTTTGCCGTGTTTCCTTTATTTATTAAATGATCGGATCCTTCATAACTGCAATTTATTTGAAAAAAACCAGTTTTGTTTGAGCCCTTTTAAGGGCATATAACTTTCTAAGGGTGCGTTTTAGGGCACATGTTAATAGGAATTTTTTGGCTCATTTTAATGAGTTATAAACGCAGCCGAAGTTTGGAACCCTATTTTAGAAACACCCTGTATAGAATTATTCCTAAATTATAAAATTAATATAAAAATAAAAATAATTTTAAATTGCATAACCAAACGGAAATTTTAGGTAAAGCGGTGCGTCACTTGCGTCACCTGACGAGCCACCACTGGCAGGAAGAAACCATTGATCTGCAGTCAATATATCCAACTCCCGCGAAAGATCTAGCTAGACATTTCCTGGTGCACACATGCAAACGCGAAATTGACAGGATTATATTTAATTTTGTAGGCCGCCCTGTTGAAACGTTTACTTTTTAAATATATTTTGTTTTTTTCTTATATCTTTTACTTGACCTATACCATTACGTTTCTACGTGTTCACTATAATAGGGTGAATAACACCTGCAAAGTAAACAAGGTCTTTTAAAAACAATACTATCAATAACAATAACGCTTGGAATATGAAAATACGGGTACAATGATAAGTAATTTTATTAAGTAAAAAATAAATTAGGTATTTACCAGTTTACACACAGTACAACCTAAAAAAACAACATAGGTGAAGGACAGCAAGATATTATTCACAAAACAGGAAAAATCGTATGGTTTCAGCTGTTCTGTTGTACTGTTTTTATGTTGTTTATGTTTCTTATAATTCTTTTTACTTTTATTATTTTATAATTGTCATCATTTATCATGCATCTGTTCGATCGCGTGCGTCGTCTTAAAAGTTGATTTAACGCTGCTCCCTTTTGTTGCAGACTTCGAAAGAGAGATTCCCGGGCGGTCCGGCAGGTCGCAGTAGTGCCCCCAGGAGGTATGACGCTGCCCATCCAGCCGTTGTGCGGCGGTAAGCCGTCGTTACAGCTGCGCGGGGGCGGCGCACAGGGGCGGCGCAGGCCGGCCTGTCTGAGCGCCGCATGGGCCGATCCGCCGATCAGCAGGCGGGAGCGGCGCCGAGCGATCTGCTCGTGGTCCGTGGGATACGGCACCCTCTCCGAGGCGGAGGAGACCGCCGTCGCAACGATAGGCAACCAGGACAACACAACTTTCAAGAAAGGTACATGGGAAATACGTCAATTAAATTTAACTTTTCGTAACATCGGATACCGATTTGATCGAATCAGTGAAATAATAAATAAAAGTTATACAAAAAAATGAAAACGATGTAAAAATAACTACGTATTAAACTATTAATTTTTTATTAACATGTGATTAATATTCCTGCATGCATTAAAAAGGAAAATTATATTAAAATATTATTGTACTTATTGTACAGGGTGTATCATAATTACTAGCGCAAATTGAAATAGCTGTAAGTCACGATACTAGAAGTAAAAAAGTCTTAGTAAAACGCATCGTTTTCAGGATATATAGGGGTGCCAAAATTTTTTTTCAGATTTTTTACGATATCAGAAACCGTTTGAGATACAAAACTACACTTTTTATCATTAACATTAGCTATACTTTTTACGACTCTGGCAAAATTGGCATTTTGAAAGCCTGTTTTAAACCGCCAATGTTTTCTACGCAAAAAAGGTAGTCATCATCAAAAGCTCTAGCGCTAACCGTTTTGAAGATATATGGCGTTTTCTGATGGAGAACATGAAAGAAAGTGGCAGCATGATAAAATAGTTATTTACACCACAAAGGAGGTAAGTATTATTTACCAGTCCAGGACGATTTTGCGCCCGAGCGGAGCGAAGGCTGGCAATAGAGTCCGAGACTGGTAAATTATACTTAACTGCTGCGTGGTGTATAACATTTTATGTGCTTCCAGTTCTTTATAGTTCGTGAAATAAAGATTAGATTTTATTTTTTGACATTTCTTAATCAATTGACGTTATTCGAAATCTTGCAAAGTCGCCTTGGTTGTTTAGATTTTGTCGTTTCTAAGGTGTTTATAAACAAAGCTACATAAAAGTTGCAATTTTGCTGATTTTTAAGTATTATTTCTAAATGAGTGATTTTCAAATAGAAAGTGCAGCAAATGCTGCAAATTTTTATTGCCCGAGAAGTCGAAAGTGTGCTACGGACGAGCATATAGAAATTCCAAAGAATGGTGCCAAAACAAAACTGGTGTTTCTGAAATGTCACTGCTAGTATATTTCATGGAGAAATCAAGAACTTTAAAGTCACCGGCGAATTTGTAGAGTGAATACTCAATGATTAAGTCAACTATTTTCATAGAGGAGAACGTGGATATATCAAAACACCCCAAGCTGAGAGCATTTTTGAAACGTATGAATGACAGCTATACACCTAAAAAGTCGAACGTTTTTACAAGAGAACAAGTCAACGATTTTCTCGTTCAGGCATCCGATAACACATTATTTGCTAATGAAGGTAGTCAAGGTCTTAGGCATTGCACGAGCATGCCGTTCTGATAAGTTATGCAAACTTACTTTGGACGTCAATTTCAAAAATTTCCATAACATTAGTGTTGTTACAATTCCAGATCCTAAAAATGGTTTGTCACGTACGTTTACAATTACTTCTCGTCTATGTTCCGTTTCTCACCTAGAAGAAATTTCACGCTTTTTTATGCGCTGTCAAGCAGGTAGATGTTACAACTAACCAGTCGGCAAAAATACCCTTTCTATAATTCCTAATAAGATTGCACAGTTTTTGAAATTAGAACATCCTGAAACATATACAGGCCATTCATTCCGAAGAACATCGGCAACGTTACTGGCTAATACAGGAATTGATGTATTAGCAATCAAGAGGTATGGTGGTGGAAATCAGCCACAATTGCAGAAAGTTATGTTGCTGACAGTAATGGTAAATTATACTTAACTGCTGCGTGGTGTATAACATTTTATGTGCTTCCAGTTCTTTATAGTTCGTGAAATAAAGATTAGATTTTATTTTTTGACATTTCTTAATCAATTGACGTTATTCGAAATCTTGCAAAGTCGCCTTGGTTGTTTAGATTTTGTCGTTTCTAAGGTGTTTATAAACAAAGCTACATAAAAGTTGCAATTTTGCTGATTTTTAAGTATTATTTCTAAATGAGTGATTTTCAAATAGAAAGTGCAGCAAATGCTGCAAATTTTTATTGCCCGAGAAGTCGAAAGTGTGCTACGGACGAGCATATAGAAATTCCAAAGAATGGTGCCAAAACAAAACTGGTGTTTCTGAAATGTCACTGCTAGTATATTTCATGGAGAAATCAAGAACTTTAAAGTCACCGGCGAATTTGTAGAGTGAATACTCAATGATTAAGTCAACTATTTTCATAGAGGAGAACGTGGATATATCAAAACACCCCAAGCTGAGAGCATTTTTGAAACGTATGAATGGCGGCTATACACCTAAAAAGTCGAACGTTTTTACAAGAGAACAAGTCAACGATTTTCTCGTTCAGGCATCCGATAACACATTATTTGCTAATGAAGGTAGTCAAGGTCTTAGGCATTGCACGAGCATGCCGTTCTGATAAGTTATGCAAACTTACTTTGGACGTCAATTTCAAAAATTTCCATAACATTAGTGTTGTTACAATTCCAGATCCTAAAAATGGTTTGTCACGTACGTTTACAATTACTTCTCGTCTATGTTCCGTTTCTCACCTAGAAGAAATTTCACGCTTTTTTATGCGCTGTCAAGCAGGTAGATGTTACAACTAACCAGTCGGCAAAAATACCCTTTCTATAATTCCTAATAAGATTGCACAGTTTTTGAAATTAGAACATCCTGAAACATATACAGGCCATTCATTCCGAAGAACATCGGCAACGTTACTGGCTAATACAGGAATTGATGTATTAGCAATCAAGAGGTATGGTGGTGGAAATCAGCCACAATTGCAGAAAGTTATGTTGCTGACAGTTTAAGTAACAAAAATGAAATAGTCAATATGATTCTTTACAATGAGTCTTCAACTCCAGGTTTTAGTAGTACGTCGCATCATGCTGTTTTAATGCATCAGTCGGATAATATTGAGCCGCCGGAGACTGAAATTGAGCAGTTAAATCATTTTGAGAAAAATGTGACAATTAGTAAACGTGAGAGGAATAATTATCCAGATTTTATAAATATTACTAAATGTAATGAGTGTACAATTACTATAAATATTCATTCATAATAATTAATAAAATGTAATGTTTATAACTCGAAATCCCTAGGGAGGTAAGTTACCTCAGTTACCTCCCGTTGTCCATAGCAACTTCCACTTCTACGATAAAATTCACTTATCTTCTTAAAAATAATGTATTAATAGTTTATTTACTATAGTGATAGCAGATAAATATTTCAAAACTAAGCAAATAATAAAAATACAACAGTTATTGAAAATGGCCTCTTCCTGAGCGACTGACGTATCTGTTCGAAAATGCCCGGAAATTTGCGTTATTAATTATACACCCTGTATTTATGAGAATACTTTTTATTTCATTAGAACGAAGTAAATACTATTTATATAATTATTGATGATATGGAATTCTGATGATATTAATCAAGGATGACCGGATCGACGAGCTTATTGTTTGCATAAATATTATTATCAAATAATTCAATTCAAATTCGTTTTGTAACTTCTGCTATTGTCGTTTTTTAAATATTATTTGCTTACGAGATTAGTACCATTAATTTATAATTAAATAAAAGCTTTTGTAAAAATAACCTGCCGGGATCACTCTTTAAAATGACTTTATCATTGTGTTTAAGAATGATGAGTCTTTAATTTCAAGGAGATACTTTTATTTGACTACTGAGTAGTCATTGTGGTCTTAAAAAATATCACAATTAATTTTTCTTTTCTTTACAGGAAAAGTGGCTGATCACGCCACGCTGCTGGAAACGCGCGGCCGCCGTTTAGTCACCGCCGTCGCCGTACCCCATGCCGCTTCGCCCTCCACTCCGGCTCCCGCTCGTAGAACCCGCTCCCGAGTCGACCCCCTGCTGGCCATGCCGGGCATCAAGTCGCTGTTGAGCGGCGGCGGTCGTCGGCGCAACAGCGGCGACACGCAGGCGCCGCTCGTCAAGAGGGCCAACGGCATCGGCGTCGCCGCCGCCACCGGCGAATCCGTCCCCGTGGTCAAGTCGGCCAGCAGCCTGGCCAGCCTGAGGAAATGCGAAACCGTGCTGGCCCTCACCGGATACCTCAGGTAGGCGCGACTCAGAACGAGCTAAATATTTTCGTTCACTAAAAATTTATGTCAGTTGATAAGTTCCGAAATTTCCCAGTTTATAAAGCTAGAAACATTTGTAAAAATCTGGATATGGCATTAAAATATACTTCTGCAAAAAATTAAGGGAGCAAAAAAATTTTTCGAATTTTTAGTGATTTTTCAGAATGCTGTATCTCAGTTAAAAATGATTGTATCAAGGTTTTAAAAAAAGCATTTTAAAGCGCCGAATGTCTAGTTTCCAAATTTCTTAATTCAAAATTTTTAGGAGCGACAGTCATCGCGAAATTCTAAGAAATAAGACTAAAAATTTTTTTTCAATTTTTTGCGTTTTTTTTCTCGGTCCACGGGCTTGGAAAAATTTTTTACACAAAAATCATGATATGGACTTGATAGCCTGTTCATTCAGCTTTAATTTCTTTTTTTAAATTTTTCTCTACGTTAATTTGACCCGGAGATATTCGACTACGAATACAAAAGCATCCTTTTGGCTTTAACCATCGATATCTCAGCAACTAATGATCAGACAGAAAATTGACGGGCAGTTTCGAAATCTCGAATAAATTTCCTACAAGGCTATGTAGCGTTCTTGGAAGAAAAAAATTTTCTTTCATCCTCGACATTAACTTGAAAAAAGTGAAAAAAAGTGACTTTTTGACTTGTTTTGCTAAGTCGACCGCATCTTTGCTAATATCGATGGAGAGTCTAATGCTTGTACGAATTTTTACACCTCGATGTACCCCCAAAAGCTCCGTAAATGGGCAGATCGATCTATCGAACGGTTTTTCAAAAATTTTTTTTTTTTCAAATTCAATGAGCAAAAAATGCCCAATTGTGAAAGAATTGAAAAAAAATCAAATTTTTCATTTTTACGAACGTTACAGGGTGCTCAGAAATGTAAATTTTGCTCCTTTAAATTTTTCTGAAATTTTGATTAAGCGGTCCGGAAAAACCGTTCGATAGATCGATCTGCCCATTTACGGAGCTTTTGGGGGTACATCGAGGTGTAAAAATTCGTACAAGCATTAGACTCTCCATCGATATTAGCAAAGATGCGGTCGACTTAGCAAAACAAGTCAAAAAGTCACTTTTTTTCACTTTTTTCAAGTTAATGTCGAGGATGAAAGAAAATTTTTTTCTTCCAAGAACGCTACATAGCCTTGTAGGAAATTTATTCGAGATTTCGAAACTGCCCGTCAATTTTCTGTCTGATCATTAGTTGCTGAGATATCGATGGTTAAAGCCAAAAGGATGCTTTTGTATTCGTAGTCGAATATCTCCGGGTCAAATTAACGTAGAGAAAAATTTAAAAAAAGAAATTAAAGCTGAATGAACAGGCTATCAAGTCCATATCATGATTTTTGTGTAAAAAATTTTTCCAAGCCCGTGGACCGAGAAAAAAAAACGCAAAAAATTGAAAAAACATTTTTTTAGTCTTATTTCTTAGAATTTCGCGATGACTGTCGCTCCTAAAAATTTTGAGCTAAGAAATCTGGAAACTAGACATTCGGCGCTTTAAAATGCTTTTTTTAAAACCTTGATACGATCATTTTTAACTGAGATACAGCATTCTGAAAAATCACTAAATATTCGAAAAAATTTTTTGCTCCCTTAATTTTTTGCAGAAGTGTATATTATATGCATTTGACGTGCTTTTAAAATAACTATAGTTTTTTTCCGTATTTCGAATTGGCGGATTCAATATGGCGTCTATAATACCCAAAAGCCACTAAAATTCACAAGAAATCAGTACTAAAGATCGCGCAGCAATTAAATTTATTCCAAAATGCCTTGTTTGGAGTTTTCGTGGATTATGAATAATATTCTAGAGTTAATTCATCGAATCTCAAAATGGTGGATCCAATATGGCGCCCGTAGGGGTAAAAAAGTCACAGATATTATTAAGAAATCGATACTAACGATCCCAGAATCATTTATTTTAACTTAACAAGGCTCACTGGGAGGTTTTTTAAACCCGTAGTCTTAATTTCCAGATTGTCGAATCTCAAAATGGCGGATCCAATATGGCGCCCATAACAGGCATGAACTGCTAAAGTTCGCAGGAACTACCTACCTATGATTGAACAACGTCTGAATGCGCGCATCTCTGTTTTATATAAATCGTCGTAGTGCTTTCAAATTGCGTAGTGCATATTTTCAGCAAAACGCGTTAAGAAAAAATTTTAAAAACAACCTTTATTAAAACTCCAAAAAACATCGCACGTCGCTGCCTATGATTAATTCATCACAGTCGAAGTTTATTCAACTCTCAAGGATTTTTATTATTTTTTTTATGTTTCAAGAACGCGTAATGGATAGCGTCACAAAATTTTATAGGGTAATACTTACATTTAGTATGTACTTGCAAAACCATGTTAATAAATACGAGCGAGGTTAATATGCAGAAGTAATAAAAAACCGACAAATTAAACATAAAAAAATATGTAATGGTTTAATCTTATTATAACACGAATAAATAAAAAAATAACATAATACTTTGAAAGTTATGTTTAACGAAGTTGCAATTGAAATATGAATAAAAATTTTAAAATAGGTGTCGTAAAAAAGGCAGCGGCAAAAGCATTGTTAAGTTTGCAATGTGACTCCGAAAACCAACGTTGATCTTTATTTCAAATCCCATTTAAACTCTTTCTTAGTGCAGATAAACCTGTTCTAAAAAAAAATTATTTAATGCGTGCCTTTGGCCGCCAACATAATTGATTTATTATTCCATACTGTCTCAAACCAGACTTTGGATATCCTTACTTATTTACAGGTGCTTAAGTTTTAAACTTCTGAAGATTAGATAAAATGTTTAAAAAAATATATTAAAGAAAGCTTAGCCACAATCCACAATGATTTTATATTATATTCAGATGTAAACAAATGTTGCTTTTTCAGATTCATCGAAATTCTTACGCATTTAATTGTGGACTTTCTTTGCTCTGAAATAGATATGAGTTAATACCAACAATATTAACCTTACACTCCTCTAGAGCACGATTTCATAATATTTACGTGTCAGTTTGAGTCCCGGCCTGAAATTGTTGGCTCTGTTTTTGCAACGTGCACCTTTCATTCACTCCCAAAATTTGGATTTTGGGTTTGTTTTTCTTGTGACTTAATAATAATATTTCTTACCTTGCCCACTTCTGCAATCATCTTGCCAATACTCCAATCTCCAATACTGCGATGGTTCGTCTCCGTAGGATATCACTTTGTTGGCACATCCTGTAACAGACTGATGTAATGCACAATTCATAAGAGATAATTAATTTTAAAGATGCTTGCTTATTTTTTCATATTTTCTGGAATTAATTGTAGCCTACAGAAACTCTTCCGAAATTGTAATTTTTCACGACTGAGCCTGATGTTATCGGAACTACTTACAGGGTCTTTTTGTGAGGTTAGGAAGAGACAAAACAGTTTCGATAAATTTATTTATTTGGAAAACGGATTTATTAATTTAGGAAATAGGAATATAAACCTTCCAGAATATGTGTTGGGGGCTATTTCGTGATTTGAAAGACATCTTGATATAAAGGCTTATTAATATTAAATCCTATTTCACGTTGTGCCTTGTTCTATTGTATCTAACGAGCGTTCAAATAAAAACGTGGTCAAGTTGGTTCTGAAAATATGGACGTAGGGCGTAGCGTATAGCAAATGAACTTAAACGTCATCTGTCAAAGCGCTATATCGCCGCTATCAATTTGAATATTTTCGTTTTAAAAAGCGTTTAAAATGGTGTTTTCTCAAGAACAAAAAGTGTTTACCATAGAGTCCTACTTTAGAAATGGACGCAAGATTGATGGAATATGGAAGTATTCTATTCAAAATCAATCAATTTCCCGGCGTTGTTGAGTACAAAATTTTTCAAAGTGCAGTTCAGTGTTGTGTTAATGTTTTTCGTGAAACGGGCAGTGTAACAAGAAAAGAAGGAAGCGGCCGACCTAAAAAGCGGACTGAAGAATTAAAAGGAAATGTCCAACAAATAATGGAAAATGCGCCAAGAACTTCTGTACGTGTTTTATCACAAATGGTGGGAGTATCAGTCGGTACCTGCCACACAGTGTTAAAAAAAGCTCCTTTAATTGTTTGTTATTGTTATCACGATTATTCTTTAAAATAAAGTTATATAGTCATGAACGTTATTGAAACTGACAGCTGCTATACAGCTCGTTGAGAAATGAGGTTAAGTTGGTCGCTATAAGCTACTCCCTACGTCCAATGTGTCAGAGCCAACTTCGACCACGTTTTTATTTGAACGCTCGTTAAAAATTGCACATTTTAATTTAAATAAGGTCAAGGTCAAAGTAGAACCGTAAATTAAGTGAAGTTGCAGTAGTTCATTTGCATCTCTGCAACTAGGATCATTACAGGGACGGCATAATTTATGATCTTCGAGCATATACTATTGGAGGTAGCATGCCATTGCGAAAAGTGTGGCTGAGTGTACGAGAGAGGCAGACAATATCTCAGTACATGCTGTCTCACTCTAGCACGCCGCGATTGGCTGGAAATAAATGCTTCAACCAATCGCGGCGTACTAGATTGAGGCACTGAGGAACTGTCTGTCTCTCTCGCACATTCAGCCACACTTTCACAATGGCTTGGTACCTCCCGTCTCCGGTACTCCAGTAGTATATGCTCGAAATTTACGATCTCGTAAATAAGTCACTTGCAGGTTAATGGTTTCTTATAGTATTATAAATTTACAGAGAAACGCAGAATCGCCCCATAAAGGTATAAAATTTAATGTATTTAGTATTTTTTATTCAATTTATGACAACTTTTCGGCATATGCTATGCATCTGTTACACTGATATTAGATTTTTTCATAAATGTCAAGTGTCTACATTTATTTTTAGCTTTTATTAATATTTACACGTTGAAGTTAAAACTTATGTAGGCGCACTCGGTTTTGCCACACCACGCAGTTTGATTAAACGCAACCAAAGGAATTAGAACAGATGCTTTCGCGGTTCGCGTAGGTACAAATAAAATTTGGAGGTTTAGTCGAATTCAAATGATTGAAATGAACAACCGCACCAAATACCGACAGTATCAGTTCTTATTTTTACGGCCCACGATTGTTGCAAGGCTCTTTCAAAAGTAAGTTCGCAAGTCTTAACCAAAAAAAATATATCGCGAGTTTTATATTAAATATTATCATCAAAGAAGATATCTAAATTGAAATTTTCTTAAAATGAATTTTATAAATACCTAAAGCAACGCGCACAAATTGGTGGTTTCCAGAAATAATATCATTGACTTTATACAAGCTTTAATAGAACCTTAGAAATGGTTTATATTTACAAAAGCTTCAACCGTTAGGCAACACATATTCAGCAGGTGCTTTTACAAAGCAAAATTTATGGGGAACACTAAGTTCCTTTTAATAGTAGAAAGGTGTAAAAAGCAGTATTATGAAATTTTTCCAGATCATCGTCATCTTCAAGCAGCATAGAACCCCTTCAGCCGATCAACAGGCTGAGGAAATCCCCCCATGGGTCCCACTCGCGGATGTGCTCCCGCTGCTCAAGCCTCCTCACCTTAGCGTCGAGCTCGCGCTACTCCCTGAACTCCTCTACCGGTGGGTTCGTGCCCGTACCCCCAGAAGATCCCCCTGTGCTCTGCAAGCTTTGCCTTGCCGAGGTGCCTTCCAACAATGTAATGCGTATCCTGCAGTGCGATTGTGCCTTTTGTACGGAGGTAAGACTTCCACACAGAACAAAATGTCCCGTTTAAAGGTTTGGTGTTTAAGATTTATCGCCAGCTAGCTCTTACTGTTAAAAATGAACGTCGTTATTTTAACGATGCCTCATTGCTGCCAATGCAAGCAGAATGTCTTAAAAACCATATCCTTAGTTTGCTATATCTTTTAACTTGTTTTTGTTTAATTGTGCTTTTATCCACTGAGATTAATTTAAGAACATTCATTGTGTGTTTTTTTTTATAAAACGACCTACTGTTACACCAAAATTTGAATATAAACTAAAAGGACTATAAAGGTGTATTTTCTATTTTTGTTTTTATTAAAAAAAAGGAATTAAACAAATAAAACCATCTGTTAAAAGGTTCCCTTAATGTTTGTACTAAAGGATCACATTGGTTGGATTTTATTAACCCGTTATCAGTTTTATTTGTACAAAAAGTGACATTCATAGCCGCATAAATAGCTGATTGTTTATTTAATAACATATGTTTCTACTTGACAACTAACAGAAACATTTAATATACTGATTTTTTTAGAGTAGAAATGTAACATGAATTGTATACAAACTTTGATATAGAATTATTTCAGTTCGTAATGCAACATATTAACAATTTGAAGTTGTTTTTCTCGGACAAATTTTTTTAACATAAGTGTACAGTAACAAATATCAGACCTATTGCCATTAGTTGTAAAATAAAAGGTGTTTTTTGGAATTACAAAGTACTTAACAAACACAGGCGTCCGTACGGGTGCCACCAAATCAAAATATTTAATAATTTTTATTAATTAATTTGTGAAATAAACAATGAATTAAATTGGGGTGAAATCAATCAGAAGGGTTGCACATTGCAAAATATTTCTTTACTCATTCATTTGATTTTATTTAATTGGCATAAGACAAAAAATAATAAAATATTTTATTTTGAACAAACAGTGTTGATTAAAATTAAAATATCTATTCCTTGAAAATAACTTGTAACTTACTTAGGATTTTACAATAGATAAATAATTTTAAATGCATGAAGTGATATCGGAAACGGTGAGAGATACGAAGTAGCTTACATGGGAGCAAAGTTGCATAATCAGGGGACCAACATTATGCCTCTAAAAAATCAAGGCTAACATAATTAGTTTTCGAAATATTTGAAAAAAAACGAAATTTTGGAAACCCTTTTTTGTTTCATTTCAGCCTTGTGTGAGGTGACATTGAAAAAAGAAGAACACTTTCTCATGACAACTTTTTGCCCTCTACTGAATGGCATAATCAATTTTTATGTGTAACGTTTCATCTCTCCGGACCATCATCAATTTCATTTTTTAAATACGACCCTGGAAATTTCATTACATTTTTTTGCAGGCATTCTTGACCGCCAATACTGTACTGTCTCAGTCCGAACCAGATTCAGACATTTTGTCTCGAAAAATTCATCTTCAAGGATAAAATGAAATAAAAACATTTCCAAAACTTCGTTTTTTTTCAAATATTTTGAAAACTAATCATGTTAGCCTTGATTTGTTAGAGGCATAATGTTGATCCCCTGATTATGCAACTTTGCCCCCATTTAAATTACTTCGTACCTCTTACCGTTTCCGAGATCCCTTTAGTGAGAAACGAGATCCCTTTAGTGAGAAACGAACTTGTAACAAATTGTATATATACTTTACAGAGCTCCATCTCAATTATCGTTATTAATAAATTGTTTTTTAGTGTATGAAGGCATACGTAGAATTTGAAATATCAGAAGGTGCATACGAGATTTCATGTCCGGATGCACAGTGTCCCTCTCAGGGAGTTTTACAACAGGAAGAGATAAAAAGACTGGCTGGAAGTGATTTATTAGAGAAACACAAAAAGTACCGATTAAATAGAGGTGAGGGGCAATTTTTTTCATTGAGCGTTTTTCGAAAATTTCGTATATGTAAAAGCTTCAAAAATTGTACACAAAAGCACGTCATAAAATCTTTAGTAATAAAATCTGTTTTTGCGATTTACAGAAGTAGAGTTAGATAAGACGCGCACGTGGTGCCCGCGGGCGGGTTGCGAGACTGTCTGCTCGATGTGCCCGACCCAGAAGTGCGCGCCGCAGAGTGTCTTTTGTCCCACTTGCACGACGGACTTCTGCAGCAACTGCAAGCTGGAGTGGCACGAGGGGCTCTCCTGCGACGACTACGGCAAGCAGTTGGCCAAGGAGGGCAAGACTGAGGAGCCAGGGATACCGTTCGACTCGGACCTGATCAAGTGCTGCCCTATGTGCAACGTTCCCATCGAGAAAGACGAGGGGTGCGCCCAAATGATGTGCAAACGGTGCAAACACGTCTTCTGCTGGTACTGCCTTGCCAGTCTTGACGTAAGAATTCACTTTTATTATTATTAAAATTAAAATAATGCAAAGCTTTTTAAATCAGTTAAATAATTATCTAAGTTTAATTAATTACACATATTGACGTATTTGTCTGTGTATTAAGTTTAATATCAACGGTAACGGGTTAATTTTGTTTCATTTTCTTTCAGGACGACTTCCTACTGAGGCATTATGACAAGGGACCTTGTAAGAACAAGTTAGGCCACTCGAGGGCCTCGGTGATATGGCATCGAACTCAAGTAATAGGCATATTCGCCGGATTCGGTATACTGTTGTTAGTGGCGTCGCCGTTGCTGTTACTAGCCGCGCCGTGCATAGTGTGCTGCAAGTGTCGATTTTGCAATGCGGGGACCACAAAACTAGACAATGAGGATGAGGTTCCGGGGGAGGAATCATGATGCGAGCGAGACTGAGTTTTTAAGATGTTCACTGTGCTTTAATCGTAGACGGTTCATTTTCGACGTAGGTTTTTTATGTTTTAATCAAGAGAAACTACAATATATTTTACATCAGTAGTATGTATCGAATCAGACGTTTGTATTCTTTGATTTTAATTTTGTACTATACGGATATAAATACAAGTTATTAAATTTTGAGAGTTTTATTTAAATACTTCGATCTAAAACACGTGTAACGAGTGGGAACTGTGATATAGATACCCTTTCCACGAAAGAACACGAAATTATATCGCTTTTTGGAAGGTTTATAAAATTTTTACGCATCACTTTATAAAAATAAGTTTAAAAAGAAGACTTAAAAAAATTGTTTTCTAGTCATTAGTACTTCATTAATTGTTTACTCGGATGGGAATATGTGATAGTTTCTTTTGATTAATACCTGCTTTGGTCTAGTCTTATGAATTAATGCAAGAGGGCCTGCGATTTTGCGTGCATCACCGATGAGTTTTCCATAGAAAAAAAATGAGTTTTAACATGGACGGAATCTGTGATAGAACTGTGATTTGTAATTTACCGTCTGTGTCTTAAACTCATAGTACTTGTATATTTATTTGTAATCGTTAGCCGTATGCCATGGCCTAAATTTGTTTAGGATATTTTTACAGCGATATATATTGGGTTGGATCGTAGCACTGCCATCTTTAACGATTTCCTTGTGCAAACACACTCATTGATTTGTTCGACCAGCACAGTTTGAATCACTACCGCTAACACATTTAGTTGTTTCGACATTAACACGGTATGCATAATGGTTGGTTTGTTACCGTTCGATTTTACGACTGTTTATTAGAACACTGTGAGATATAATAAATATAGTAGTGTTTAGATGCAATACCTATTTTTTTAATCAGTTAATGTTAGGAGCTTACAGTTTTCTAATATACATTTTAAAGGGACAGTGCTTCTTAACTATACTCTCCTAGTTGGCTTGGCTGTTGCACTAGAATTATTCCCGGACGCATTATCAAGTACAAATCGTCGTTTCTTAGAATGGGATTTCTCACCAAGCTTTTTAGGAGAAAAATGGTCTATATTATAGTTATTTAAATATTAACTATTGTACAACTTGTTAAGTTTTTTCCATATTATTTTATCGCAGTTGTGATTTTTTGTTTATTGTAAATTTTTGTTAATCCGCTGCTTTGTAATATATAACCACCATGTTACTACCTTTTAAGCTATTTAATGAAAGAGAAGCCCATTTTTAAACGTGGAACATATTCTTAGAAGACGTTATTCTAGACTTAACCAGTTTTTTAAAAAGCTATATACATGTTTTTGGAGATGAAACTACCAGTTTATGTATTTAACTCTTCAGATATCTCCTTTGTAAAAATGTTTGTAATAGATGAGATATATTACTACTTATTGTTTTATATCATGCAAATGTATATATTGTTATAACTTATAAATAATAGATTAACTAGGTACTGTGTACTTATTTATGATGATAAAAAATAAACACTGGTACTCACTCGAGTCTCATTATTTAGTTTGAAATCATTTTTCACTGCCTTTAACATGCACATTTCACCAATGCAATTAAAATGTACTAAAACCACTATTTTGTAGCAAAGAAAAGAAAATTACAAGAAATCCAAAAGTTAGCATTATACGTTTTTCGATTGTTCATTTGTTTATTGTTCTTATTGGTTCAACTTTTTAACAAATAACTTTAAATATTATTTATAAATAATAGCACTAGGTGGCGCAACAGATAAAAGCGTATTCAACCTTCTCAACTACTACCAGATCGTTAGGCGTTTTCCACAAGCTTAATCTAAATTTGAAACATCAAAATTTAAGTTTTTAAATAAATTTCGATGGTTTGGGGGAAAGGTTTCAATACTTAAACCCATAAAAAAGATTTGAAAATAATGAATTTCAAAGTGAAGTAGAATGAATGAAAATTTCAGTGATAACAAAAACATCATAACTTAAAATTTCCATTGTTCATCTATTCTGTGGAACTGACAAATTTCCCTCTATCCTCTATCTATGGTTGTTCTTGTTAGGTTATGTTTTTGAATAATTACAATGTTATTTTTAATAAAATGTATCGAGAAATGTAGTATCTACAACGTATTATACAAATCTAATTCACTAAAAACCAATTTTATAAAGCGGTATTACAACCCAAAGTCCTTCGACATCAATACAAACGTAGTAAAAGATGTAATTTTATATAAACATCCGAACGACCGATTCTTCAAAATTGTTAATCTCTTTGCTATATGCCAATTTGGTTTTTGGACGTATTTAGCACTGTTTGCGTTTACGAATTTAAAAGACGTACCAGTAGACGACAAAGAAGAAAAATGGTGGAGAAAAGTAAATCTAGGCGACACCAAATATAGAACTACGTTTACCATAATCTCGTTCCTTATAGGTACGTTAAACGTTCATTTTATAGTTATAACTAAATTCCCACGTTTCAGGATGGGGTATACTATGCGTAACGTGGATGTATTCCTTGAGATCCGTAAAGTACCTAATTTTAAAGAAAGGGGGGAAAGAAGTTACCATAATTACTCACACACCGACAGGCGGTAATAAAATGCTCACGTTAAAACTTGACAATCTTAGCTGTAAAGATTCAAGAACGAGCGCAGGATCACAACTTCCGATTCAAGTGAAGGGCCACTATTTACATTATATTCTTGATATGAGAGGAGCATTTACAAATCCGACTTTATTTGATCAAACGGCTGGATTAAGGCGAAAATGGGCATTATGAGGATTGAGTTGTTAATATCGACTACTAATGGTTCTGTTTTTTTTTTCTTCATGTTATATATTTGTTTTTCAGAGTATGTATGCGCTTTTCGCACAGCTTAGGAGTTTTCTTGTGACTATTTTTTAAAATTTCAATAATTTAATAATATAGTATTTTCAGATTTACTAAACAAAAATTAATAAAAATTTAATTATACAATCGTATTTTTTTTCTACTTGGACATTTTCTTCTTGATGCCTGCGACACACTTGGACCATGAGGATCATTTGCCATCGTCCTGTTTCTCTTTGAGTGTTTTACACCTAAGTCGAGGTTCTGTTTTAACGTTTTATAAATATGAGAGTTTATAACTTGGGACACCATTTGACAAGTAGGATTATCGTTTATGTGCATTCGTATTTCCTCTGGAACGCTAAGAAAAAACTACTAAAAATTTGAACTAATTTCCACAACTACTTACAACTTTTTAGATTTCGTGGAGTTTTTAACGTAAACCACCACGGGAACGATTCTAACTACTTCGACAGAGTTGGATTTGTCGACAGGTGCACCTTTGTCGAGGAATACATTCTTCTTTCGTTCTCTGTTCCCTTTATGCGAACTACGGGAATGATAAAAGATAAAATGAGCGGTACTTCATCGTGAGAATATTAATTCAGTCTCTTTCCTGCATAATTTAAAACAACTTACAAATTATTTGTGTTAGCTTTGTCTAAAGATGCAGTTGACGTGATCATCTCTCGATTATCCGTACGTTTCTTTCTTAATTTTCTGTGCGGCTTCAGTACGTTAATCGGTATAGGCGGTAAGGACCTTATCCTCCTTGACCACCTTTGCGGGGTTTTTGATCTCGCTGGTTTCGTTCTCCTTTTACCTACTGAGGATTTGGTTCCCTTTGTCTGCATTACTTTAGATTTAAACACGAATTTTCCTTGCATTCTGAAGGCGGTGAGTAAAAAATGACAACGCAAAAATATCAATTTACTGTCAAAAAAAAAAAGCGCCAACATGATGGGGAAATTTTTGAGGATGTAAATGAAACAACCAGTTACATAAAACTTATATTTATAACATTACTCCTTAGTCAAAAAAAAAAAACTATATAAAATATTCGAATAAAACATATTTATAATATAAAAACTGTGACCCGCAAAAATCATTGTACAAGTTTTAAACGTATAAGAAAATAAAAAATGCAGTGCGAGTCAAAAGATCAAATCTGCAAATTAAATTTGCATAAATAAATTTTGCGGATCCCTTTGTTGTCAAGATACAGGATGTGTGCACGAGCACAGCACATTTTTTAAGAAAAATTATGGTGAATGCTAAAAATTAATGAAGATATCTAAAGAAATTTTATTTCCGTACACTTTGCAGAAAAGTGAATTTTGACTCACCCTGTATACAGTTTGTCATTTACGAAAATTAATAAATTGTCCCCTAGTATCGATTTTCAATTTGGATGGGAAAAGGTGGTACTTATATCAATTCATCCTTTAAAAAGTTTTGTTCGACAAATATTTTGAACTTTTTTCCGTGCCATCCTGGCATCGAAGATAAGTCGGATATTTTATTTAAAGGACCCCTAATGTCTCTGAAAGTGAAAAAGGTAACGATTTTACTTTGATCTTAAAGATACAATACGACATCGATTATCAGAGTTAAAGCAGGTAAATAACTAAAAACTCAGATTACACGATTCTAGATATTGCACAGATATTGCTAGTCAGGGTATGTAGTCAGCAGAGTAGTTGTTTTTCGTCGCAGAATAGCGATACTGGCCATGCTTTCACGGTATCTGCAATGCAGATCGCTTTTTGCCATTTGTCTAGTAAGTTATGCATTATACAAACTCGGATAAAACGGATAACTTTTCAGCCTCTCAAAGAAAGCGAAGTTAACGTGGAGGATAACCGAGACTCGGATAATCGGAGTTCTACTTTAGTTACGATTTATTTCAAGTACAAAGATTTGTCTCGTATGCCCAATTTTTTTACTTACCTAAACAAAAGTATTTGTTGAGCGGTTTTGGGACCGATGGTGTGTAATTTTTCCAATTCTTTCACTTTCCCTCTGTTCAGCGTTTTTAGAACGTCCTTAGTGTGGGCGGTGGCTGGACTGTCTACGCTAAAATAAAAAACCACTTTACACAAGCAAAACGAATAACGGAAACTTACCTAGTTTCATTATTTTGTATCCTCTTCCCTGCGGGTGTAGCCCTGACAGTTAACTTAGTAGTAACTTTGCTTCTAGGACTAGCTTTTTTGTTAAACCTAACGTTTCCACGTCTTTTATTAACTACGGGGGATTCGTCGTTCGGTTCCGACATTTTTGTACTTTTCATAGACTTATTAATAGTTTCGGCTGTAGCGTCTAAATCAAAGTCGCCTAATGAGTTATTATTTGTTTCTTTCTGAGCCAGACGTCTGTGCTGTAAGTCATTCCGTTTCCTGCTTAATCTCAAACTACACCTTATATTTCTGCACTGAGGTTCTTGAAAATTTAATTCGCTCGTGTTGCTGTGATACGAGGCATCTTTTTCTAGGTCATTGATTGTCCTCTTCAGGGACAACCTAGTGCTTCGCCTTGGCAGAAATTCTACGGGTGAAATTGAAAGAGTTTTTCTCATAACGGAGCTCACGTTTGTAATGATCAATTCGGGAAATTTAAACGTAGTCGATTTTTTGTCAGAACTTTCTTTGGATTTGTTATTATTTCCACTAGGAAATGGATTTTCATAATTCTGAAAAATTACATAATGAAATAATGAAATTATATCAAGATTTACGACACGAATTTAAAATCAAAACAGAATGGTGCACAATTCTGAAGCCAAAAGAATGGAAGATGAGACAATGAGTCCTGAAGGTGGTATAAAACAACACCGAAACGTTGGCAATCTGGTAATCTTTATCCCACCATTGGGTGGTACCCCACGTTGTTATCTTCCTTGCAAGACGTCTGATCAGTAAATATACAAATTTTCAATAAAAGGCTTCGATAAATAAAGTAGGAAAATGTAAAAATAAGGGGCTGTTCGGTCTAAGACTCAAACCCGGTTCGATTTTGGGAGGTCTGGATAGTAAATATAACATTTTTCATGAAAATGCTTTGTGGGTACACATGTTGAAAGTGACCCATTGTTAAGTACAACGTCAATAGTGCCATCCTGACGCCACCCGAGACGCAACAGAGTTCCAAAAAAAAGGTCGACAGCAGATTGGCGCCAAGGACCAGGTACTTCTGCGAGCGACTTCATACCAAAGGGACTCTCCAGCAAACGCTTGAACTGACAACACGACTTTTTTCACAAGCTTAGTTTTCAATAAAAAATACTTTATTTGTACCGTTGCAAGAGCGTTTTATTTTTGCTGTACAGCGAAAGCAACACTCAAGTGATGACCCCGACGTGATATGAACACGCAACCTATTGATCACCCCCCTGCCAGTATGGATGCCATCACGGAACTTGTAGCCGGTCAGGGAAACAGACCTTTCTACCGGATCTAGTGGTAATTGCCTTGGGTGTGGTTGGCACGGATAATGGGGCAGAAGTTGATGGAAGGCTATTGTCCTCATTCCTAGTAGCTGTCGTGTCATTCAGACAATACGCAGGTTTGATTCTGTCTATGGACACTTTAACTTCGCGATCACGCACTAGCACCGTGAATGTTTTGGGGTCACCACTTGAGGGTTGCTTTCGCTGTACAGCAAAATTAAAACGCTCTCTCAACGGTACGAATAAAGTATTTTTATTGAAAACTAAGCTTGTGAAAAAAGACGTGTTGTCGGTTCGAGCGTTTGCTGGAGAGTCTCCCTTGGTGTGGAGTCATTCGCAGAAGTATCTGGTCCTTGGCGCCAATCTGCCGTCCACTCAAAAATGGATCACTTGCAACATGTGTACCCACAGCTTCAATAAACACAGTAAATTTAAAAAAACAAAACTCTGACAATGAAAAACGGCTGGAAGCGCCCAGAAGAGGCGTCAAAGAACAAAATTTATTTTGACGTCACCGGTGTTTGTCCTCATCTTCGTCTAAACATCAGATGTACTACTTTATACAAAAATCGTCAATTCCTCATGAGGAAGCTTTGCTAAATGAAAATCTGCTCTTAGAAAACGCGAGAAAATCGCGATGTATTGACTGAGTGGGTGTCTGTTATTTAGTTACATCGTATAATTAAAACTTACTTTCTTTAATTGGGCGCTACTATTCATCTGGATGTCCTGTAAGTCATTCCGTTTCTCGGCCAACCTCAAACTACGTCTCATGTCGTTGCAGTGAGATTCGAGTTTGGATTTATTAACATCGTCTCTGCCACATAAGCTCATATCCCTTACTAAGTAGTTGCAACTAGATTCTAAACTTAAATCCGAATCTTCCTTTAAGGTCCTTTTCAACGACAGCCTCGTGCTTCTCCTTGGTTCAAATTCGATTGGTGAAACCGAAGGTGTTCGTTTGCTCTCGGCATGCTTCTTTTTCACAACAGGCTTCTCAGGTACTTTGAATAAAGGTTTCTCTTCGGATCCGTCTGTGTTTTTTTGACCGTCCTCCTTTTCTGCGTCTTCAGGTACTGGACTTTCGTATTGCTGAAAAAGAGGAAACGATTCCAACAATACTCTTGTGATATTTAATTAAAAAAAAAAATCAAGAATCGTGCAAATCTGATGAATAAAACTGTGTTACATACCAGAACCTTCCTGATCTTATCCAAACCAGCGAGCTCCTCTATAGGACTACTCGTTGCTCTGCTGGCTTTCGAAGTTAACTGCACGATTTCGCTCCTGACTAACTTAGAAACTTCGTTTTGTATCTTATTCCAAGACAAGCTAAAAAAATATAATAAAAAGCCAGGTCTAATAATAAAACATTTATTTTTTATACCAGCTTACCTCGGAGTATTTTCTTTTTCGCTCTTTTCCTTCCCCTGGGCTAGCAGCGAAGATCTCGACGGTTTTTTCAGCGTGTTCTTAATAAGAGTCTCGATTCTATCCGTCAAAGACACTTCCATTGCAGCCATATATTTCTTAATAACAGGGCTGAAAGATTGAGGTACCACATCGCTAGTACTCGTAATTGAAGAAACGCTAATAGAAGACATTGATTTTGGGCTGCTTGCCTCAGTCATGTTACCTGATGATTCATTTATTGCTTTTAACGGAAAGATTTTCGCTCGTTTCGACAAGCGAGGGGTTTGAAGGAGTGGTGCAGGCCTCTTGAAAGGAGTACAACTTGTCCTAACGTGTTGAAACAACACGGGATTGTCCCTCTTGTACCGCGTTATTACTTCGTTCACTTCCGGCTTGTTCTTCATCTTTTTAACCCTCTGAGCAAACTCTAAGGTCTGTATGGTTTCGTTGCAGTCCTCAGGGTTTCCATTCACGCAAGCTATGAGGGACACCAAGTTTTTCCTATTCAGTGAATCTAGGTAATAAAAGCATGATTAATATTAGGTCTCACTAAGTAATCACATTTACAACCTTGCAAAATTGTTGTTATAACGGACTGTCTGTAAGGTACGAAATTTGCATTTGTGGATAGTGCGGTCATAACCTGGCCGATACAGAGTAAACCCTTGTTGATGTTCACTCCTTCCTGGAAGGTACTACCTTGATTTCCAGTTTTTTTTAAGCTTTCGCATCCCGCCAAGTCGACCAAGTTCAACTTGGCAGTCGTTTCATAATCCCTGAAACAAAGCTATTTTTAATATTCCATTCAACTATACAAAAAAAGTCATACTTATGCCTAACATTGCTGTAGATCGTAAATATCGCATGAGATCGAGAACTGTTAGAATTCTGTTTGGTTTCACAACTATGCCGGTTTCTATTTCCCATCCTCAAGAAATGTTTAGCTTCCTGACAATTAAATATCTTCTCTTGACGGAGGCCTTCCACACGAAATCCTGAAAAAATTTATCTAACAGGGAATTTCCTAAAATAAATATTCACCTTTTATAGTTAACGGCGGCTTATTATTTTGAAGTAAATCAAACACCTTTTCGTTATAAATTTCAATGAATGATATAGATATGTCTGTTTCGGTGTCATCATCGCAATATGTAAAAAACTGTTCCAAAGCTCTAGGTATCAAGCCAGCATCACTCGGATTCCTCACCTAGAAGTTACTTGAAAACAATTTTTAGTGACATTTTCACTTAACTTACCCAACTGCTAGTACCCATTGTGTACGTTTTACCAGTCCCCGTTTGTCCATAGGCGAATACTGTACAGCTATAGCCCCGTTTAACATAATCCACCAACGGCTTAACAGTTTCGTTGTAAACTGTTTCCTGATCAACTTCCTCTTTGAATATATTGTCAAATGAATATGTTTGTGCTCGATCTAATAAAAATATCACCTGAAAATAAATATTTAAAACATATTGCTTTTTACTTATTTAATAGTAACTCACGGGAGGTTGTCGACTAATAACCTGCAAACATGGGGTCTCTGTGCCGTCTTGACTTAAAATTGGCCGAATCCTTACCGCGACATTCACAAAGTCGTCAATTTTACAATCTGAATCCATTATATAATTAATTCGATCGATTTTAAACTCGTATTTATCCTACCCCTAACAAAATGTGAAACTGATAAGACATGAACGGTTTTTTTTTCAAATTTCAAAGTAATCTGGTTCATTTCACTTTCACCAACATCAAAACACAAATACCCTAAAATCCTATAATCACATAATATCATTACCAACCATAAAAAAAAATTAGACTGCTAGATGATTTTTTTCCCAAATAGTAGTGTTTTTATTGGGCAACTTAACCTTGACTGACGTCACCTGAGACCATCTCGAACGTCAAATTTGAACTATATTAACACTACAGTAGTAATGTATTGTATATGTACGGACAATTTAAGTTGAAATTTATAATTTTCATATTAGCATATGGTATAAATCATATTTAAAAACTCAGTTTAAGTATGTAAACTGAACGTAACTTTAAATATTGTGTCAAGTTTGAAGATTCGTTGCCCGTTTTGCATAATAAATTGATGTGGCAATGCAATAGGCTGCAATAGTTCTGGATTATTAGAAAAACCACAGAAACTAGCATTTTTGTATCAAATATGCCACGATTTCAGTCAATCTTGCTCTGAAGTGACATCACATGCGCATAAGCACAACTCTAAAGTAGTAGTGAATTTAAATAATGTAAATAGTAATATCGTATGTATATAGATTGCAATATTACATAGTTACACAAAACGGATCACAAAAAAAAAACATGCAATAAAAACACAATGCAATTTTTGAAATTATATAATATGAATATATAATAAAAAATATTTACAAATTTTTTAAGTATTATACCTTATCAATTTTATTTAAACTAACAATAAATAATGCGTCTGCAATAGGACTTAAAACATACCATCATTTATTCCGATGGGTACTAATATAGCTAGGAACAAAATAAAATTTCTTAAAACGAGTTTCCAGTCATTCGGAACAGCAAAAGGGAGTAATACTTTGGTTAATCTGTGGACCTCATGGGACGCACACACGAAAATGAAGGAAGTGATAATTACGTTCAGCACAGGATATCCGGGAACTAACACCAGCACCCCATGAGTATCGGCTGCCAACCAGATGTGATACTGACTCACAAACAACTCAAGGGAGATCTCCCCGAACCACGCGAATAAGCTAGAATACCGGGTGCGGAGCACCCCTGATATGTTTCTTAGAAACACGTAACTAACTATGGGAATAAATACAATGTAGGAATGAATTTCGCTACATTCCAGTTCATTGTGACACAGGAACGTAAACGTTACGTAACTCCCAAGCCCTATAATGGCTCCCAATGTCGAACTTACGGCTAAACCTCTCGACAGTAGATTGGAATGGTTGTTGTCATCGAACATATTATACCTCTGGGCCAAAATCATGATGACGCTGAAACACATCCCGTACAACGCAGAATACCTATCTAACTTCCAACGAGACCACCACTCATGTATGTCATCGTCGGTGGTCACAAACAAAGCTTTCCAAGGGCGAGTTACAAAGACTTTCTCGAAAAACACTTCGGACATAAAAAGTATGGTTATAACGCTGAAGAGGCAGACAAATTTAATCAGCAGGTAGAAGTACTGCATCACGTTATTCTCCGAACTTTGTGCGGTGATGTGAGGCGGAAACGCCAGGAAGGAGTAAATCATCAGGTACCAAAACGACAACAAAGGCCCGAAATAATAGAACTGATACGGTCGATTCATGCAAAGACACAATGTGACGGTCATATAGTTAAGCTGAAAGAGATTTCTGAAAAAACTAACGATGCTTATGTCACTCCTCTGCCACACGTAGTAAAACTGCTCGTAACCTAACAGAAACAGATACGAAGAAATTAACACTTTGATGTGCATATTTATCACCAGAATCCTGTTAGCACCCGTAACGTGGTACACCAAAATTACCAGCTGCATCCAACCCTTCCACTCGTTCAACTGATCCCTGTGAAGGACCTTCGTAAACTTGCTGTCTTCAGTGAAAAATAATCCCAAAACTGTTACGTAGCCGATCGGCAGCCAAAAGCTAAACTCCGAGTAGTATTTGTTCTCTTTCATGAAGAAGCTGGTCCGATCGCAAATGAAAAAGTACGTCATTATTATAGCCATTCTGGATATGGCAGTGAAAAGGGTGTAGTAGTTGCTAGTTGGTGGTAATGGCTGCTGTTCATTCTCCGGAAGTCTCTGATACTCGTGGAAGGGCTTCCCACGACATTTCAATATAAGCCTCCGCAGAACCATACAAACAGCTATTATCACACTGGAAAAAAATAGGTTAATAGTTGTATTACCTAGTTTAGAAAGCGATTCATCAGACTTACCATACTGCCAATATCGCAAACGTAACAATTTGCAGGGTGGTCCTGGCCTCGACAGAACTGCAACAAGTTCCGTCATTGAAGTTCATGTAATCGTTACAGTACATATTTAATAGTATTTGAGTATCGTGTCTGAGTGCCTTTTTGGCTAATTGAATCCCATCTGGGCTCTCCGATATAATTCCCTGACCTACCAGTCTTACGCTCCACCATAGGTTTGCTGCCGAATGAGATAGTAGCTGGAACAATACATTGAAAAGATCGTCATTGATAAACGTGAATTAAAGCCTCACCTCAATTGCTTGTTTATTATACATGTCAATCTGTTCATTAGTCACCATATGATAATCATTTGTCAGTTTATCTTCTTTAACAGGTTCTTGTAAAGCCCATAGTACCCTCGTTTTTTTCTCATGTAGCCGGTCTATAGGTTGAACAAGTCTCGTTAAGTTCTTCTGATATTCTTGAAGCACAGAAAGTGATCCATTTGATATTATTATAGGCCATAAAGCCGATCCTGCTATGATCACGGAAGGGGGATCGACAGCGTCTTGCCATTCCCTAAAATGCTTATAATAAACTTTGTTTTCTATGAAAATATATATAAGTACCTAAAAGTTTCAACCATTAATGATGATATTAGAGGAGCCCAGATAAAATCAACTTTAATCTTTAATTTGTTGTCCACATGTGAAAGATTCATATAAAGACCCTGAGCTTTTTGGCTAATTTCTTCATCTTGAATCAAGTGTTCTACAAATCCCATGTATAACTCCCTTATTCGAGTATCTCCAATAAATACAAAATAAGTCTCCGAGCCGTAATAGGCTATATATCTCAAACATTTTCTGGTATCTCTACAATTTTACAAACATTAATAAAAAGTCTATGAGAAAAAAGGTTTTTTACATTTTACTGTATAAATGTAACATACAGCCATAGGGTTGCCATTCTTGATCTGCTTTATATCGTCCATCAGACAATAACCACTTACAAGAATTTGTTCCTAAAAGACTCATTTCATAATAAAACTGGTAAAATGTAAGATTAATTCATTTGAAATAGCTTTATCCTAAAATTAATTACCATATCTGATATGAAGTATGGAGTGATAGCAGGCAAATCCAAATACCAAAATTAATGCTACTTTTTTAGCATTTTTCGAATTTATCTGGTCAATTATTCTTTCAATACGAGATTTTTCCCCAATCATAATAACTTTTTTATTCTCTACATTTCACAAAATCGGATTTTGTTTTTGTCCGCAGTTGTAAAGCGCTATGTACTTGTTTCATTTGACCTACTATGCCCATGGCTGTAGTGCAAAGGAAAACTTATTTCTTCTTCTTCAAAATTCAAATTTTTATGGAATTTGTGCTTTGCTGTAAATATCAATAAGGTATTTAAAATCAGAAATTTGCTCGTAAAATATAAATACTAAATTTTTGTTATTAAACTTGGATAGAAAATTCTACGAAAAACTCAATTTACCTGGTAACCCAGGGTAAATGCGTGGTAAATGCTAATCCAAAGCCAGCCATATTGATTTTATTTTAAGAAGCTAACGCCAATTATTTCTATTCATTTAATTTTGTGCTGTCCAAGTTTTAATTGGTTCACAGGTGGCGAAAATTTGAAAAGAGTCTTTTCTTATTGGCTAGGTATTAAACGGTTGTCCGAAAACTGCCGAAATAAACCGATTTACGACGGTTTTGTGAGGAACGAAACGAACTGCCATTTGAGTTTGTGTTGAAGAGTTCCAGTGAAATGTTAAACATATAAAAACAAATACCTATGGTGTTTTGCTAACACATCTATCTATTTTATTAACAGTTGTGCAGTAGATTTGGAAGAATGGCCGATATAAGGGTAAGATATTTGACAATCATCGTTATAGACAAAGACGCTTTCATAAGGTTAAACTTCAGTTTCCCTCTTCTCCGGCATTTTTACGATTTTTATCTGAGATTTAAAAAACCTGTTTAGTGAGTACAGAGATAATTTAAATTTCATGAAACTGCGAAAGGTGTTTTGTTATCCTATAATACGCAAACGTTTATATAATAGTAGGCCTGACTTTGTTTTTAAGGTAAACAGCCATGAAGTAAATAAATTACCCTTATTTTGTATTCGTATGCAATTAATATTTTATTTACAGAGTATGTTTTCCAAGATGAGTGCGACTACCGCAAATGGTAATGAAGGCAGTGGTGAGAATGAGACAGATGTTCCTCCTCCCAAGCAAAACAAAAAACAAACTATCGAAAAGACTTACCAGAAAAAATCTCAATTGGAACACATTTTGCTCCGTCCTGACAGTTACATTGGATCAGTTGAAAAAGTTACAGAATTAATGTGGGTATATGACAGTGATAAGGAGATTATGTTACAGAAACAAATAGAGTATGTACCGGGATTATATAAAATATTTGATGAAATTTTAGTAAATGCGGCCGATAACAAACAGAGGGACAAGAGGATGGATTGTATAAAAATAGAAATAAACGCTGATGATAATTTAATTTCGGTTTGGAACAACGGTCAGGGGATTCCGGTAGTGATGCACAAAGATGAGAACATGTATGTACCTACTATGATTTTCGGCCATCTTTTGACTTCTTCGAATTATAACGATGAAGAAGAGAAAGTTACTGGAGGCAGGAACGGGTATGGAGCAAAGCTGTGTAACATTTTTAGTACAAAATTCACAGTAGAAACTGCCACAAAAGAGTACAAAAGACAGTTTAAGCAAACTTGGGGTAGCAATATGACCAAGGCGTCCGAACCAAGAGTGAAAGATTTTACAGGAGATGACTTTACTAAAATCACGTTCTCACCGGATTTGTCAAAATTTAAAATGGATAAGTTAGACGCTGGAATAGTGGAACTCATGTCCAGAAGAGCATACGATATCGCGGCCTCTTCTCGAGGCGTTAAGGTATTTTTGAATGGCAAAAGATTACCAGTGAAAAGTTTTAAAGATTATATAGATTTGTACATAAAAGGGAAAGAGGATGAGTCAGGAAATAACTTGAAAATAATTTACGAACAGGCTAATGAAAGGTGGGAAGTGGCGATGACTATTTCCGATAAGGGTTTCCAGCAGGTGTCCTTTGTGAACAGCATTGCCACGACAAAGGGTGGCCGCCACGTCGATTACATAGTGGACATGATTGTAAAACAAATTGTTGAAATTATAAAGAAGAAAAATAAGGGTGGTGTGAATATAAAACCTTTTCAAGTGAAGAACCACATGTGGATATTTATAAATTGTCTGATCGTCAATCCCACTTTCGACTCGCAAACTAAGGAAAACATGACATTGCAAGTGAAGAATTTTGGATCGAAATGTTCGTTGAGTGAAAAATTTATCAGTCAGGTGACCAAAAGCGGGCTAGTCGAATCGGTACTTTCCTGGGCAAAGTTTAAAGCACAGAATGAATTGGCGAAAACCAGCGGTAAGAAACAAAGCAAATTAAAAGGCATCCCCAAGTTGGAAGACGCTAACGAGGCTGGAACCAAAAATGCTCTAAAATGTACGCTGATCTTGACCGAAGGAGATTCAGCTAAGACTACAGCTGTTTCTGGACTGAGTGTTATCGGACGAGATTATTATGGGGTTTTCCCACTGAGAGGTAAACTACTGAACGTGAGAGAAGCCACGCACAAACAGATTCTAGAGAACGCAGAAATCAATAATCTCATAAAAATCCTCGGACTACAGTACAAAAAGAAGTACAACTCCTCCGAGGATATGAAAACCTTACGGTACGGTAAAGTAATGATAATGACCGATCAGGATCAAGATGGCTCACATATCAAGGGTTTACTCATAAATTTCATACATCACAACTGGCCGGAGCTCCTAAAACAGGATTTCTTGGAGGAATTCATCACTCCCATTGTTAAGGCGAAGAAGAAAAATGAACAAATATCATTTTATTCGCTTCCGGAATTCGAGGAATGGAAGGCGAATACGGCCAATCACCACACCTATTCTATTAAATACTACAAAGGTATGATTGCAAGATATACAGGGTGAGATAGATTTACATTTGCATTTTTATATTATTCCATTTAGTTTCCAGCTTGATTTCCTCTTTCGTGTTAATTCGTCAGACAATCATTAGGTACTTGCTATAGCGTAATTAAATAAGTTCAACAACCCGATTGTCTCTTATCGCTTATATGCTTTTCAGAATTATATAGAAGCCGGCAAATTTAAATTCATGCAGATTATGAACAAACGTACAGAAAATGGACCAAACAGCTTTAAAACTTTGTACTGTCCGCAGGTTTGGGTACCTCCGATTCAAAGGAGGCGAAAGAGTATTTCAGCAACATGACTCGCCACAGGATCAGATTCCGTTACCAAGGCCAGCAAGACGATGACCATATCGTGCTGGCCTTCAGCAAAAAACACATCGAACACCGTAAGGAATGGCTCACAAATTTCATGGTGGAGAGCAGGAGGAGGAAAGAGATCGGCTTGCCCGAAAAATACCTGTACGGCAAAGACACTAAGTTCGTATCGTACACAGATTTCGTGAATTTGGAATTGGTACTTTTCTCGAACGGCGATAATGTCAGGTCCATCCCCTCGCTGGTTGACGGACTGAAGCCTGGTCAGAGAAAGGTATTTTTTTATGTTTATATTCCATTTACATTGCGATTTTTTTAAATTAATTCTGTCACTGCTACATTGCCTCTTTCTCTGTAGGTGCTGTTCACCTGCATAAAAAGAAACGACAAACGTGAAATTAAAGTGGCGCAACTGGCCGGCTCAGTCGCTGAGCACTCGGCCTACCATCACGGCGAGACATCCCTTTGTATGACCATCGTAAACTTAGCCCAGAACTACTTGGGCAGCAACAACATCAACCTCCTGGAACCCAGGGGTCAGTTCGGCACGCGACTGGCCGGCGGCAAGGACTCGGCCAGCCCCAGGTACATATTCACCAAGATGTCACCGTTGACCCGTATGATCTTCCATCCCCACGACGATCCCCTGCTCAAACACGAATACGACGACAATCAGAAAATCGAACCCGTCTGGTATATACCCATCATACCGATGATTCTGGTCAACGGCGCCGAGGGCATCGGTACCGGGTGGATGACTAAAATTCCCAACTACAATCCCAGGGAGATAGTGAGTAACATCAGGAAGATGTTGGACGGGGACGATCCCGAGGAGCTGGTCCCTTGGTATAAGAATTTTAAGGGGACGGTCGAGTTCTGCGGCGACCAGAGGTACGTGATAAGCGGAGAGATTTCGATAGTCGGGAATGAAAAGGTGGAAATAACGGAACTGCCTGTTGGAACGTGGACCCAAAATTATAAGGAGAACGTTTTGGAACCCATGGTGCACGGTAAGACACTAAATAGCTTAAGAATTTGTCCTGAACGAGAAAAAAGAGTAGAAACATAACTCATTTTGTTTAGAACTTTCTTAAATGCATCACTATCTACTTTATGTCAAACATATAAATACGTTGATACATTAATTTGCGATTTATTTGTAAACGCCCTTTCTAAGTAACGTTTTTATTTTCTAACACATTTTGTCTGGCACAGGCTCGGAAAAGGTCAAAGCAGTATTATCGGATTATAAAGAGTACAACACTGACACCACGATCAAGTTCATCATCGCACTGCAAAACGGTCAGATGGAAGTGATGGAGAAGGAAGGCCTGCATAAAGCTTTCAAACTGCAAACGATCGTTAACACGAGTTCAATGTGCGCCTTCGACGAGTTTGGTTGCCTCAGGAGGTAACATTTCTCACCTCTATCTAAACATGTCCGTGTGATACATTAATTTTTTACTTTAATCCACGCAGATTCGACTCGGTAATGGTCATCCTCCAAGAATTCTACACTCTCCGCCTTAAGATGTACCAAAAACGCAAGGAGTTCCTGGAGGGCATGCTGGAAGCGGAGGCCGCCATGCTCAGCAACAAAGCCAGGTTCATAATGGAGAAGTGTAGCGGCGAGTTGGTGGTGGAGAACAAGAAGAGGAAGACGATAGTTGACGAGCTGCTCAAGCGAGGGTACGCCCCGGATCCTGTCAAAGAGTGGAAACGGCGCAACAAGGAGGATGAGGAGGAGGACGAGCCTGCCGAAGAGGAAGAATCTCAAGAGGAAGAGGAGTCGTCTAAGAAGAAGAAGCCTGTCGATTCGGGTAGGCGGTTCTCACGAAATTATGTTCGAGAGTTTCTAACGCGACCTTTATGTTTTCAGAAAAATTGTTCAAGAACCTGTCCGACGTCAAGAAGTTTGACTATCTGCTGGGCATGTCCATGTGGATGCTGACAGAGGAGAGGAAGAACGAGCTGTTGAAGCAGAAAGACATAAAATTGTCGGAATTGGAGACCTTGAAGAAGAAAACGAATGCGGATCTATGGCGGGAGGATCTGGATACGTTCATGGAGGAGCTGGACAAAATCGAAAAAAAGGAACGCGAGGACGAAGCCGTTTCTATGAAGAAAGAGAAGAAACCAGTGTTTGTAAGTAGAGATTTTCCCGCACTCTGTTCCAAAAAGGTGCAATTAGCAGGATAGAAGGCTTTTTTGGCCTCGGTCCTTCCTTCCTGCCCGCGGCATATTGCGACTTTTTCGCTTTTTCTTGGCGAATCTTTTAACAAGAATTTTTGCCTACTTTTTTCAGTTCAAAATTTATGTACTCCGGCCGGGATTCCCACTTGGGGAATTTAATATATATCTGTATGGCAAGAGAAAATGTGATGGGAGTAGTTCTTATGTCCCAGTTTTACTTGCAGACTTCTACATGTTCAAAGTTTATTGGGTGTTGGAAACCTGATGGAGTAGTTCAAACGGTTCAGTTTTAGATATAGACTACTACTCTGCATGTCCAAATTAATACAGTAATAAAAATGTGAATGAGTAGTTCAAACGTCTCAATTTGTGCGTTAGTTTGTACGGCGATTAAAACATGATTGTGTAGTTCATATATCCCAGTTTTACTTGCAGACTTCTACTGGTAAAGGTTAAAGACGTGATTGAGTCATTCAAACATTTTAGTTTAAGTTTACATATTTTTTGAAAAAACACATTTTTTTAAATTTTAGCTGATTGACATAAAATCATACCATTTCCTTCTGAACTAAAAATCCCAGTTATCTCATTTATAGAATTTAGGCAAATATAATTATTTTTTTTAATCATAACAATGTTTGGTGAAAACAGCTACACCCTTTATAGTGGCCAATGTTTCATTTTTTAAATAATATTTATATAAGAGATATGCAGAAAAATTTTTAAAAATGATGATTGAAACTAATATAAAACGCCTTTTGCCTGCAAAATTTTCAAATATTCGTACACGAACATGTAGGGATTATTTGAATGTGATTTATATTAAAAAAATAATCGATCAAGAAACAATTTAATTATCTTTAATTTTTACAACGCTGCACAGGAAGTTATCAAAACTGGAAGGGTAAGGATGTATTCCTTTACATGTCGTAGATTATTTATTTTAAAAGTGCAATTCATAATATTCTGCAAAGTTAATGCTTATGTAGTGGAGTTTGGCTATAACTACTCTGCCGACCACATATTGTGACATCTTAAAGCGTTTATTTTGCAGCAGCACTTAACGTTAAAGTTGGTGTGTTAATAAAAAATTATTGCGATTAAGGCGAGCTTAACAACAATCGATCAATTACAAATTTAGGGTAGGAAGAAGCTACACTTGGACGAGACTATGCCCTCGCCTACCGCGCGTAGGATAGAACCTACCATCAGCGACGACATAAAGAAGAAGATCCAAAATGCAGTCAAGTTCAAGGAGAATAAAATGAAGAAGGGACTGAAGAAGGAAAATATTGCCGAGGACGTGAGTATATATTTTTTTTAAACAACCGATCGTTGTGTGTTATACGAGTACTTGTTTCAGGAAGACGACGAGTTTGACGATATGGTGAAGAGCAAGAAGACCCTGAAGGACAAACTGGGTACACCGGAGGAGATCGCGAAGAAGGCTAGGAAGAAGAAAGGAGATGCCGGCGATGGCCTTAAACAAACCAAACTTAACTTCAACAAAGGTAATGTGTAACACACAAAGAAATCCGTTGCCACTTTTTTTTTTCGTGGTTTCCAGACACCCTGCAGATTTATTATTTTAACGGTGTCATTTCTTACAGTTAACGGATCCCCGAAGAAACGAGGACGGAAGAAGAAGGACTCCGACAGCGAAGAGGAGGTCATGGTCTTGAGCGGTTCGGACGTGGAATTCAGCAGCGTTCCCAGTCCCGTTGTCAAAGAGAGGACCATGAACCGCCGAGCCGCCACCAAAGTGATCAAGTACAGCCTCTCCGATGACGACAGCGATAAATCCGTCGGCGAGCCGGAACTACACGACAATGATGCCATCGCGGACAATTCCAAGACGGAGATCCTTTCGAGTTCCGACGAGGAGGAGAAACCTCCAACGAGGCACGAGACATCGGAAGACATGTTCGACAGTTTAATAGGGAAGAAGAAGGAAGAGCCGGCGCCCCCCGTAAATAAACGGAAAAAAATCGACGAGAGTCAGTCGGATTCGGAGGATGATATGTTTTCGAGTAAAAAGAGCAAATCTAAGTCGGCTTCTAGTGATGAGGAAGCGTTCGTAAGTAAAAAGACCACCAAATCTAAACCGAAAGCTAAGGAAGACAAACCGAAAAAGCCCAGACAGAAGAAGAAGAAGTCCAGCGATGACGAGGACATGCCCTCAAAGAAAACTAAAGCCAGAAGGAAGAAAAACGACTCTTCGGATGAAGATTTCAACTTTGAGTCTGAGAAAGACAAGATGAAAAGTGATAGCGACCAAGAAATAAAAGCTCCTAGGTCCGGTAGAGGGGCCGCTAAATCAAAGTACGTGTTTGATGACTCCGATGAAGACTCATATTGAGAATATCCCCTTAACAAATGATTTTTATATTTTAAGAAGTATTTTTTTATTTTATCCATAATTTTTTGATATTTATTCTTTCGCAATTGCTGTTGTAACTTTCACATAATTCGTTTTTAATAAAAAAAAGGATTTGTTTAGTACACAGGATTTTTTATAATAAAATTCATCTATGAAAAATTGAAAAAAAAAATGATTGTATTTCGTTATTCATCGTTCTTGCTTTTTTATATTTTTTCCCCTAAAATTTTTATTTCCCCACATCTGATTAATGGCATGTAAAGCACACGTGCAAAAAATATTTAGTCCAGCTTTATAAGTACCTATTTGATTTAAAATTCCATCTTGGTAAGTTTAACGCCCTAAAGACAAGTTATCGAAATTATATTTCAGACGTATTTTTTCTGTTTTTATTAAAAATGTTCAATATATTTTCCAATTCAAACTAAATCAAATTATATATGGAACACCACTGGCTGGGTCAAGTCCGTTACCGATTTTCTCGGCTATGAAATCAACATCTAACCATCCATTTTGGAACACCCTGTACATTCTGCCAGTAGCTTGTGAGAGTTGTCCACGAAATTTAAAAATTCTTAAAGAAATTAATATTGCTTTTACTACCTACCACTTTTTTAACTAATATTTATCTTCAATTCTGCTTCTAAATACTCTAAATTTATGTAGCTTGTAGGAATATAGCGTGGCTTTTAAAATCAATGAGAATTAATATATCAGATGAACATAAAATCTCATAAAAACTGTTTGGTAAAAGGTAGTGCAAGATGGGGTAAGGAAAAACAAACAAGAGGGCCTTTCGATTTGGCAAAACTAGTAGCTAATAGCAACTTAGAGTTACTCTGAACTGATATTAGTTGCTAATAGGTACTATTTTTGCCAAAACGAAAGCCCCCAAGAACACTTTAAGAGTAAAATGAACCGATTTATTGGAACACGAAGTTAAACTGAAACGGTCCGAAGTACATTCTTTGTTAAAGGATAAGCAGTTTGTTCACTAACTTTATTTTATATGCTTTGTGTTTATTATTTTGTTGTTTATTTTATTAAATATTGTAATTTGCGCAGCTCTATTCTACTCATGCTTACACTCCAGTCCAGCCTAGATCATAAGCTCTGTTTTATTTATTTGAGGTCAATTAGGTGAGATTATTATTAGGTGAGTGAGAGTGATAGGAATTGTGCTCCCATGTAAATAAAACACGGCTTTAATTCCACGTTATGATTCCGAAATCATGAAAAGGGCTCTTATAAGGGGATTTACAGGATCAGTATGTTCAATTATCCAATTTGTCCATTCGTTATGAATAGGTATTAGGTATTAAGAAAATATGTTGCTTTTTTTAAATTTTAGTCCTTTATTGACGATTTATAACAAACTAAATGAACTGATCGTAACTGTAAATAAAAAACTACTATTTTTTCTCAATGTCATGGTCACGTAAAAAGTATAACCCCGTTTTTAATAAATGATTTAATTTGTTTATATTATATTATTATGTTTTCACAATCCTCCAAAGAAAATGACGGTAAAGAGAATGTATTTTTTGTTATTAAATACGAAGTAAAATCGGGAAAACCTTTTCTCAGACGTTAAATGCATTGTGTGTTTACAGAAACTGAGTTGTATGTAAGTCCACAGTGGAAAAATTTAAATATCTGTGATGGAGAATCAAGGGAAACCGCTCAAAATGAAAACCCTGGGTTGTTTATTGACGACAAAGCAATGCGGATTATGGTAAATAATTAAATTTGATTTTTTCATACATAACCTTATATCGTTTTAAGCAAAAAATGGGTTACAAGAGTGGTTCCGGATTAGGAAAAAATGGTCAAGGCATCACAGCAGCAATAGAAGTACCCTGCCATTTGGGAAAAAGAGGTCTTGGTTTGACTATTAAAGGTATTTCACCGTCAAAAGAAAACTGGAATTTTTCAAAAGAAGTATGTAATATTAAGGGAAAAATATATGTCGTCCTTTAAAAATATTTTAACTTTTATAAAACGTAGCGAGTAGAGTTCACATTTGAGGTGTTCAAGGATGTAAAATATTTTGAATAATATATAGTTATACATGTAATTTGAAATAAAATTACTTGTAGGAAATACGTGTAAAGGAAGATGTTATTTGGCTGGAAAATGAGGAGTCGCACAATACCAAAAAATATTCTTTTACTGACATGGTTGTTTGGATGAAGGAAGGGACGCCAAATCATGATATTGAGAATGAATCAAATTTTTGTGACAGGACTATTTTAGACAGTGTACTGAAAGCCAAAGTGAGTGCATAGCGGAAAATATTTTTTCTTTCGTAACTTTTTCTTATTTTAGAACATATTTGACGAATTGAACTTATTCGAACTATGTCATGCCAGGACAAAAGCAAATCCCTTTGAAACGATTAAGTCTGTATTTTTCATGAACAGAGCTGCCTTGAAAATGGCTAATATCGATGCTGCTACAGAATTCATGTTCAGCAATATCGATCAGAATGTAATTATTTATGATATAAATTCGTAGTTCATTTATATAATACTTTCAGACGTACCACAACACAAATTTAGGCCCTTATTATTTTGCCGACGTTTGTGCAGGGCCGGGTGGTTTTTCAGAGTACATCTTGTGGCGCAAAAAATGGCACTTCAAGGGATTCGGGCTGACTTTGAGAGACGAAAACAATTTTAGACTTCAAGATTCCATGTGCGCGTCTCCAGTCACTTTCCAAGCCTTGTATGGCAAACGGGGGGACGGAAACGTTTGTTGCCCGGAAAACATCGAGGACTTTAAGACGAAAGTTTTGCATGAAACTGACGGCAAAGGGGTGCATTTTATGATGTCCGACGGGGTAAGCATTTACTCACAATTATATGAACATTATTTTAGAACGTTTGAAACTGGTATATGTCCGGTGGGTTTGGCAGACGAATGATCCTGTTTATGTTTACCAACTATGGCAGTTATAATTCAGTGCTGGTTGGCATAGAGAATATTTATCTTAATGCTGGCTCATTTGGTCTTGGAGTTCCAGATTTCATTTTTTAGTCAAGTACGCATACAAAAAGATATTCGGTTATATAATTTTCATTTTATTTCAAGTTTATACATCAATTATACAGTATTATATTTGCGAATAACAGACACATTTTGAAGGTCCTAGTTAAACAGCGCTCTAAGATTTGTGTCTTTAGCTCGGCCAAGTGCATAATAATCTGTGGTTGGAGCATTAGTCTGCAGAGTAGTTGTTCCCTGCAATATCATCAGTTTAACAACTGTTCTGTACTTGCGATTTTTGCAGAATTTTACTAATTTTGCAGGGATTTTCTGTGGAAGGGAATGAGAATATTCAAGAAATTCTCTCAAAGGACATTTACATTTGCCAGTGTCTAGTCGCTTTGGAAATAATAAGGACTCACGGGCATTTCGTTACTAAACTTTTTGACGTGTTTACATCTTTCAGCGTAGGTTTGTTGTACTTAATGTATAAATGTTTCGAAAAAGGTAAAATATTATTAGTCTGACTTAATGTACGTTTATTATAAATGTTTTTTTTTTATTAGTGACCATATTAAAACCGAATTCTTCGAGACCCGCAAACTCGGAAAGGTATTTTATCTGTTATAGCCTGAAAGAAGAGCAAGTTGTACAGGACATTAAAGAGTATTTGCGGACTGTCGTCAAGCGATTGTGGGAGCTGAAGGATAATTCAGAGAAAGACGTATTAGAGATCGTTCCGCTAGAAATTATTAAAACGGACGAAAATTTTTTTTCGTATATCGTTGACAGTAATAACAGGTTATTATGTTTTTAGTGTATTACTTAAAATTTAGATCGTAGTACGGATAAGGACCATTATATTAAGGAGTTAAATGCGTTTCAGCTTGGGTCAACGGCAAACCTACGGACTTGAAAAATTGGCTGCCTTTTGCAGGAATACCAGCCTGGTTGAAACTCGACAAGAGGAATTACGCAAAAAATGTCTTGAATTCTGGGATATACCCAATTTGTCCAAAATACCTCGACCGCAGCTTACCGCTGATCAGCTGTTGAATTTGTCCGTTGATAAACCAGGTGAAATTTTTCAGTTAACCAGTAATATTCCTGGTAACTCTTTATTTTTCAGAAGTATACCAGGCTCAACCAAAGGAGATTAACGATTTGAGCAATTTTAATTCAACGTTCACCAACGTGGACGATTGGCATTACTGCCTCATGTACGGGTCTAGGAAATACAACAACTGCTGTATTTATGCAGGTAAATTTAAAGGTGCATATCGTATCGTTAGTTAATATTTTCTTACCAACATTTAGCCGTTGGGGCCTCAAAAGTGTATCGTCTGCAGAGGAAAAGATGGGTGAAAGTTAAAAACCTACAGTTAGTGAAAGGTACGTTATTGTACGGGGAACTGGTGAAGGAATGGAATATCTTCAGGAAAGATATAAGTGTAGATCCCGATGCACAGAGTTACAAACAAAGCCTGCACGTCGTCGACGCTCTACGCTTGGGCGATACAAATATGTCGAATTTGAAATTTAAAGAAAGGTAAACGGGTGTGTGCGAAATTATCGAGTTTAATTTAAAAACATTGTCCATTTCAGAATGGAACTGTTGCAAGTTTATTGCAAGTCCGTCACCAAAGAATCCACACCGAGCTCTGTCAGAATTCGTCCCAAGGTCATGAGTCCGTTGTCGAGTTTGCTGTCTCAGCCCCCGTTGAAGGAGAATAGGCAGACTGGGAGTTACATTTCGACTTTACCCGTAATGGGGTACAATACATTTTCGGAAGTATTCGACGTGAACTCGTTGTTGCTGTTAAAAACGAACGATAGTATGTATTATTGTTTTGATTACGGTATAATTTTATTTAGAGTGGAGGTAATCAGTTCAATTCTGTAATTCTGTTCTGTTTTTTTTTTAGATCAGTTCTTCCATTCGTCGTACGTTCTGAGGGTCCAAATATTCATCAATTCAAAAGGGGAACAAAATGAACATAAATGTTTGTCGCTGAAAGACGTCATGGCACAATTGAAAGAAACATAATACATTTTATCATGTGTTCGTATTCGTTACAGATTTTCATATTTATATGACATCATTAAAAGAGTTTTTAATTTAAGAGCCTGTTTTACTTTAAACTGAATTCAAAATGAATGTTTGGGAGACATAAAACGGAGTATCACATAAATAAAATATCGTAGTAGTGGAAGTTCAGAAGATTACATCGTACATCGTTCATTGTCCATCGATTTTCTCAAAAAGTTGTAGAGCTCGGAAGAATCTGAAAAAATTCTGGTATAACAGCCCTGACCAATCCAAAACTGCATTCAGTTCTCTAGCTTTACTAGTTTTCAAAATTTTTAATTTTTTTTCATTCCGGTTCTATTCGAGTTTTTGTACGGTAAGCAACATACAATACAATACGTATGTATACTTGGTTGCATAAGAATTCCAAACAAAAATATAAGTAAATCTTCCTTTATTTATGGAACAGTAATATAATTTCTGTATTTTCTAATGTGGCTTAACAGTTCACAATAAAAAGACATGGAAATGCATGGAAACAAAACATCTCACCTACGCCCCTACGTAGAAAAAGGTCGGTTCTGTTCCTCGATACAGCCACTGCGATCACGTATTCTGTTCCGTACAATAATATGCAGGGTGTAACCTAAGTACGTTAAAATATTTAAGTGGGATATTCCTGTTAATTTTAAGAAAAAAAGTTTATATAAACCTTTGTCCGGAAATGTTTCGTTTCTGATATACAGGGTATTGAAGTTAAAATTAAACAAAATCATTATTACAGCTGCTGAAAGTGGCTACCCCCGACATTAATACAAGCTTCTGTCCTCCTCACCAAAGAATCCCGTACAGTATCATTTATCTAGGATCCCGTACCCGTTGGAAAATATCAGGAACATAAAATTCTCAACAACTTCATTTAATGCCTAAGGGACTCAGTAAATTATTGCATCTTTGCAGAAATTTGCAAATTTCTTGGCTTCTAGGAATATGGTTTATTTATAAAAAAATCGCAGAAGTCTTCTGTCAAAAAAGTTATGGCATGGCAAATTAAAATTAATAATGATAGCGTACGTAGCGCCCTCTAAGTGCTGCATAAAAATTAATACGAAATTATGATTTCTCACCTCAAAAAAACCCGTGTTACCAAATTTTGTGCAAAAAATTTATCTTTCGTTAAAGTTATTTAAGAAAATCGAAAATAAAATTTTAATTTCAATAGCCTGTATCTCAGAATTTAAACTTTTCCTCAGGAATACTCCACTGACCCCACTTAACTATTTTTAAGGTACTTAGGTTACATGCTATATTCTCAAAGTTGAGACAAAGCTGTCTTTAGATGACCACTTTAGTTTTTTGAGAATTTTCATGGACTATCCATCAACTTTCTCAAAAATTTTTAGCGGGAAAAATCTCTTTTAGACTATATACAGCGCTAACCAATCCAAAACTGCATCTCCAAGCTACACCAGTTTTAGAGATTTTGTATTTTTTTTCTCGACGGAAACTTATATTTATTATATTATACACTATATATTTATTGTATATATAAATATTGTACTTATATTTATAGAGAATATTTCAATCAATATAAGTTCTGGAAGATCCCTATAATTAAATTTTGGAAAAGAGAAATTTATCAAAATATCTTTGAGTAAAAGTCACTCATGACAATTTTATATATTTTTATTTTGTGACGATCTAATACGTATATTTTATTTTTTATTTTACAGATTACGTATTTTTAATTTTAATTATTATGAAAATGAAACTCGACGAAGAACTTCGGAGCTTGCAATTAGACAGGCCAACCGGAACTGGAAAAGTAAGATTACAATTAAATAAGTTAAATATAGTAATAAATATCATATTTTAGTCTGCCATCCAAATTCAGAAACATAGTGTAGACGAAACTTTAAATAACAAGCCTGTAGAGAGAAGTCTGTTTATTCTAACGTAAGTATATTTTGAATAATTTACTATTGAAAGTAATAAAGGGAAGATATCTATTTTTTTTTTGAAATCGATTTAATAAGTAATTTCTTTTTAAAATAAAAGGCGAGCAATTATCATCCATCGATTCTCACATCTGAAATGAAGTGATCTTAACTTACTAAATTTATAGATTACGGATCACTTGTGTTGTGATGTAACTTGCGAATGAAAGTGTAACTCTGGGAGGCTTTCGTTTTGGCAAAAATAGTACCTAATAGCAACTAATATCAGTTCAGAGTAACTCTAAGTTCCTATTAGCTACTAATAGCTACTATTTTTGCCAAATCGAAAGGCCCTCTGGTGTAACTAAAAAAACGTAACTTCAACTTGTCAAGTTGGACAGAAAACGTAAATATTAAAAATGTAAACAATTACGTATATTTACTATTAAAAAATTAAAGTAATATAATCAAAATATGAATTCTAGTGTTGTAACAGAAGCGAATGATCCACATTTAATTTGGCAAGATTTATACATGTAAATTACAGTACTTGTAACCTAATTTTTTAAATACTTATTTAATGTTTTCAGGAAGGGTGATGATTTACAAAAAATGAGCGTCATACAAGCATTACCAAGTTTATTACAATCGGATAACAATGGAACCATTACTAGAATTCTTCCAAAAATTCAACAAGAACTGCCAACTTCGTCTTCCGAATTTCACCTCGTTACAAGTAAAATTTTTAGAAATCTCATTCAGATGAATTTATCTGTAAATTTACTGCGACCTGTGTTACAAGGAATTGAAAGTAAAGACCCTTTGGTATCTAACGCTTGGATTGAAACTTTGCTATCAGTTATATTGAATTTATCTGACACGTCTATAAAGAGGGAGGTACATTGATATTTCCGTAATTCATTGACATAAAATTGAAGTTGTTTCAATTTTAGGTGTTACCTTTTGCAGTTACAATGTCGCAGTTAAATAAGTCGGCAAGTTACAGAATTGCAAGCTGTAAAATGTTGGGACAGATAGCTATTCATCCTCGATTGAGTGCATTTGAGTAAGTTGTCGATATTTATATATAATTATTCAGAATGTAGCAGCATACTGGTAATAATTTAGTTTTTTATATGTAGCGTTAAAAAAGATATTCTACCGATAGCACAAGGACTGTGTCAAGATTGCTACCATGAAGTGAGGACAGCAATGTGTTATGAACTTTCAAATATCGCTAAAGGTATTGCAGCACCAACTATTCGTTTATCGAAGAACCTAATGTATTTCCTACATTTTCAGGCCTTGGAAGTGATAACTTGGTAAAATCGAGCTTATTGCCTAGCCTCGTAGAACTGTCTTCCGATGAAAATGTGTCGGTCAGGGCGGCTTCGGTGGATGCTGCAGTTTTAGTAATTCCATATTTAAATCAAGGTAAAGGCAACAATTCGTCCTAGAAATATTTATATCAACCTTAATATTTTTACTTTTATTTGTAGACACTATAAAGCAAACCATCATTCCACTAATAAAACAGCTGTGTGGTGCTAGTTTGAAATCGTCAGATTTAACGTTTTCCGCTATAGCAAGAGTATACGGGATGTTATTGAATAATCTACAGAACCATGTGACACCCAGCGAAAGCCAGTGGTTTTTGAACTATTTCATGCAGCTTTCCAAGAAAGGCCTTTCCAACACTCCGGAAGAGCTAGAACTTGATCCTGGACTGGTGAGTAAAATGTATTTTTGTATGAATAATTAAATTGACATAATTTACTACCAATATGATGCTATGCGCTACGCCCCAATTTTATTTAGGACGTAACATGCAGAGAACAGTGTGCTTATAACTTGCCCGCCGTTACCAACTTCATGGTCACCAAAATTGTCGCGGAAATGAACACTTGGTACCAAGTCTTCAAATCCCTTGCTGCGGATCCCTGTTATCTGGTGAGGAAAACTGTCGCCGGGGGTATACACGAAGTCGCTAAGATTCTGGGTGAGCTACGGCCCGTTTTATAAAAAATTTCCTGTTCTGTGAAAGTTTTATTTACATTTATTAGGCAACGACTGCAAGATCATAATGATGGACTTTGTTAAACTGCTGCGCGACGATTCCGAAGAAGTGCTAGATTCTCTAGTGCCCAACGTCGCGACTACCCTCGAGTGCCTGTGCGGGGCAGGCGTCTTATCGAGGGAGGCCGTAGCGCCTGGTACTTTAGAGATCAGCCGGGCCTTACTAAAATGTCAGGCCGATATATTCAGATACCACAACTGGAGGAGAAAGATGACCTTCTTGCAGCAGCTAGAGTGTCTGCCCAACGTCATCGAGTCGGACTTTATCCACCAGCATTTCACCTCGGTTATTTTGAAGTTGACTATAAACGCAGTACGTGGGGAAAAATGAACTTTTCGAATACTGTAACAATTTTTTTTAGAGGGCCCGTCCGGTGCGTTCACAAGCGTCTAGAACGATTTTGGTGCTGCTTCGTTATAACCTGAAGGAGAACCACAGGAAGTGGATCCGCGAGAAATTAATCAGCCTGCTGTATAACTCCCCGTGTTGCTATACGAGGCATATATTCATCAATATGTGCATCCATGCCATCGAAATATTCAGCAACAAGTACTTCAAAGAACATTTCTTCCTACCTCTTGTGAAACTTATAGGTGAGTTAGATCATTATTTGAACGTGCACAGTAGAACCTCTTTTAACCAACTATCGATTTTCTGACATAATTTTTTCATGTTTTCAGTTGTTTTCAAGAGTTTTCTGAGTATTGGCTCCAAAAAAGTGTTTAACCCAATCATTTTTTTTTCAACATTTATAGACGACGTATTTAAAATTGTATTTTCAACAAAAATTTGTATTGCAAAGTGACAAGGTTATTTTAGATTTTTAAAAAAATAGTAACCCAAAAAAAGTTTATTTTCCAAATATATTCAAGGTTCTACTAAATCGTGTTGTTTTTTGTTTAATTTAAACGTTATACCTGAATTGTGACTTAAGGAAATAAATCTCCACCGTTATTCGACAATTTCAGAGGATCCGGTGTCGACCATTCGACTCAGCGTGGTAAATATTTCGCCTATGTTGAAGCGTATGTGCCTTTCTGCCGTGGACCGCAACTATCAAGTCAAGCTGGAGAGCGCCCTGGCCAAGATCGAAGTCGTTGAATCCGATAAGGATGTGATAATGTGCGTGAAGGCGAAATTGAAAGAAATGAGGGTTCCTCAGATCAGCAAGCCGGATGTACTGATGGAAGAGAAGCGGAGGACCGAAGAAGAGGATAGAATTATGCAGGGGAAGTTGCCTCCTCCAAAATTCACCTATGCATGTAGGTTGACTAGATATTTTCCTTCAATCGATTTGTCCATCATTGCTATTTTCACAGCAGCCACCCACCCCCTCAAAGATCCCGGGAAGCCCCTGGTGGTGTCCAAATCAGCTACCATTACTACGAAGCGAATATCCGCGTCCTCGCCTGCGACTACTAGGTAACAAGTGATAATTTTTTTCAAATCGATCCTCTTCTGCCCCACTCCGCTTAATGCTTATTTTTTGTTTTAGCGAAATGAGCTTTTTAGGTCATCACTTCTATATAGATGCCGGAGTAGCTTTACCGGAAAAAATCAACGAGGATCACGTGACCGTCGAAGACAAGATGAAATCCCTGGAATTGGACATTCCCCGTCAAGCAGAACGCTTCTCCGGATCGGTTAAGGACGAAATAGGGGTACCTACTGTATCCTTAGAAAATACGAACGTGGAAAACATGTCCGACGACGACCTGAAAGAACTGGAAACGTCCACGACTAACATCACCGACGACGTGAAGGCCAACATCCAAAAGAAAAGCCTGTCCAACCTAACACCCACGGATCCCGTGAAAAAGAGAACGAAGAGATATTCCAGCGTTTTCCCTACAGACCAACAAACCACCAACAACATATTCCTCAAACGCAGAAGTCTCAACATAGGACTGTCGGAACTAAGTAAAATTCCAGTCAGCTCCAAGTACGTCTGGAAATCCGATGAGAAGACGAACTTGAAACGCAGCAAATCAAGCAGCATACAGAGCTTCTATTCCAGTTCGAGTAAAACTAGCGGTCTCGAAAGAAAAAGCAACATTTCAAGACTGAAGTGGCCGCTGAACGCCGAGGGGGGCGTTGCGAGTTGTAGCGTTGGAAATGTGGAAAAATTCGTCGATAATGGTAATGTGGCAGTCGACCATAACGACAGTTACGAAATGGAGAATATAGGGGACGGCGGTGGAGTGGAGGTCAAGGAAAATGTACCTCTAACGAGCGATGGTGTTAGAGTTAATGTGCCAAATAGGTGTAATAGGGATAATGTAGCCAAAGTGTCTAATTTACCAGTATTAGTAAGGTGAGTGCTTTTACCAACTTGAGTATAGTGCATGTTCTATTATTTCCCTCTGTCAAGATATGTAGGATGTAACTTTGGGTGGGAGTATTACTTATTTGTACGGGATTACCCTTTCAGGGCATTGTTGCAATGAAGACACACATACACATTATGCTGTCACTAAAACTGAAAACTAATTTACAATACACAAAAAACGCATTTTATCGTGCAATTAAACTTAGTAAAACACAGTGCTGGACCATATAAATTAATATTCTATTTCAGTTCTGGTAAAAACTAATTCTTCAGTCAGAAAATTAGGAAATTGTCTGCCCTACTACAAACTTTCGTAAACCTATGAACTAAAAAAACAAAAACTAAACATAAATATAATGAAATGAAACACTGACATACTCGGCATTTGATATTCTCATTTCGCTGAATTAACATTTGGCCGTTTATTTTTTATCTGTTCACTGTTCTGTTGTCATAACATATTGTGCGAATTGATATGTAGCTCATCTAAACAAGGGCAACGTTGGAGGTCATTAACACTGAGATTCACAAACTAAACACAGTGCTTCAAAATAATAATAAATAGATAAATAACAAATATCTTTTATTAAAAACTCACATAAATAATTTTTTTAAATCGGATTAGATTTACTTACAAATAACAATGTATTTAACTTTAAATAACATATCGCAGTTATTTTCCATTGAATTTCACTCTCTCCCACTCTGTTAGTTTCATACAGTTGGTGCTGGACCACACTCTCCGTTTGGTACCATCTCGCAGTAAAGATACACAAGTTTAAATGACATCCAGTAGGTGCGTTGGAACGGACAAGTGTAAATGCTGTCATTTAAACCTGTGTGTCTTCACCATCGCGCAACGACGGTCAAAACGGCTAATGGTCCAGCACGAAGCTGAAGAAAGTAACAACTGGCAACATTGATAAACACATACAACGAAGTTCGTAGTAGTCTGGACAACACATACTATGACCCTCAAAAAAAGTTAAAGTTACATCCTGTATTATCCCATTTTTACTTATTAAAATTTCTCCTAATAGTTTTTCATGTACTGTACTAATTTGAAACGTCTGTAAACTTCCAGTACCTTTTTATGTCTGTACTTTGCAATATGCGTGTAATGAAAAAGTTTTTGGGCTTTTCTGCTTCTTTACATAAATTTTATCATTATCTTATCTCAGATTCAGTTTAATTTTTTTTTTTTAGGCGAACCCAGTCCGAAGTGAGAAAATAACAGTTATAAAAGTCGAGAAATATTTTTATATTTTCATGTTTCCGATTTATTTATATATTTTGTATTTATTGACATTGTTAATTTTATATAATACAATATTAAATAAAAAAAGTCCTAAACACAATACTTATTTATAAATAAATATGATTTCCTACTATTTACCCTCATCTTCTAATCGATTTGCTCTAAAATCTTATCCACCGCCTCGACAAAACTAGGAAGTACTGCTGTCGGTGCTGGGCTTATCTTGTCTTCGTCTCCCGTTTTATATTTGCCAGTTTGCACCAAATACCCTTTCAATCCTGCATTCATCGCTCCTAGGATATCATCTGTGACATCCTACAAGAATTTCGTCTTCATAAACTACGAACTTTTAAGGATTCTACGTTTACTTACGTCTCCTATCATAACGGCATCTGTAGGAGGTACATTGCCCAAAGCAGACAGGAAAAACGTTTTATTGGGCTTTCCGACAAGTTCCGCAGTACACTGTGCCGCATATTCTAATCCTTTAACAAAGCACCCTGGCCCCAATGCTAATCCGTCACTTCGTTTGTAATACTTGCCGGCATGTATTGCAATAAGTTGCGCACCAGCGTTAAGATATCTACCGTAAGAGTAAATATAAATTTACAAAACTTCCAAGTTATGAAACTGTACCTAACCTAAAAGCTTCGTTTAACCTGTCGTAATGAAACTCGGTTGGCGCAAGGCCGATAACGATGGCGTTGGGGGTTTCATTTAGAGGACATGCTAAGCCTTCAAAGTCTTCTAGAGCTTCTGGAGACAGCATTAACATTGGTTTTAGTTTTCGTTGTTCGATTAAGCATCCAGCAGCACCCAGAGAACTTAAAATGTCATTTTTGTCTACATCGAAGCCAAGATTTATTAATCTGTCGTGAAGGATCCTTTTGCTTTCTTTTGTTGTGTTTGTTACGAATTTGACAATGAGGTTTTTCTGCAATAACCTATAAACAGTCATAATTATATTTTTTTATTTTTCAATTACAGTATACATACTTTTTTAATGCTTCAGCGCAGCCAGGTACTGCTTGATTTTCTATATGTAGAGTCCCACTTAAATCTATTAACACTGCTCTAATCATTTTCGCAATATCCAAAATCAAAATAGAAAATGAAAATGTCAAAACAAAAGTTGTAATAAGGGTTTTTTTGGCGAGCCAAACCACATCAAACCCGGATAGCTCGAGTTTGATTGTGTTAAGAGTTTGAGTTAACATTTGACAGAACTCGAAAAAATTCTTTTGGTTTGGAATTCTAATCAATAATAAAATCGTAACCTATAATCTATGATAGTGCTCGTAGCTCAAGTTGTTTAATTATTTCTTATATACTATTGTTGTTATCCCTAATCTGAAATGCACATCCATGAAATAACGTTAATGTTTAGATGGTTATTAAATCAAAATGGGTTTACCTTGTTCACAAATATTATCTATTCCAACGCAAATGTATCGTCTAAAAGGAAGTTAATAAAGATCTATACAGTACAATATAGAAAATGCATATCTACGATTAGTTATTTGGATCTTCGATTACTATTTTTTTATAATCAATTTTAAATATTACTTTGTATTTTTTGCAGTGATCCATTACGAAATTTTTTTTATTTACAACATACCTATCCAAACCTCTAAAAAAACGAAGTAGTGACTAGGTACGATGGTACGAAACAGAAAATAAATAAACAAAGATAGAAATATTAACTTAAGATCCATACCAACCCACAAGTCCGGTTTGATGGTTAGGCAAACTCTGCCAAACCGGGTTAACTACATTTCTCGCCAAGACGTCAAACCGCAACAAACTATAGTTAACCGGGTTAGCGGTTTTCTCGCCAAAAAACTCTTAATGTAATATAAATGGTAGGGGAAGGTCGTGAAGTTATCAAGGAATATAAACAAACACAGAGGCCCCTTCGATTTGGCAAAAATAGTAGCTGTTAGTATTAGTAGCTAATAGCAACTTACGAGTTACTCTGAACTGATATTAATTGGTAATAGGTACTAATTTTGCCAAAACGAAAGCCCCCCATAGTTATACTACGCTTTTTTCGCGACTGAATATTGGTGATTATATAATTCATTAGAAATTTAGCTAATAGCAATTACAAATTTTACGTAGTTACTATGTATTGATAAGCGATTATACTCTTGACGACGTGGTATAACCGTTTTGGTGTTTCGCCTCCTCCAACAATGTGAACTATGTCATGGTAACAATAGTTTTAACATTTGTCAATAAACGTCAAAAAAAAAAATGGAAATAAAGTTAGTTCATTCATTATGTAATCGTATCGAATACCACTCGAGCAAACGAAAATATTCGACTATGGTGTTTCGCAGAATACGTCTCGTGAGTCGGAAGTATAATCGAATATTTTCTATGCTCTTGTGATATTATAACTGAATATCTGACTTTAGTTACTATTTCTATCTCTTTTGAGCTTAGTTGTTATATGGTAGTTTACATCTTTTTACTCACTCATACCAAACATACACTACATACATAGAGTGCAATATCTAGTTTCCACTTAAATATGAAATGAAGCTGATAGGGGGCTTATAAATGCGAGCTGCTATTGGTTGTTCTATTAAATATTAGTTACAATTAAATTGTACTTAAATTTCTTAGCGACGCTACTGAATTTGCACGCAAATGTCAAACTCTACTAACTAATTACAGGGGGCTTATGATAATTATCTCCTATGATCTAAAGCATAGCATAATATCTTTCTCTCTAAAACCATAAGAATAACAAAGACGAAGACAGTAATCTGAGCATTCCAAGTGAAATTTCGTGATAAATTATGCATAGATTCACTATTGAATATATTAATCAAAAATAAATCTTTATTGCACATTATCTACCATATGCTAGCTTATAATTCTAATTTTCCTATAAATGATAATTTAAAAACTTTTACCTAAAAGTGTTTCTCTGTAGAACTTATTACATACAATACAAAACAAATTTATGTATACTTACCTTTCTAATAATAGGTACTATACATTCTTGAATTCAAAGAAAATTTTGTTAGTTGATTGTATTGATACTAGAGGCAATCATGATATTTTTTATCCTATATTTAATACTTGTAAAATTAATATTGGTAAGCAGTATTTTTAATACATCGGAGAACAGTTCTTTTAATATCTGCTTCTCGAGTATCGCAAACAAATATCTCCACCAGCATACAAATGTTTTCTTAGGCTCGAAATTTAAAGAAATTAATTTTCTAACGTCAAGACCTTTCACAATCGGAAACTCAACTGACTTTTTGTTAGACAACGATCAGCAATCAGCAGTTAGTTATTCATTATCTTACAATCATATTGATGAATTAGAAGCAATCCTTGCAGACATAGGAATTTCTAATACAGTATATTTTATTATAATCGCAAATCACAGGGATGATGTATTAAAAATAAGTAAAACCTTATGGCGGTTCCGGCTGTATAAGTCTGTTATATTATTACCTAATAAATCTACGGTGAAATTGTATGCCATAGACTTGCAGAATTCTAAATGTGGCATTCACATAAAGCCTAAAAAGATTAACGAATGCACCTCTAGAATGTTCAAGAGAGAGTTGGATTTATTTCGTCCAAATATGAAGAAATGCTTTTACAAGTGCCCGATTAGGATTATTTGGTCAAAATACACCCCGTGGATTTTTGACAATAACGATACAGAATCTGGTATATACAGAGACATTTTAACTGTATTTGAGGAAAAAAGTAATTTTATTATAACTTATATGCCGGAATCGGAAGTTTATAACGAGGAATTGGCGTTTTACAATTTCGGATCCATAATTGCAGATTTCGATAACGATTACGCAGATGTATTTGTTGGATTGGTAGGTTTCTCGGCATCGTCAGAATACGTTTGGACTACCGGTACTATATACGAAGATAATATGTACTTTGTCATACCCAATCCCAAGATGATTCCTCACTGGAAGTTGATATACAAAATATTTTCACCAACGATGTGGATAATTTGTTCTATTTTAATCTTTATTTTCTGCAGCTTTTTTACACTATTAGCCTTAAACAGTGTCGTCGATAGGGGCAGATACGGAAATTTCGTGGACAACTCATTCTATTTATTCTCTCTTATAATTACTGTTGGATATTACCAGTTCCCTAGGAGTTTCAAATTGAGATTACTTTTAGGTAAACACAACTTCCATTAAAAAAAATTTAATACTTGCTAATGCTTTATTTTTAGGCACATATTTTATAACTACGATAATATCGGTTGCAGTAACGCAAGGAAAATATTTCAGTATTATCAATAACTCTATTTACGAGAGGAGGATAAGGAATGTGGACCAACTTTTAGACTCGGACGTACAAATAAAATGTTCCGAAGGCCTGGGACTGCTATTCAGGTATGCAGTGAGCAACCCGAAATATTCAAAGGTATTAGAACGCATGGAAAATCTCCCGAGCAGAGAGCTGTCGGTGAACTTGAAGAAGGCCTACGATGAAAATTTTGCCACAGTCACCGATACCGGCTTGCTAATAATGAATCCCCACCTGAAATATGCAATGCAAGTTTTCAAAATATACTCGTTCGTTACGTGTTTCCTGGTGCAGAAGAACCACGTACTTCACGAGTACTTTTCGAACAATCTGACAACTATAGTAGAATCTGGATTCGTCGACAAGTTTGTATCGCACATGAAATTCAAGTATGCAAGGAAGCAGTACTTTAAGGAAGAGAACAGGTTAGTCCGGTACACTCTTAAACATGTGGAAGGGCCGTTTTTAATTTTAGCGGGTGGATACGTCGCAGGGCTATTTGTCTTTGTTTTGGAGCACACTTATTTTCACTGCAGAACTAAATCGATGAACAATAATCAAACAAGATAGAAATTAAGTGATATTACCAGAAACAAGCACTTCATGAGCTATATGCACCGTCTAGTATTGAATTACATCAGCAATACGGCTAGAATCATTCGTCAGCCGAATACACCAGACATATTCCAGACTTATTAGCCCTCATCGGCGTGCTGTAGGTATGACAATCATCAAACGATCCAGCTGCTTAAATCCTTAAATCCAGGAAAGGAGTAAGCAATAAAAGACGTAACTGAGAGCTACATCTAGTTGCTAATGCTACTAACTGCCAAAGAGCAAAAAATGGCAGAAAGTGACCTGCAATACAGGTCGCTTTCTGCCAGTATTTGGCTTTTTTGCAGCATTGGCCACTAAATGTAACTTTTGGTTTTGTCTGATTAACTTTAGAGCATTGAAATTGTTATTAAAGTGGATTTTAACAATAAATCGACACTAATTAAGATTTACTCAGTTTATTTATTACACATATCACATATAAGTGTTTACGGTCCAAATATCGGTGGAGAAGCAAGGCACATTCAAAGCCAAGCTAAAACGGTTCATTTGAGTAATTGATATTAGTTAGCTTAGTAGAAACTGTAGATTTAACGTAAAGTACAAAAATTTTATATAACATAAAACGTAAGCTTAATAAGCATTCATCGCGTCGATTCTTTTGCGGTACCGCGTGATACTTTTAAGAATCGGACGCCGTCAAAGCCATTATGGTAAAGTTAATGTCTTCGGAATCTCTCTCCATGAAATTGCGGCACACCTTCGCTGCATCCTGACAAAAAAATTAGATTATATAGAAACTGCAGTAGATCGTGCAAACTGTAACTGCTACTGATTCCGTAGTTTTTTTTGGGGCTCACAAATCGAACCGAAAAATCTAGGAGGCAATGGAAATGTGAAAACAAAAAGTTCGTTTAAATTGTACACCGCAAAAAAATTTTAGAGGTGTGTTGAGGATCACAACAGGCCACGCGGTATAATACTTTACCTCTAAAAATGTTTCTTGACTAGTTGTTCCATGGTTGATAGGAAAATCTTTCCTACCGTCCAATTCGTACAAATTCCCGTCTTTTTCTACGAACGCTACGAAATGGTGGTTTACTTGTTCGTTTGGGTTGGCCTGCAAACAAAACGGGTTATATTATGTCCCCAAAAATCCACCCGTGTACCTCCGTCTGCCCTTCCATGGCCAGTTCCTGATGGGCCGAGATCAGCTTGAAGGCCTCCGAGTTGGCGTCGTTGCCGGGTTTGGCCAGCATCTCCCCTCTCTCTTCTGGGGTTTTCCCTTTAGCTGCTTCTAGTAACTTTTTAAAGACGCCCTCTTCCAGATTGATTCTTAAATACAAAAATATAATTCGAGTAGTTTTAGAGTAACTGTAAATATATTTATCTGTGGTGTTTATTATAGGATTAAAAAATAAGTTTCAGTATAAAATGGAATATATCTTTTTTCTTTGACATACAATTACGACTCATACCCACCAATCAAATTTTCAAAATAATGTTGAAATTCTGGAGTTTTTAGAGGTACTGTCTCTCTGTGTATGTGCCAATGCTGGTCATAATTGTACAAAAACTCAGTGAATTTTGACTAGTACTTAGTTAAATCACCGGCCCAAGTTTGAAGAGTTTACCTCAAATATTTTTAGAGATATTTGCATGATTTTTTAAAATCTAAAACCCTGTAACTAAAAAACTAAGCCATTTGGGATAGGAACTTGAAATGTCACGTATAATAGAATATTACTGTCAACTGACCGTCAAAATTTCAGTCTCTGGAAAGGCTACAAGTTTATCCAATTTTTTTGTCACAAAAACTGGTTTAGTGATTTTAAATTTTTTTTATACATTTGAGAGGTTCAATGACAAGGTATCAAAATTACCAGGACAGGTTTTTTTAAAGATGTTCTCTTTTTGTGGTGCATTGTCATCTTCCGAAAATCCAAAGTTATATAACATTAACTATTAACGCTCTTCCACGGCTGTCTAATAGCAGCAATTTGTTGATCAATAAATTGTACATGTTGACCTTCAATTTATTTGTGTCCGTATGAGACAGAAATTTATGTTTCATTTTATTGACTTGGCCACCGAATGTTCCTAACATTATAGTTGGACTAATTTCGTGGATAGATTTAGAAGGAAAAGGCTTACAAATTTGATTTAGTAAATATTTATAAGCTACTTGGAATTAATGATGGCAAATTTAATAATACTCCATACTTTTTTCTCCCCAAAAACTGTCAAGATACATCAAGATATTAAATAATTCACAAGAAAAATATCTAATACAAACTAAATTATATCCAATTGAATAATAGTATCAAATATTTATTAACGCATATTAAATCTAAATTAAACTTTATTTTGACAAAATCAACTTCAAAATGTATAAAACCAAAACAATAATTATGGTTATAGTTATTACATATATACTGACCTATCAACGTTATTGGCGATGCTGTGTATGAGGGCGATGCTGCCACAAGCATTGGAAACGTACTGTTTCATGTAAAACAAATTTGTGGATACTTCTTGACCGGCTTCTTTCAAAGATTCGCTTTCTTGCTTTGCATAGTCGTAGAACTGAAATAAACTTAATTAATATAAGGAACCCTATTTTACACAACTTAGATTATTACTTTTTCGCTGCAAGGAAATAAGAGTATTATTGCTAAAACAGGTCTCGGGACCCAAGCAAGAGCATCATTGTCCAACCCATAAACATCGACAATGTTCCATTTTGTGGGAACTCCCAGAAGATGAATGAACTGTAAATAATTTCGAATAAAGCTAACTCTATATAACACCATTCGAAATTCATAAAATTGTTATGAAGAAAATTGGTTCGGCGGGGGGCCCTCACACTTACCTTATTCATAACCTGAAATCAATAAATTTTAGTATGAAGTAATTTCATAAAAACGTATCGCTTACATCTGGATTGGATTCGAGGGGTAGCAGTACCATGGTTGAAAGGGTGTGACAATTTTTACTGCAAATTTTATGAGTATAAATCGATGAAATACAAAAGTCGGCAAATTACTGTCAGAGATCAGAATACGCACATTGACATTTCAAAACAAACATCATGCCAGGGTCAAGCACGTTCGGTCGGTACTTCGTTAAAAATCGGCAGAAAGCTCCTATTACACAGATCAAGAAAGAATTTTTTTAAACAAACGTAAAGTAGGGTGCTAAAGCTGAATTTACAATAACTTGTCAGTTTTCTGATGGGTTTAATAAAAAATGTCAGGGGTAACACGGTTGAACTTATTTTTTGAGTTAATATCAACTATTTACCTACCAAACAATGGCTTTAAATCAATCAATAAATATATTTACTTATACTAATATGATGTTTAGTTGATGCGGATTAGTCATAATATTCAACGATTTTCTCAAAAATTTTTAGGAAAATTCCAGAAAACTAATGGCGTTAACCAATTCAAAACTGCATACAGTTCTTCTCTAACTCTACCAATTTTCGATGTTTTCAGATCCATTCGTTTTTGTTCGATAGGCAACTTAAAATACAATATATGTGTATAATTGGTTGCATAACAATTCTAAAAATTTTATATGCAAAATTATGGGTAAATACATTAAAAATTAACACAATTATAAATAAATCTCCCTTTATTTATGCAACAATAATATAATTTCAGTATTTCCTAATGTAGCTTCTTAACAGTTTACAATAAAAAGACGTGGGAAAAAAACATCTCACCTACGCATAAAAAGTCAATTGTTCCTCGATACAGCTAATGCAATCACATTAGATCTTTTCTTTTTTTGGAAATATATCTCAAAATTTGAAGGATACAAGGCCAGATGTTTATATGAAAAATATTATTAAATGTTGACGAGACCATTTTGAGAAGTTATGTTACACCCTGCATCGTTTTTACTGTATTTTTGTTTCAATAAAAATAATTTCAAATAAAGCACTTCTCATTTCTCTTATTCATGTTCCGTAAAATAGAAATTGTACTATCAATTACACATATGGGTTTTAAGGCCCCCATAGAGATTTCCAGAACCTGGTGCTCATCCCGTCTTGATAGACTGGACACCGCCTCGTAAACAATTAAACAACATGTAAATAAAAAATGTTTTATGAATCATAATATAAAATAAATTAAATATCACTGTGTATCACAGAGTAAGGCAACGCCGCGTAGCGTCCAGTGTTCCGGTGGTTTTATCGTTTGCAGGTAAAGAACGGTGATGTAGTTGAGACCCGTTCTTCTCGCTTTCTTGTAAACAGGACACTGGAAATAGGATTATGTACATTCATTTCTCCCATGATAGCTCAGAGATTTGAAATGGCATTAATTCGATACCGCCATTTCCTTTTTCTAACAGGAGTGGGAAGACTATATCTAGATTTAAGGGCGAATTTGTTTTTATTAAATAGTCTGCTTATTTAATTTTATAATCAGAATTTTCCGCTCGTGATCAATATTTTTCAACTTAAACTTGTAGAACGGAGGTAAAAAAAAGAAATTGATGAGATAATGCAATAACTTTTCACACCTTTTTTCAAGTTTAAGCGGAGTTCCGAAAATCTGCGCAGGCTACTAATAATTAGAAAAAGTAAATTGTGTATTGAATGAATGGAATTTCAGTTTTTTCTGGGCCACGACTCTTAAATGACTTACCACATAGAGGTTAGCCGGAGGAGGACCAGTGGAATAAACAGCATAAATCTGAACAACCGGTATCATAGTATACAGGACTTTATTTATAGATTCCGCCAAACGTGCGTGTTTTTTGTCCCATCCAGCACCATCGAGGAACAAACCATATACGAATACTCCCTCCTATTTCATAAAATTAATTAATAGTACAGTCATTGAAGCTGAAAATCAGCTGTAACCTCGAAATTGTTTGAAACTGCATGGATTTGCATGACAATTTAGAATAAGGCTCATTTTAGGCTCAAGTTCAAAAGTGACATAAGCCCAATTGACGCTCTTTGTTTTTTAGGGGTAAAAACTACCTCTATGTGAAAAAAATTGAAAAAATGAAGTTTTAGCATTTTATTGATAAAAATCTTGTTCAAGCACAAAGATTAAATAATGTTCCATGTTCTCGAACATGTTTTATGATATATTTGATCTTTTCCACCCTTTATTTAACCCTTAAAAACTACCCCTATGCAAAAAAAAGATAAAAAATTACTTTTTAAAGATTTGAAATGCTTTAACGGTGCAATTATTTAAAATAAAAATTTTGCTTCGAAAAAATGTCATTGGTTTTTTTACCATAGGTTAATTTTGAAGCTATAGTATCCTACAAAAAAGCATTTTAAAGATAATTTTAAGAGCTGTAAGATTGTTTGCATATAAAATCTTTTAAGTCCTTCGTTTTTTAAAGGGAAAGGATAGAAGGACTCGAGACAGGTCGTTTCTTCACTAAAATGGATACTTCAAGCGGCGATTATCTCCTTTATTTTTTATGCTATAGGAATAAAAAAAAGCAAAATATTTGTTGAAAAAAAAACTACATTGTTGTTGTTTGTCATTTTTTACGTATCCTTCATAGTTTCAGTTATTATAACGAGCGTTCAAATAAAAACGTGGTCGAAGTTGGCTCTGACACATTGGACGTAGGGAGTAGCTTATAGCGACCAATTTAACCTCATTTCTCAACGAGCTGTATAGCAGCTGTCAGTTTCAATAACGTTAATGACTATATAACTCTATTTTAAAGAATAATCGTGATAACAATAACAAACAATTAAAGGAGCTGCGGAAAGTGTCCCCCTCCTTGTTATAACAATAAATTAAAGCAGCTGCTGAAAGTGTCCCCCTCCTTGTTCCAAGCACTTTTCACACCTGTTCCTCAAAGAATTAAAGACATTTTCTAAGATGCTCGGGGTATTGTTAATTTCACAAATCTTGCCTATAAGTCGAGCCTGCAGATGGTTTAAATCAGGAATAGGCAGTTCAAAAATAGTGTTTTTAAGGTAAGGCTCCAAAAAGAAATCACACGGCGTAATATCACATGACCTCGGTGGAAATTCACGTTCAGCATTGAGACTTATTAGTCGATTTTGGAAAACTTCCCTCAACATATTCATCGTCTCGCCTGCCGTATGTGCCCTTGCGCCATCTTGTTGAAAGTAAAAGTTTGTAATTTCGTTTTCTTCCAGCTGGTTAACAAAAGGAGCGATAATTTCTTCTCTATACCTTTGCGCAGTAAGAGTACCATTAAAAAAAATAGGTCCATAAATCCTCCTTTGATTGAGAGCACACCAAACTTCAATTTTTTGAGTGTGTAGAGGGCCCTCGACAAAAAAGTTATCTGGTTTTTCAGAAGACCACATTCTCATATTCTGTGAGTTTACGTAACCACTTAAATGAAACCAGGCTTCATCAGAAAAAAAGGTGATATTATGAAGTTCACCGTAGTTGTTTAAAAACCATTCACAAAATACAGCCCGTCGCGGAAAATCAACTTCATGAAGTTCTTGCTGACAAGTTAAACGATAGGAGAACGCAAATCTTTTTTTAACACTGTTTGGCAGGTACCGACTGATACTCCCACCATTTGTGATAAAACACGTACAGAAGTTCTTGGCCCATTTTCCATTATTTGTTGGACATTTTCTTTTAATTCTTCAGTCCGCTTTTTAGGTCGGCCGCTTCCTTCATTTCTTGTTACACTGCCCGTTTCACGAAAAACATTAACACAACGCTGAACTGCACTTTGAAAAATTTTGTACTCAACAACGCCGAGAAATTGATTTTCAAATTCTATGAAACATTCCTCAATAGAATATTTCCATATTCCATCAATCTTGCGTCCATTTCTAAAGTAGGACTCTATGATAAACACTTTTTGTTCTTGAGAACACCATTTTAAACGCTTTTTAAAACGAAAATATTCAAATTGAGAGCTGCGATATAGCGCTTTGACAGATGACGTTTAAGTTCATTTGCTATACGCTACGCCCTACGTCCAAATTTTCAGAACCAACTTGACCACGTTTTTATTTGAACGCTCGTTATAAATAAGGCAATTTTTTTTTAATAATGAACAATAACTTTTCAACTTTTACCGTACATTATTAAAAAAATACGCATTCTAAATGATCGTATGAAAAACAATAAAACAAACCTAATTGTAAAGGGTCTACGATTAATTTTAATTCTGATGAAAATGGTACAGCGTTTACTGCTCATTTTTCCTTAAAAAATATGAGCAACCCATCTGTTTTTGACGATAACTCCTTCAATTTTGCTCTAATTAACTCTTATAAGTGCTCATTTTGAAGGTTTTTTCGAGTACTACAAAATATCCACGAGCGTTATACACGTAAAATTAATCCTTTTTCCGTTATTTGACGTTGAATACATCGATTCGAGTATTCCCCCCAAAACAAGTCCCCTTCCACTAGCTATATTTCGCTTTGTATACGACGTAAAACACTTTTAAAAACCGATTTTCTTTGTTTATTTATAAGCTACATTTTTGTTCATTATACTTTTTTTAACAAAATGCGTAGTTTTTGTGTTATTTGCGAATAATACTTTGAAAGTGGTTTTTTTTTCACTCAAAAGTTTTCAATCGTGAATAACTAAAATACTAGTGATTTCTCGAAACAATTCTTCGAATATTTTTTGCTCAAAATTTGATTCTCTATCGATTTCCAGCGTTATTTTTGAAAAAAAAATTTCCACCCCCAAGAACGGGTCAACCCTCAACAGGGTGGAAGCTTCAATCGGCGCTATGTCACTAATGTTCATTGACCTTTTCCCTAAGTATCTGCCAAATTTCAAGTCGATCGGTTCAGTTTCAAAGGAGGTGAAAAGCTTCAATGACTACTATAAAGCATTAAAAGAAACGAAGGTCGATGTTTTCCATAAAAACAAACATTCCAAAACAATCTGACTTACCGGCGGGCCTTTATTGATCTCCTCTCTGACGTTTTTGGTCACCTCGTTAAAGAGAGATACCTGATCCAATGCCCAGCCTTTATGGGCTCTGGCGACTTCTTGCTTCATGGCCGTCAGGAACCCTACGACAACGACTAGTTAATAAATATCATTTTTGGGGGGGTACCCGGGAACCTTGCGGGTTGAAGAAGCCGGCCATCCAGAAAGAGGGTGGCCTCCCGTTGAAGCACCAATTCCGGAACTGGTTGTCCCGTTCGACCAGCTCCGTGAACCAGAAACCGAGCGTGTTCGCGTCCCAAGAGCCCCTACGCCAAATGAACGGTACTTTGGCGTCGTATATGTTGTCCAAGGCGTCCCCCAAAGCCTACAGCAGCAGTTAAAAAAAGTATTTAACCAAATGCAATGTTGTAGCGGTGAGGGTAAAATTACCTCGCTCATAATTATGGTTCCTTCTATTGCCAGCAGAAGGTCTTGCAACGTGCTTCGAACTAAAAATATTACTTTCTGCATCCTGTCAATTTCCTGCCGCAGAAATATATTTAAAGGGTTCAGGTGGTTCATAAGCCTTAACCTGGGTGAAAACGCAGATATTAGTATTGTCAGTGTTGCGAGAAACAACTACTCCGAGGGCTATATGCCCCTACCGGCATTGAATTATACTCGCAACACCTAGTGCAACAGCTAGGGTCGTTCGTCAGTGTAATCCACCCCACGTACAATGTATTTCCTTGTCGTGATGATATGACGCAGAACAGGTGGTTCGTTTGTCGGTTGTCTCACCTATGACACACTGATGAGGACTAATAAGTCCGAAACCGTTCTGTGCCTGGTGGGTTAAACTGACGAACGACCCTAGCTGTAACACTAGGTGTTGCGAGTATAATTCAATGCCGGTAGGGGCATATAGCCCTGGGAGTAGTAGTTTCTCGCAACACTGGCAATTAAAAACATTGTGTTTCGCCCTCTGTGGGTGGCAGTCGTGCAACAAGTACCTGCAATATAGCAGGTCGCTTCCTACTGTAGCCATTTGAATGGCAGTTGGCAGTATCCTAATCGCAGTACATTTAAAAGAGTGGCTTTTTTATATGAATTTTTTTTCGGAAAATGGATAATACAAGAGATAGATCCTCTTAAGACATCGTGTTATTTTCTAATTTCTTAAAAGATATTCGAGGCATCTAATTCAGATTGTAAAATTAGACTTAAGGCATCAGGGCACTGATTTACACAGCATAGGGTAGTAAAAATACCCAGTATGGCAGCTGTAATAGTTAATGTTTTGAGACGCGTATTTATGGAATATTTTTCTATTAATATGTAACGCAGACTCCATCATTAGAGTTTAGCTAGGCCCTTTGTAAAGACGTACCCTTATTCCTTGATGTACTACTATTTTTCTGAAAGTACATATTGGGGGAAAAGTCGAACTGTTCTTACCTCTCCTTCACTTCAAACGGATCGTAATTTTTCGGCAACTTCGACAACATATCGCTGGCTTGTCGGCCTACTACGGTCTCGCGTGACTCGCCGCCTCCACCGCCAGATTCCTTCGGTTGAATGGCCAGCATCTGGTCAAACATCATTATCGTAGTATTCGTTTGGTACCTACAAGACAGGATTTACATAAATTCTTTCATTGCTTTACCCTCGTTGGGAGGCATACGTGATGTCTGCGTTGGAATGCAGTCCATAGGCCTGCGGCGGATCCGTGGCCGGGAAAGTTTCGATGACGGACAGGTAATCGGTCACTTGCTTGAAGGTTATGATCTTGTATCCCTTGTAGAACAGAAAGTTCTCGCTGAATATGTTGTCGCTGAACCAAACGGTGCAGAAGGTGTTCAGTAACCGTTTGTCAAAGTCGTCGGTCACCCTGCCGCCGTAATGAACTTCGCCGAGCATGTATCTGCAAAATTTTTTATTTTTAAGTGCTGTTTTCCATTTGAAATTTTTCGCCTACCTGAGCGTTTGCCAGCTGATCCCTCTCTTAGGATCGATGTCGTCCAGGTGGTTTTGCAGGAACAAACAGCTTGACAGCCAATCGGCGGAATTAAACTCGTACGGTATGTTCCACCCGAGAGGTCCGAATTTTCTGCGTTCCTGGACGACGGTGTGCAGGAAAGATATGGCGTACACCAGGGGTATGTACTGCCAGCAGTCCGAATAGTCCAAATGGTCTTGGTTCATCGATGTGTATGTTCTTAGGAGACCGGCTTTAATTCCTGCAAAAGCGGGGTGTAAGTTTTAGTGGGGGTCAGTCTTTTTTTTTGGAATTCCCAAAAAGCTATTTTTAAAAAACATATATTCTATTAGGTCTCGTATTTTAAAAATATTTAAACAAATTAAAAGATGTGTTTATGTGTCTTCATCGCTAAGTTCAAACATGCTCGTAAACCTTTTCTGATTTCAAAAATTTTACCTGACGGAGCTTCATTGGTGAACTTTATACAAATCTGTAGTAAACTTATTGGAAAACTCGGGTGCACTTCCGTGGTAATCCACAGTCTAAAATCAGGGTTGACGGAACCGATTCCCTTTTCCAAATCCAAAAATTGACCCAGCACCTCATCCATGTACTCCAGCGACAAGTGACAGTTCTGCAGCAGGGCCCAGAAACCCTAAAAATACGCCCATAAAATAACAAAGCTTCCCGTAAAAGTAATTTTTTACCTCCGTCATGGCCTGCGTCATCATTTTCCTCGCGTGGACCTCCTGACCTTGGCCCATGGAGATGGACTTTACCCTAAATTCGAGCCGCTTCGCTAGCTGTTCTATAAAGGGGCTCGGATCAGAACCGATGCTCAAGAAGCATATCATCGGTGTTAGAGCCCTCGATTCGTTGTAGAGGACCTCCATGTTCAATATGACGGGTTCGGAGAACTTCTGGCCTAGGGAGCTTGCCACGTACTTTCTGCTTTGAGTTATCGTCCTGTCGGGGCACCAAGCTCTGAAACGGGAAATGTAATTTTTTTTATGCATACATAAACACTAAAAATGTTGCTGTAAACATATATTTATTGGTTTTTCCAGCTTAGTTTGGCTGTTTTGGAAAAAATTTATAACTTCAAGAGGTTTTTCTGGAAACGATTCTCCTTTGATAGGATTATCTACCTTGGAATAAAATTTCATAAAATTGCAGAATATCGGGGTCGAAAATCATAAATTTAAATGTGAAAAAATGTTTAACTCTGAGATGACCTTCGGGAATCGATTCTCTCTTGTTAGGATTGTGTATCGGGATATTATAGACACCCTGTATTTTGGAAACTCAACATTTTTCAACCAATAAGTTTCCATAAATTTTTTCTTATACCGATTAGTTCTATTGCCAGATAGAGCTTGGCTCATGCAGTTCTGGTATACTGTGAGGAATAATGTTGTGGGTACACATGTTTGCAAGTGACCCATTTTTAAGCATTACATCAAGAGCGTTGCCGGACGCACTAACGTTCCAGGAAGGGTCTACGGTGGGCTGGCGCCGGCGACCAGATGTGTACTCATACACCTACGACCGATTCCACACACGAGGACTCTCCAGTAAACACCCAAACCGACAACACGTCTTTTTCTATACAACTTAGTTTTCAATAAAATACTTTATATTTACCGTTGAGAGAGCGTTTTATTTTGCTGTACAGCGAAAGCAACCCTCAATGTTATACAGACACAAATTCTTTTTTTTTAAATTTTATTATTTAAAAAAATGCTTTTACCTTATCATCAGCAACTTTCTGAAGGTATCTAACGAATTGTAGCCATCTGGTATGACTGCTTCTTCGGGCGCGTCTTTGTCAAACCAATTTTTCCACTGCTTGTCGTTGTCCGCGACCTTTAATTAAAAAATTATTCGCTTTAAAAGGCTTTAAATATTTTTGCGGTAAAGTAAAAGTGAGTTTATCGTAAGCACCTGTTGAATGATATACTGGAAATGCCGTAGTTTCGACAATTCGACCAGGTTGAGCCAGGTCATGTCTGTGATCCACGAAGACGGTTTCGGAGGGCAGGCGTTGAGGTCGAGCGCGGCGCCCCCCTTAATAAAATTCTCGAATTCCTCGTGAGTGATAGCTTCTCGCTGAAGATCTATCCTCAGGCACATGAGTAGGACGAACATGTACTTGTGTTCTTCGTATAACCCCCTGCACTTGTATTTAAATATTTCATATGTGAGATACTCTATTATGTTATTTATTCGTCTGAAAAACGAAACGAAAACAAGTTTGTTAGTTCATCGCTCGGATATTAGATGAGCAGTCTTAGTCCAAGCATTATAGAGAAATGCTTACAGAAATTATTACCTGGACAAAAAAAAATTGACCGTGTAGAAAATTAAATTTTAAATTGAGTTTCTTGTTCTTTAAACTGGATCCAAAATGGCAAACATGGTTTAAAAAAATCGCAGTTGCATAAAATGTTTTTTCTAAAATAACTAAAAAAATATTGCGCCGATTGAAAAATTTTAAATGAGAAAGTTGTTGGTTTTAAAAAGATCTATCGACTGATTTTTTGTATCGATTGCTTTGTTACTTTTCGAGATATATCGAAAAAACCGTTAAATATCTTCTCTTTTCTCTTCTTCTATAACTCGTTTACATTTACGTTCCCGTACTTGCTATTTACTGCAAGTATAGCCCGCGGCAAGCCAAAAAGGTACATTTTTGAAAAATTTAAAAATAATTATTTTTCGAGATATATTGATTTTTTTTTTAAAAAGGCGCTCTCGAAAATTGGCTAGATCTTCTCAGCGGATAGCCCTACAGTAACTATTTTCGGTTTATTTTCTTCATAAAGAGTTATATTATCATGCTGTTAAAAAATGTTGAGGATTTTTTCTTTTCTCTTTTTGTGGGTATGTTTCTTTCAAATAACTATTTCAATTTTTATTTTATGAAAATTACTTTTAAAGAAAGAAACTGCTGACATTTTTCCACGAATTTAAAAAAAATATATATTTTTCTACGACCGAAAAATTTTTTTATGTAAAAAAAATTTCTTTGTACTTAATATGGGGTAGCTAAACACAAATATTATAGTCATTTTCGCCTTAGAAGTAAAATAGTCCCGTAAATGTTTAGTTTTTATTTAATTTACATTTTTTTTTTGCATCTTATTGTCATTTTAATAATTAATAATATTACAGTATTTTTCGTGTAATACCTTAATTTTTTTGCTTCATTATCATACTGACGTTATACTTGTTGCTGTCTTTTTAACAATTACTTCATCATTTCAATAATTAATTAATTTTGGTGTAAAATAAGTAAAAAATTTAATTTATTTACAAAAATATTTAACAATTATACAACTATGTATAAAATATCTATAAAATTATTATAATGAAAACTAACAAGTATCCTATATAGACAAAATTATTTATCGAATCAAATTCTTTTCTTTATCGGATTGTCTTTTGATTCATTTTCTTGTCCGTCTTCCATTTTTCGTGAAGAAGTATAATAAAAGTAAAAAAAATGTAAGTTAAATAAAAACTAAACATTTAAGGGACTATTTTGCTTCTAATGCGACAATGACTATAATATTCGTGTTTATCTCGTCAAGCTACCTCAGATTAAGTACAAAAGAATTTTTGTACGTACTTCAGAAACCGAGATATCAAAGACTTTGCAAGCGCGAGCCATTTAGACTACACGTCATCAGTTTTCAGAGCGAGCGTGCGCCACTTCTCCCTACTTCTCCGTCCGGTCCAGCTAACGCACTCAGCGCTTGCACGTTTCAGTTTATTACTCAATTAGTAATACTAAAAATCAAGGAAACATATCCTACTAATTATTTTTTTTAAATATAAGTATTTAATATTAACCTCCATCAAGCGCATCGCTGTAAAATATTGCGTCCTCAAAATTTTTTTTTAAATAAAAAAATTATCTCGGCTCCAGAAGGTCGGAGACAAAAATTTTTTTTTTTTCAATTCGTGAAAAAATATCAGCAGTTTCTTTCTTTAAAAGTAATTTTCATAAAATAAAAATTGAAATAGTTATTTGAAAAAAACATACCCAAAAAGAGTGCAACTTTTTCAAAGTAATTTTTTGATCCTTAGAATTAATAAAGTCGTCAACATTTTTTAACAGCATGATAATATAACTCTACGAAGAAAATAAACTGAAAATCGTTACTGTAGGGCTATTCGCTGAGAAGATCTGGCCGATTTTTGAGAGCGCCTTTTTTTCAAAAAATCGATATATCTCGAAAAATAATTAATATTTAAAAATTTTTCAAAAATGTACTCTTTTGGCTTGCCGCGGGATATGCTTGCAGTAAATAGCAAGTATGGGAACGTAAATGTAAACGAGTTATAGAAGAAAAGAGAAGATTTTTAACGGTTTTTTCGATATATCTCGAAAAGTAACAAAGCAATCGATACNATATGGACACGTAAATGTAAACGAGTTATAGAAGAAGAGAAAAGAGAAGATTTTTAACGGTTTTTTCGATATATCTCGAAAAGTAACAAAGCAATCGATAGTTTCAAAAAATCTGTCGATAGATCTTTTTAAAACCTACAACTTTCTCATTTAAAATTTTTCAATCAGCGCAATATTTTTTTAGTTATTTTAGAAAAACCGTTTTTTGCAACTTTGCGATTTTTCTTAACCATGTTCGCCATTTTGGATCGAGTTTAAAGAACAAGAAACTCAATTTAAAATTTAATTTTCTATACGGTCATATATTTTTTTGTCCAGGTAATAATTTCTGCAAATTTAACATTAGGCCGTGACAGAATGCTTGGACTATCTACAATTTCATCACATCTGAATTAGCTGGTTACCGCTTACTTGGATATAATAGGAGTTTTTTCCGATCTGTACATGGAGATGTCGAACCTCTCCAAGAACTGCACCAGAGAAGTTTGGTACATCACGTTAACCATAGCCATGCTCACGATGAGGAAGTACAGCACGCTCCCCCTAGTGGCAACCGGCCGAAACTCTTCCCTGGCCAGGTTAATTTTCGTCTCGGTCTCCTTGGCGATCGTTAATTTCTCCTTGACCTCGTTGGCCGTAGCCTTGGTCGTATTTAACACGCCGATAACAGTTTCGTCGTCTAATAAGGAGCCCTTCGTGGTGGTCAGTTTGTACAGGAGGTTCTGTTCGAGTTCCTGCATCTTCCTCCGGTTCGCCGTCACGTCCTTTATCAGGTTAGTCCGTTCCGTCTCCAGTTCCCTCTTTTCCGTGAGTATCACCCTGCCGAGCAGCTGGTCTTCCAGACCCTTCATGGTCACCGTGAAGTCGATGACGGACGTCCTCGCAAATATCTCGGGGGTGTAACTGGGATTTGCCAGTTTTGTGGTTATGTACAATCTGAAGCTGTTGTTGACGTCCACCTCTTTGTCCCCGACTTTTACTTTGTACGTAGTACCCACTTTGATGTGATTCTTTTCCAGTACGTTGTCCAGAGCAGGGTCCAATTCTTCACCTATGTCTTCGATGATCATCGGGTATCCTAGAGAGACGGCGTCTTCTATGTGATTCCTGAAACACAATTGTGATTGTTTAGTTCTAAAGAGAAATGTAGCGAGAAAACGTACCTGAAATACTTGTGCGTCAACTGACTGACTATTAACTGATTCGCCCTCTCTTTCTCTTTGATCCAAGTCTTTCCTTGGGACTGTGGATCGATTAGCAGCGGATAGCGTCGAGCTGTCGTCACGATAATGCCGTTTTGAACCGACAGATCGTCAGTTGGCAAACCTTGAAGATTCCACTCCCCAACCTGGAATTTAAAGCGTATCGTAACAACCCTATTTGAAACAATATTTCTCTTACCGTCGCCGTGTCTGATAAGCTGTCGATAATATTGAGGCTTAGAGTGACGGGTATCTTCCTTTTCGCTAAGCTGTCGAGCCACGATTGTTGCATGACAAACCTAAATTCCTGATTGAAGGGACCAGTGTACCCCAAAAAGCCGGTAAGCAGTACGACGTCGCCCACGAGCCTCTCGGTTTCCGCCTTGAACTGGGCCAACTGGTCCGTCCAGCGAACTCTCTCACCTGCCAGTCCATCTATTAAGGCGGTGGCGGCGTCCATTTTGTTCTTCACCTTCATCGCGTCCTCGAAAACTGCCTGAAAATTAGTTCGAGGTAATTCCAACAGAGCGTACTGCTTTGCAGTTTCACCTTTTTAAATGCCATGGCCACATCGTACTGATCTTGACACTGTTTGACTTCCTCCTCTTTGGTCCTCAACAGTTCCATGGCCGACGATAGTTCGTCTTGGGCTCTGTTCAGTTTCACCTGCTGAATGGCCAAATTTGCCTAAAAAGAATGTATCGTTTATAATAACGTCACATCTGAGGGTGATGAGTGCTAGTCTACTACGTTCTAGTCCAAAGACAGTTTTACTTACTTTTAACGGCAGCACTTCTCTGTTGACTTCGAAGAAGGACGCCATAGCGATGGTCCAAGAAATCAGACCCGCTACGTTGCCGCAAGCAGTCTTGGCAGCCTCGAATGTGTATAAGGGGAAATTAAAATACGGAACGAGTAAATCGACGATTTCTGCATTGATGGTATCCTTGGGGTACTCCTGCAGTTTTCTTAAGAACTGAGTATCCGCCATTACCTAAAAAGTGGATTTCGTAGACCAACGGGGGTTATTAATTTTTTTTTAATACAATGTACCTTTAGAGATTCACCCCAAGACGTCATCAAAAAGTTCTTCTCGGGATCAGGTTTTACCGGATCCAGCTTTCTCTTGAAATAAATGCACACTGCGTCCATGATAACGGTAATTAAGAATGGCGGTTTACCTAATTTCCTGACAGTCGCGATATCCGATGCTTTAATTGTCTGAAAACGATATTATTTAATTTAAAAGGATATCCGTGACTGAGAAGTATACACGCTTACTAGCAAAGCTTGTTCGGCAGCGTCCAGAGCAGGCTTAGCTGCCAACAGTTTGCCTTCTGCTTCCTTTTGATCCACACTGATCAGCGCCACCAGATTTTCAGCCCTGTCTTTCACGATAGTTGCCTCTTCTTTGATTTTGTTCGCCACCTCCGATGCCGCCAACACCTCATTCAGCACCTAGTTATTAGATTCAATATTTTATCCAAAGACAAAAAAAAAAAGGATTTTTTATACTTTTTCGGCAGCTTCAGTGGCAACGCTCATTTCCTTTTCTTTAACGGCCAACTCCTTCCTCAGCTCGTCCACGCTGACTTGCGCCTCGACCAGTTTCGTCAAACCGCTCTTCATGCGCATCGCCAAAACCCCGATTTCATCCAGCTTCTTCTTGTAAAGCACCTGGTACGCCCCTAGGAAGGATATGAACGTTTTCGGCGTGACATACGTCCTTCGGCGGAATCTACAGAGGTGTTATTTATTATTTTTTTGTTTATAAGACAAGGGTTATTTTTTTAAATATTACTCAATAAATAATCATAAAAAAGAGAATAAGTTTTATAAGATTTTAAAGGCACAGGATGACAAATAAACTTTAAGGAAAAATCACTTCCAAGTCTGTTTTTCCCTCAAAAAAAGCGTCAAGTTTTGTAGCTTCAACCTTACTTTTACTTATCCGATAGCGTAACTTATAAAACGAATGGCCCAATGTCAGCAGGACACACAACTAAATTGAAAGTTGGGTTTTAGGTATATTCGTCCCAACACCACAGAAAAACATTGTAGACATAACGATTTGATCACCATGGATTTAACAATAATGCCAAATCTTGCCACACGACGCAATTAGGAACTTACTTGTTGAAGTACTGGACGCAGAATTCCGCCACATCGTCTTGGATCTCCGCCATGATGTAAATTAGTTCCTGTTTCACTTCAGGCGTGGATACCACAGCGTAGTTTTTCAGGAAGTGCGAAGATACTTCTATCAACGCGTCCTCCGGCCACTTAGAGAACCAGTCCATCGTGCATCCGGAAATTAATCCGGGGAACTTCAACGCCCTTTTTCTAAACTTTTCTCCGACCTAGACGTTGTACTGATGTTAGTTAAATAAATCGAAAAGAAATACATGCGCCTAACCGGTGAGAAGCACAAGGTTACGTGTAAATTCGACCTCGCTCTGGTGATGAAAAAGTCGTATAGGTTATCCACCGTCGGTGGACGTTTTGGTTGCAGCTTCTTCATCACAGGTATCAGAGTCGACTGTATCTCGTCGAGCTCGTCTTTAGCGAAAAGATTCGCTATTTCTCCTGAGCTCAGGATATTATTCAAACTCTCCAAGAAAGTCTCCTCCTTGATTTCGTTGTCGGTGAAGATGAACGTTGTACCGTGGCCTACCATACCCGCTTCCCGATACAGATATTTCATGTCGTCCATCAAGTTACTTACGTTGTACGATCTGTAAAATTAAAAGTTAAGGTGTCTTACATTATGGGATATCGTTATTTTGTAAGGACCTGGTTAGCTGTATCTGGAAGCTGTTATAATTTGCCATGAAACTGGCCAGTCTGGTCAAGCTCTGCTTGCCGGATCCACCGACTCCTACAAGAAGAGCGTTTCCCCTGGCTGTCCTTATGATCCTGGATATTATCATTAAGTGTACCATGGCATCGTGGAAGAACACCAAGTCCATACTGGCGCCTCGTACCTGCTCGTTATATGTCGCCATAAACGCTAAAAAACAAATTCAAATTCTATGCTGTCGGTCACTGAAAAGTGTTTAAAAATAGGAAATCAAATTTACTGAATAATTTCTCCTTCAAAAATTCCCAACTGGGTATCTCTTCGTAAATCTTAGGAGCGTCGAAGCAAAAGTCCTCCGGTTCATCTCCTGTCGCCTCAGGCGGCTCCCTAAGGAAATCTACCCAGAAGGATTCTTCTTGCGTGTAGAACTGATAATCTTCACCCAGTTCCTCCTCTGCTTGTTTTCTAATATTCTCCATAAACCAAATTCTGTCCATATCCTCTATGAATCTGCAAACAAACACTTTTAAACGCTACACTTATCGCGACCGAAGGTTTATACCGATCAGCTATCACTCTTGCGCACTCGTGTTGCCACAGCTTTAGCAACGACGTTTTGGTCTGACACTCGAGATTCTGGACGGTTAGGATGCCCTGCCAGATACGAGACAGGTCTCGTAAGTTGAAGACGTAGTGGAACTTGGCCGGCGTCGGCAGCATCTTCTTTTTCGTGTTCTGCCAGATGTGCCTGGTTAAAGGTACGAGCTTCGGAAGGAAATCCACTACTTCCTGATTGAATCTTTCGATGCAGAAGTAGCCGCATCCGATTTGACCTAGAAGAAAATTACATATCGTCAGTCTACTTAATACTGTTATCAAGAATATATCTTGCAACGTACTGAAAATCAAATCCATAGACGTGGTACTAGGCAACGTGCAGTTAAATATACAGAACTGCCTCTTAAGTCGGTGCGGTATATCGTTTCTGCCGCCCCCTGGATGGATCATAGCTGCCAGGAACATTACGTCCACAATAAAAGAGAAATCGCCAGGCTTGTCCAAACTGTAGAAGCCTGAAATAAGCTCCGTCAACAAATTTTATGCGGAATAATATATGTCGACAGTACCTCCCGTTTCCATGAGCTGCCTTACAATTTCGTTGGTTATCTGATCTCCCCAGTCGTTGATTACAGGCATATTTATATCATCTATGAATATCGTCAAGGTTTTTCCTGCCGGGGGACCAAAGGTGGTTCCCACTCGTTTGTCCACATATGACTCAATAATTCGCTAAGAAAAATAATAATTTAAGACCTGGTTTTTTTCGATTCTGCCTCACAATACGGCAGTATTTATTTGAATTTGGTATTTCGCGTTTTACTATTCTAAAAACAAGCAACCAAGAGATGGCGCTGTTAAAATACCTTTTGCACTATAATGTCGCATTCATTATAAAAGTAAATCTTGTGACATCGTAAGAAATTATTTTTTTCTAATAATATCTCCTATTGTTTTAAAATAATTCAGTTAAGTAAAAACTAAACGCCAAGAAATTGTTAAATCGTCAAATCATCGGTCTTCTTCATCACAAAGTTGCCATTTAACGACATCTATTGCCGCCACTGTCCTTATATGGCCACTATGGCATTAATTAACTGAAATATTTCGAATTAAGTGATTTTCCTACTCTGGGATCATCCAAGAGTAGGCAGATCAGTTTAATGGAAAGCCTCCCATGGTTTTAACCTCAATGTTAATTGACACGTGTATTTTGTTATCGTCGGTAACTTAGGCTTAATAGTCCAGTCATTATACACGAAACAGCCTGTTTCGGGAAAAAAATACTATTACAAGTTTCTCTTTACTAAGTGGTAAAAATTTTAGCCCGAAAGCTTCATTGGTTTGGCGTTATCTAAGATGCTATTTTAAATTCATTTTTGTACCTAAATAGTTGTATTAACATATGCATTTACTGAGAATTTAATTTTTCAAATTTAATTTGTTTAAAAATTACTTCGAAAAAATGTTAATATTTATTAAATTGTTAAGATAAGTAATTATTATAAAATTAAATAGTAACCTCTATAATTTAGTTCAGTTTTCTTCAAATTTAAAAAAAAAAATGTTCTAAGTTGATTAGAAGCCGATATAATTTTTTTTTTATTTAATCGCAGTGACCTTAATTATTAATATTAAGAACCGAAATTTGGCGAGAGTATACATTAAGAGCTATATTTTCAAGTCCTGCGCGCAGGAAAATGATCGAGCGGCTTCAAATCGATGGAGCTGGAAAAATTAACCATATCTCGGTTAATAACACAGGCCAACAAGGAAAAAATTCCAGAGATCAGACACTGCGTTTCCGAAGGCATTTGGCGCGCTGAATCCGAATCTGGCCTCAGAATTGATCCATCACCCTAGGTTTCCGAGATATTCTAACCTAAAAGTGCAAAAGCACGTATTTTTGCTATTTTCAAGGTTATGTAACTTGGCGAAACAAATTTTTTTTCTCAAAACTGAAAATATCATTGGAAACTACTATCTTTCCCCTTAAAAACGCATTTTTTTATTTGTAAAAAGCTTTATTTTTCGCGGAGATATCGTCGATTAAAGATGATCAGTATAGCTACCTTATTAAACCATGGCTCGACCTATAACACAATTAATGGGTATTATGGGTTATTGGGTAATAGGGCTTGAAGTTAACCTTCCTGACGATTAGGGCTCACAGCGCTTAGTGTTGTTATAGGTTATAGGGCTTGGGATTAACCTTCCAGACATATAGGGCCTGGGGTTAACCTTCCTGACGATTAGGGCTCGCAGCGCTTAGTGTTATCGGGTTATAGGGCTTGAAGTTAACCTTCTTGACGATGAGGGCGCTCGCTCCGCTTAGTGTTGTGGGGTTATAGGGCTTGGGGTTAACGTTCCTAACAATTAGGGCTAGCAGCGCTCAGTGTTATGGGGTTAGCCATGATGTAATAATATAGCCATACTGGTTATCTTAAATTGACGATATCTCCGCGAAAAATAGAGCTTTTTCCAAATAAAAAAATGCGTTTTGAAGGGGAAAGATAGTCGTTTCCAATGATGTTTTCAGTTTTAAGAAAAAAATTTTTTTCGCCAAGTTACATAACCTTGAATATAGCAAAAGTACGTGTTTTTTGCACTTTTAGGTTAGAATATCTCGGAAACCTAGGGTGATGGATCAATTCTGACGCCAGATTCGGATTCAGCGCGCCAAATGCCTTCGGAAGCGTAGTGTCCGATATCTGGAATTTTTTTTTTTTAAATTTTGTCGGCCTGTGTAATGAACCTATCGAGATGATTCTTTTTTTTTAATTTGTGGTAATGCGAAAATTCATGAGCATTGAAGCTATTGTATTAACATTATTTCAACCCGAGATTTAATTTTTTATTTAGCCTCGCTCTTCCCACTCGTTCGCTAGACCAAGTAATAGAATGCATCGCCGCTATCTTCTTTTTTGGAATTAAATAGTTGAATTCACCTTAATGTGTTAGGACATGAAAATACAGCTCTTAATGTATACTCTCTCCAAATTTCGTCTTTTAATAATTAAGGACACTGCGATTAAATAAAAAAAAATTGTCTCAGCTTCTAATCAACATGAACGATTTTTTTTTTTAATTCGAAGAAAAATAGCAACTAAACTATAGACGTTACTATTTTAGTTTAATAAATATTAACAATTTTTCAGTCACTTTTAAACAAATTAAATTTGAAAAACTAAATTCTCAGTAAATGCATGTCAATACAACTATTTAGGTACAAAAACAACTAATGATCGAAACTCTACAACGCCTGTGAGCTTGGGAAAAATCAATTGAAAATGGCATCTTCTTAGATAACAAATTCCGCCAATGCCAAACTAATGAAGTTTTCGAGCTGAAATTTTTACCACTTATTAAGGGTGCAAAAAGCCTCAAAAATCCTCAATTATAAGTGTCTGCGATGAAAACTGCATTAATTATTAGCAATTGAAAAAAAACGGCAATTTTCGACCATTTTTGAACTCTTGCGCATAAACAAATTATCGGAATTTAATCGGACTTGTCTTACTTTACAGATTTATTTAATACCTACCTTTTTTGTATAAATCTTTTTTCTCTATGAATAACAGTTTTTTTAAGCGAGTCAAAAAACCACGTTTCCATAACTTTGACCACTGTTTTAACAAAGTTTCCCAACTAGTCTCGAGTTGATTTTTTTATTTTGTTTACAACACGTTTCTGAACAATATTCCGCAAAAAAATTTCTAATAGTATTTTTTTCCCGAAAAAAAGCTATAAATTCTACCCGATTCTGTTTAAAACATTTTTATCAAGAATTTAACATACCTGCACCATGTTAGGTGTAGTGGCAGAAGAAAAGTTAAAGCACTTGCTCAGCTGAAAGTCTGGGTCAAACGAAGTGGTGAATCCTTTAATCATGACAGTTTTTGCTGTACCAGGCTCACCTAAAAGCGTGAAATCAACCAAATAAACATCAACTCGGGCATCTAGGTGTTTCATAATTTACCTATAAGCAGCACTGCTTTAGTTTGCTTCGCGATATTCTGGATCAGGAAAGCAGTTCTCACGTTGTCGACATTTGGCACTAAAATACCAGTGAATTCCAAGATGCTGTCAGTGGGATACACGAACTGCTCAACCCTTTGAGACCAGTGTTCCCACCGTCCGTTCTCGGGGTTAACCACGTATTCGAAAATAGTCTCGTTTTCGTTACATTTCGGCCAGTCCATTTTAGACGGATGAGTCACGGCGATCTCTTCCAGCTTAGCCCTGCCGTCAAGTTCTAACAACGCCCCTAGCGACCACATCGTCGAAAATAGATACAGACGTTCTAATTGCTTGTCAGTCCAAACCTCTGCGTTAAAAAAAAATTTTATTTTTACGTAACAACGTTACACCAGATGCATACTGGGTTCGTCGGATATGTCCAAAATCCCTTGCAATATATCCGTGCACTGCCTGATATAAAACGCCTCCCTAACAAACATCTTAGCCTTGAGACGCGTCTGGACGTAGGTGTGCAAGTCGTCGTAGCACTTATTAAATAGGATTCTGATGGTATCTGCTTCGGCTTGCGGCCTAGTCTTCAGCCAACCCTCTAATATGGGGGACCAAGGCAGGACCGAGGAACTCATAAACACCATACCCATCCTGGATACGGTCGCCGGACTGGCGTTGTCCACGTTGTCGGGCTCAAACACCAGTTTACAGTTGGCGGCCATCACTATACGGTCGCCGTTGGCCAAGGTTAACGTTTTATTGTCGTCCAAAACAGAGTTGAGGTTCTCGATCCACACTGCATCTACTGGCCCATCCAGGACTAACCTGTTGAATATACAGGGTGTAACTTTAAGAAAGTGTCAGAATACTAATTCGATATTACTTTTTTTTTACTCAAATAAATAATTGAGTTATAATTCCCTCGTCTACGCCGCTTATGGGCAGTCCTTGAACTTGAACCATTAAAAAAAACATTAAATTTGAAATATTTTTTAAAATCAAAGTAATTTTTAAAGCAAGCTGTTTAGTTTGTGAAACTCAGTGACAATGACTACTGACTGGTTTAGGTCATGCATGTAATATTGATCCGAGTATGCGCTACTAAGAAAACTTGGCGACACTTACCAACAATAATCCCTTTTCTTGAATTTTAAGGTTCTTCTCCACAGCGTGGAGAAAATACCATCCGTCCAATCGTTTGTCGCTACGTCCAGCCTTCCGAACATTTGTGGCGCTGTGATAGCCTAAATAAAACACGGATTAAACAAATCGTACTTAAATATCGTCGTTTCGTTACTTTGGGATTCATCCTCAGTTCTTTATGTGAAAGACCCATTTCCGTCATCGACCGCATCAGGCAGTGCATACATTTTGTTTTACCGGCACCCGTTGGACCTACAAGGGAATGTAAAGTACGATTTTTTCTACATGAAGGCTATTTTAATAAGTTTACCTAAAACCATGAGGCCATGCCGGACTAACGACGTTTCATAGAGCTGGACTAGTTTCAAGTTCCAACTGGGATAATTGATCAGGCCCATCTCAGCCGTCTGGTTCGTTATCGCTTTCTGAAGATCTTTCCACGTCTTCGTCATCAACTTGATCCCGGGGAACATGTCCTCGATCAGCGAAAGGAACAGAGGTTCATCTTCGTCTATCAATTTACTCAGATTCATGTCTCTAAAAACGGTAGAATACGATTACGAGGAACGAAACGTTTAAGTGTATCAAACCTCAAGACTCTCATAACGGTCACTTCTTCACTGTCGTTGGGGTTGGCTCGTTTCTGAGCTCCGAGGGTACGTAACACCGAAAGAATGTTCCTCAGACCGAAATCGTAATGCACCTGCTTAGACAGTTGTTCTTCACACAATTGGTACAGGGTGTAAAACTTCCTGGACAGGTACACGTTGTCTTTGAACCCGCAGGATGCCAGCTTCACCCGAATGATGATCTGCCTGTCGGGCACCATCATGGCGACGCTGCGGAACATGATTTTCAAGTTTTCCGGCAATTCTTGTCGACCGGCATAGCCGGGATTCATGGTTAAGAAAATCCCAAATTCGATGTTCATCGATACATTGTCACCGTCCCTGGAAAGAAGACATTTTGAATAACGGACAATTATTTTTACATTTCCGAGAGACTAGGATATTTACATGAAAATAAACATTGGTTTTCTCTCCTTCCTCGCTTGTAACACGATGAATATCTGCTGCGCCGCTACTGAGAGGACCGGCAGTTCTATACGATTGAACTCGTCAAAACAGCCCCAGGTTCCAGACTGAGCTAAACCCTGAAAACGTAATCAAAAAGAATTATTTTCCATTTGTTTAAACTTCCCGAGTAAGGAACTGAAAGTGAACCAGCAGATAATGGAAATTAATAAGATTTAGACAATATTTCATTTTTTTACCTTGAAAATTCTCCCGAGGCCTCGGAAGTCCATCTGATCAGAACAATTGAACACAACTACAAATTTACCGAGAGTTCTCCCCATGTCCTTGGTCGTCTCTGTTTTACCAGTTCCGGCAGGACCGGCGGGGGCGCCGCCCATGTTTATCCCTGCAAGAAATCTATTTAAAAAAAAATACCTACAATTTTTTTCATTCCTTTACAAATGGCTTGCGCTAAGGTGATGTAACACCTGTCGGTCAGTGGAGTAATAGCCAAACGTTCCGTAATACCCAAGTACTCGTTCTGGTACAAGAATATGACATCTGTTATCTTTACGAGGACGTCGTCGTTTTCTTCGTTGTAATAGAACCTCGTCTGGGCTTGCCAGGCAAAGTCCAGGATGGACTTCACCCTCTGCTTGCAGATGGTATCGAATATGTCCCTGAAAATCCAACATGGAAGATTAAAAACGGCGGTTACTTTGGATAAATTTACCTCTGATGGACGTGTATTGTTACCATCGTTTCGTAACGCACCCTCTGCATTTTCGTTAGATCCTGCGACGTCAAATCGATAAGGGCGTTTAGTAGATCCAAGAACCTCTGGTTCGTGATTTTCATCAGCATCCTGTCCACTCTAGCTTTCTTTATAGCGATTTCGGCCTCCTTAGTCCACAGAATTTGCACACCTACTAGGCCGGCCTACGAGACAAACCGTTTAAAAAACCACACCGGCCAGATACAGTTCTCACCTGTCCACAGAACGTAACGAAGTTAGCTACAAAGTCATAGTTTGGATCCACGAAGCACTGGGCTTGTGAAGCGATGACGTTCTTCACAGTGTCTCTGACCATCTGGAGGAGACTGTTCAACCAGAACTCTACACCGCCCACACACTGGACTCCCTTCTCGAAAGGAACCTTCTCGCCTAGATCGGATTTCATCGTTATGATAGTGTCGGTTTTTTTGTCGTCAAAGTCCACCTAAAAACGTAAATTATTTGGTATGTTTAAAAACGTCACAGTGTGGGAGTTCGTACTTTAAAAACTGCATCAAATAAACTGGGTAAATGCGGCTGGATGGAAGACGGGTCCGAGCTCTGACCCAATATTTCCAACAGCACCGGATCGGAAATGAAAAAGAACCTCGGGAAGCATAACCGTTTGGATTCTAAAAGAAAAATTGACCGTATTGATCCGTTAACTTCTAACGAATGCTTTATACAACCTAAATATCCCGTTAAACTCTTCTGGCAGGTCTCCAACTGTTCCAGGAGATGAGGCAGCAACTGGCCCATGGTCTCGTCCCCCGTGCAGCATTCTACGGCGTTCGGAATTTCGTGCGCCCTCTGCATGATTTTGATCCAGGATTTATCGATATTCTGTACGAAATAACGCATGTATTTGTAAATTCTACAGTTACTGTTAATTTAACAAGGCATACGTTAAATCTCTTGGCCTCTGCCGGCAATTGGCGGGAGATGTCGCCGCCGACAAACACAGCTTCCAGATATACCCAAAGGTTCTGCACGATCATCCACTTTTCCAAAATCTCGGAGGTGTCCACCAACTTGTGCACCCACAGCTGGATATCTTTTTTAAAAGGAGCGTTGTATCTAAGATGTTGATAATAAAAATTAGCGATTTCTATAAATCATTCTAAAGCCCCAGTAAATAAAGAAAACACGAAAACTCCACCACAAATAAGTAACTTCAAACGATATCGCAATATCCTGTAGTTCCTGACACACCTGTTACTTAAAAGCGAGTTCATCACCATCAAGCTGTCCTCCAACGCGGTGATAATTTCCCCCGTTTCCTGCCCCTTCAGTAACAGTTCGCCTCTGGTTTTAAAAGTGGCAAAAGACAGCTCCACGATCGCCCAGTCCGCTATCACTTGCTTCAGCTTGGCTTCTATGTCTTTCTCCTTGACGGCGCTGATGCAAATATCTTCTACGTCGTCTTTGAAGGCCAGCAGAGGGGCTTCCATCACGTTTCTGAGAGTAAAAGTGGGCGATTCCACGTCAAAAGTGTAATTGGTAACGTTGCTTATCCTCTTCCAGTGCCTGTCTTTCATGGCCTGTAAAAAAGTGCGAATACGGTAAGTCGGGAGCATCAGCTTCTCGCACTACTATTGATAAGTAGCGAAACATTTTTTCTCACCTTATTAGCCATCAATTCCAGCAAAGGACAAGTCTCACTAAAGTCATCAATTTTCTTTTTCAAATCCAGGAACGCAGGCCAATCTTTCATGCCTTTTGGAAGTTTACGGCATCTAAGAATGCAAAAGAGTGAACACTTAACGGAAGTTATAAAAAAACATTATAAATAATAAATAAATAAATAAATCTTCACTCGCCTGTTCTGGAATTCCTGCAGCTCCGCGAAAATCACATCCGTATCCACGTCGCTCCACAAGATATCAAAGTAACCGTCTATACTGTGATTGACGGCCAAATAGAGGCCGTAAAGTTTATTCAGCAGATTAAATTCTTTCTTCCTTTTGTGTAGTACGGGATAATCGTTCACTTCCAGGCCGAAAAGCCTTTCGCCGCTGCTGTACATCTCGAATTTCCTCCAGAGTTCGTCGAAGCGGTCTTGGAACACCAGTACTCTGTCGCTGGCCTCCCGAGCCGACAGACCTGGGACCATGGGACCTTTCTCTTCAAAGTCCTTGTCGAAAATAGCGACGTCATCCTTGAATTTGGCTACGCCTTCGGTTAACTCCTCCAGAAGGGGGCCTTGCACCGTGCAGATCTCTTCCTGTATTAGTTTTGACTAAAATAAAAGAGAAATGCCAATTCAGTGAATTTTTACTTCGTAGATACATTGCATAGCGGTGAAGTAAAGAAATAGATAAAAATGGTAGTCGAGCTGTTAATACTTACATGGGTAACCATATTCTGGAAATTAAATCTGAGAGATTCGACCCTTTCTATCTCCTCTTTGGGGACGTCGATATTAAATCTGGCAAAGGTGCCGTATGCTTCTTCCATCAGTCCTAGATCCATGTCCATTTCTATGAAGTTCTCCCTTATGACTTCCAAACAGTTCATCGCAAGCCTAAACATATTTGAGCAACACCTTCGTAAACTCGTGTGTATCAATACTCACCGGCAGTCGTCCAAGTCTTTAATTGGTTTGTTCAAAATTTTCTCCTGAGTTTTGATGAAATCTACCATCTTATTCAGCTTCTGCTTATAAAGCAGCCCGAGCTTTTTGCCCAGTATGTGTTTCCAAGCTTCGGATTCCACCAGCAAAGCTAATTTGTACATTTCTGAAAATTTCGCGAGTTTTAATGTCGCCCGACGGTGTACAATTTTTAAACGTACCCATCGCAACTTGGACGGCGCCGATGTTATGTTTCTGTGGCAGTTGCTTTATCACCTCGGCCCTCGCGTCGTATTCCTGGAATCTCTCGGAGATCTCTACGATAAGCGGATTGGTCTCGCAAAAGTCCTCGATCTGCTTATCCCTGTCCTCGGCCCAAAGGAAATTCCACTCCAGATATTTCTATAATAACCGCGCATGTAAATTAATTTGGCCGGGCATCTATCTTTTAATTATGTCAAAGTTCACGCAACGTTACTCACTTCCAAAAGGCTTAAAATGTCCGGATTTACTAGGTACATGACGCCTTGGAGGCTCATGAAAATTCTCACTATTTCCTTGTTCTCGCTGACGACTTTGAAATAGTTGTAAGGTTTTATCAAACTCTCGGCATCCTCTATAAAACATATAAAGGTCATGTTGAACTATTTATTATACCGTTTGTTTCTTACATAGGAGTTTCTCTTTTAACTCAACAACATTTCCAAATAACAAAAATTACTGCAAACAATCGTTATCATAATTAAGTAATAATAGCTGAAAGTCGAACAATTAGGAACTGCTTACGTCATCATAAAATGATTGAAATGTATCATGCAAATGAATATTAGTATACGGGGAACGTCACCAAAATGCAGTCATAGCATCACGATTGTACGCGGAGAATGTAGATTTATGCTGTTTAAAGGATTCGCAGAATTTGTTTTAGGATGAAAGATGAAACAGTCATGTTAAAATTTTCTTTAAATATTTGGGTTGGTATCGAGTCTACTTATTAACTGAGACTTATCAAAATTTTTTGAAGAAAATACGTTTGAACTACTCGTCCCCCTTAAAACTTAACACAACAGGTGGATAGTCTGCAATAACGCTCAAGTTAAATTAAAAGCTTGGTGAATAGGAGAAATTACATTGGAGGAATTATGGGAAGGTTAGGGAAGCTGTCCATGCAAAACGCTTGCTTCTAACAGCATGCACGGAGTCGTAGACACCTCGAAAGATAGCTTGTGTGAATGAAAACAATAGTAGCGACATATTTCAAACGTCTCCTTTACACAGACCTAGACATAACTAAATTAGAAGGTCATTTATCAGGAGTTTTTGAAAAAACTGTTACATGAAAAAAGTTTTTTGAGTTATATGACGTGTTAAGCGAAAAACTCCGATACCAGTGTTGATCTCAACATATTTCAGAGAATAGGATCGATAATCAATAAAAAAAAGTAAACCTTTTTTCGTTTTAATGGTAGATTTCTTCTTGTCGACATCTTGCCCCCACATACTTATATACTTGTGAGTGTCCAAGATATTGTTCAACACTTGCGCGAAGTGGCTTTGAATTTCGTCCAAACTTGGGTTTATTGTGGCAATGGGAATTTGTAGGATCATGTTGGTCTTCATGATCGGCTTTGCAGTGGAATCTCCTAAGCTGCGAGTCGAAAGGGGAATAACGTATCATATTTGTCATAATTTCTTAATATTCTGCGACTCACCTTACCGCCCTGCGCTTCACTTTTTCCAGGGACAATTTTGTACATTTAATTAAAGCATCGATAATTTTCATATTGAAATACGAGAACATCTCAATACAATCCGAGTGTATAGAAGCCAGGTCCAAAGGAACGTTTCGGTCGATTTCCCTGAAAGCTGAAACGTAGCGCGACAGATTTTTATAAAAGAAAAAATTTCTTCGTTATAATACGCACCTGCATCTCCTGACATGAGTAGTTTCGACGATGAACCAATCGGTTTCAAAACCTTCTCAGGCACTAGCCAGTTATACTTGTTTCTCTGCAAATCCGGTTGATCGATGACACTCAAAAATTTGTTAATCAAGTCAATCACACACTTCTCCACGGTCGAGGACTTCAGTTCAATGTCCCTACCTGAAAAACGTTTCAGGATAGCACTGAAATGTAATCGTAGTTTCGAGAACACTTACAGATTTTTTGCCGGTGCTTTATGTTAAGGTCTAGGAACTCGCTAGGGCTCGTCGCCTCAGAGGGAACGTACACCAGACAAGTCCTGGCCAAGGTCTCCAGGACCTCGTCTATCCTGGCCTCCTTCATATCCTTCACTTCTTTAACGAACATTTCGATGTAATCCAAAACGTCCGTTACCTCCTGGCAGAACTGCGGTATTTTCATGGAAGTCCACGTTATCGTCGAGAAACCAGGCATGAAAACGTTTTCCATTTTTATCAACTGGACCCTCATCATGGGCAGAAACAAAGTGGGAATGTTCATTCTTATGGAATCGTTCCTTGCCACCAGCGCCTTGACAACTTCGTACGAGTTGAGCAGCTTCTCCTTGCAAAAAACGAGGACCTGGCCCACGTCGGGAACAGCTACAAACAAATTTCCCATATTATTCCAATTACTGTACGTTTAAAAGCGATTTTGATATAATTTCGTTCTGTATTATTGTAATACTCCACCTAAATCCAATTTGTACATATATTCCGCTTCCCTAATAACCTCCGTGATGTACGGGTGGAAATTCACACAATAACGTTTAGTTTTCTCATGTTTGTACATGATCGGAGCCATTAAGCAGTGCCTTACCTGAGAATTAAAATGTATGAAAATACATTTTTTTTTTGTACGGGCTGTATTTTACCTGACCAGCAAATGCATACCACGCATCGTGGTATATATTCTCATACTGCACAAAGACTAGAGACATCGCATTGAAGAGTTGAATGCATTTTTGCACTTTCCTATGCCGCATAACCTACATACATACATATAAGTACAGGGTGAAACTAGAATGGGGGTCATATTTATGCGGAGACTAACTTTAACTTTTAGAAATACTGATTATAAGTTTGAAATAAAATGAAGCGGTAACATATTTGGCGATTTTCGTTTTACCAAATTTGTTTTTTTGCTTGCCAAGTGCCATGTTGTCATATCACATCAGGTGGATAATTGTTTGATCACCTAAGTTAAATCAATGTCAGAGGTCATTGACAGTTTAATTCACAAACTAAACGCAGTGCTTAAAAAAAATAGTAACCAGTCCTTTTTATTAAAAACTTGAGATGATTTCTAAAAATATTTCAAATCTATCACATTGGTAAGCATTTTTATTTATTTTTTATTATGTATATTTAAGACTATTACTGTTAAAGTTACACCATTACATTTGAACTAAATTGAAACTACTTTAAGCTTACCCGTGGTTTTGTTTTGAACACTTCCATTGGCTCCTCTATCCTCTTATAAAAGTGCCTTATCCACATTATGCGACCGCTGACGGGCGGCATATTTCTCGGCACCAAAGGCGATTGTCTCTCCTCGTTATACCGATCCCGCAGAATGTCGATCTCAGTTTGGAACATCTGCATCGCTTCCAGATATCTCTCGTCCAGGTGCAAGCACTCGAGATTCAATTTTTCAAATCTAAACCAAATCATTTGAGGGGGGTGCGCAAATGAATTTTAGTAAGCGTTATACCGTTTTAACAGTCTCAGTACATTGTCGACGTCGGTCATGTTCTCTAGTGAGTTTCCCACAAATTCTTCCAGTTCCCACTCCGTGTCCACGACGTTTTGCCGGAAATCCTTATAGTCTTTGTCGAAGTTTGGAAGACGGTGGTTTAAGGCGTCATATTTTTGTGACGATATCTTCTTGTGGAACTCGATGAACTTGTTTGCATAAGAGTCGATACCTTCAATGTTGCTGCTTTGCAAAATGGAATATTTTATGGTGGTGTTCAGGACGAAAACGATCTAAAAAATTTGAATGTTGGAGTTTGAAGGAATTATAATCGTTATTGTTTACTTCTTCAAGCCTTTTCTGAAACGATTCCAGTTTACCAAAAACGAACATTTCAGAACAATCGAACCGCTTTTCGTCTGCTTCACTCATGTGCTGCTCGGTATGCTTGAAGCACTGGTAGTATTTCAAGTATAAGTCCAAGCATGTCTGTGAATCAATATAAACGGTTAAACGGAGCAGCGAAAAGACACGCACTCACCTTGATTTTGTCTAAAACGGCCTGTTTAGGTTGATTCCAGATCGTTTTAGTCCCATAGCAGTTCAAATAATTCCTACATTTTATTATAATCTGGTTCGACACTTTCACCAACAACGCCGTAACGTTGGCGGTGCTGTTGTAGTATCTCGACGTGGTATGTACCATGCGGACAGCGTGAAGAAGGGGTTGCACGTACTGCGGAAGCTGCGGCGGCTCCAGTCTGTAGAAAGGTTGCCAGTACTGTTCCATGGAGTATAAATATTTGACGTTGTCGGCGCATTCGTTTTTGGTATCGTACGCCGCGTCGACATGTTTCTTCCAAATCTAAAAGTGTTAGTGTTGTGTTACATCTAAAGCAATTTCACTGAAATATGTTTTCCTTGAAGTATACCTTAATAATCTTATTATTCCCGACGTACTGAATAAATTCGATGAACTGTTTACATTGGTCGGTCTCGAGAAACTCAACGACGCAGGTGAATCTGGCTAGTTGCCTCCTCCAGTATTCTATTTCGACTACCGGACCCACAAACTCATTTTCTCTCCTTAGTTGTCTGTATTGCACCAAACACTATAAAATTTGGATCTTTCGGTAAATGCTTATGATACAATTGTAGTAGTGACAAATTAACCTTTTCTATAATCTTGTGCCACACTCTCACAGCCGTTTCGATTTGTTGGACGAGCGGCTTATTAAAATAAGCCCTTTCCCTTTTTTCCTCACTAATCTCGTTCAACAGATTAGCGTCAAATCCAAAGTGTACGATCCCTTGCAGGTCCATTTTTGTTTCTAAATATAAATTTGGGCGGCTTAGTAAACAAAAGTGCAAGTATAGACACGCGGCAATTACCGTCGAGGAAAGTGACGAAAGAGGAAAAGTCTCCCTCGAAGTTCAACTTTTGCATTCGTCCATTTTCCGTCTTTGGCAGATCTCCCCAATCTTTTGATAATGCCAGTAGGGGGGCGGTTAATTCCGCTAAAATATCATAAATTACAGCTGCCAAATTGGCCCTGCCGCAATCCATGTCGATCTGTATAAAACAAGCGTCCTAAAACAAATCGCAATATGAATGGAAGACCAGTGAGGCCATTTTTTCCATTACGTCGTTTATATTTTTTAAGTCGAGCCCCACATTGCGGTACTTGTACACAGCTATAGCTTTCTCCGCTAGTGGCATTACTGATCCGTTAGTGATGTAAATTCTTTTTATAGGATCTTTTTGAGCCGCGTTAAATCGGCCAGTCTCTAAAACAGAAATAATTCGGTAACGGATATATTTTATACGTTTAGTTACCTATAGGATAAGGTGGGCCATCTTGATAAAAGAACAAGATGGACATAATTTTGCCTTTATCTAGGAAACTTTGCAGCAAATTTAAATACTCTGGGTCATCAATAACGCCATCCATGACATCATTTGGTTCGATGCCCCAGTACATCGCCACCATGTCACATATGTGTCTATGGGGCAACTGGAGCTCTTGATAACGTTGCATCCGCTGCTCCTTCAATTTTTGTTGCAACACATGTAAATGAAAAATAATATGAAAATATATTTCTTAAATATGGCGTGACAGGTAAAAAATTTGAGTATTCAAGGCAGTATCGAGAAACTTACTATTTTTTCTTTTATAGTCTCCTGCATGGAAAATAATGTAGAACTTGTCCTCGGCTTTCGTCCTCCAGTTGTAGCGATTTGCCTGGCAAGTCCAATGATCATTTCCAAATCTTCATGTGTTTCGTCCTCGTCCATGTTCACAAGAGTTTTCTATTGCTTGCCTTAAATCGTCTGATTTTAAAATATTTAATAAAATCTAATTGTAAATCTCAACATAAATTATATTTTGATTTATGTGCGACAGATATACTTTGTTTAATTGCAAAAGCGACTAGATTCTGCAGGAAATGGAAAAATTTAAAGTTCTATTTTTTACATAATATGAAATTTATCTTTTAGGGTATGGATAAACAAAATAAAAGATAACTTAAAAAACTTTGTCCAGATTAAAGAAATTGGAACATGGTAAAATATTATTACACAACAGAAATTTTAATATTAAGTATTAATATGTAATAATTTTGATATTTTTGTATAGGGCTTTATTGACTGAAAAAAGCCGTTTTTTTAAAAGGATAAAAGTATTTTCTAACTTCTTATTGAAGATGATTATAAGAAGTCACTAAACTGATTTTAAGTGATTACAGAATTATAAATAAGTTAGATAAAACATAGGTATCAGATAAATAAAAATATAAATAAAAAATCAAACATAACTTAAAATCCTAGCCTCTTCTTTAAGTAAAAAATTCTGCTTACCTTCACATCAAGATTGTTTAAATAACAAACGAAATTCCCTTTCTCCTCTTCTTCTTTTTTGGCCTTCATCCAGAGGATATTTAGCCAGCTTCTTATGTAACAATTGTTTATTCAAGGAAATGCACAGCAAGTGCATCAGAGATTAAATACTCGTATTCCTTCGATTGGTTTTCAATATCTTGAACCGGTGTGCATATAGGGGGGTTAGTAAACAACACAACACAGCAGTGGTGGCTCGTGACACTGTGAATAGGCGAGGCCCATAGCTTTTTCACTGTGGGCAATAAAACAAAAGCGCGGCAGGCAAATTTTTTTAAATTTTCAAATGACTTAATGAATCTTAATTAGTTGCATTTAATATATTATCAAAAAACTGACGCTCACGAGAAGTATTTTCGGTCAGATTTTATAAAAAATATAAATATTTACGCAACTAATTGGTTATTTTATTAATCTACTCAAAATAATAAATAGGAATAAATTTCCACGTTACTAATGAGATATTATTTCTTGACTTGTTGACCATTTTTTATTATGGAGGTCTTCCTCAATAGCCCTACTAAAATATAAATTAAAAAATTAAATAACATCAGAATTTTAAAAATGTTATTTACAATAAAATAAAATTAATAGAAAAAAATTATATATTTAACTAATAATTAAAAAATTGTTCCTACTTGGTTTAACAATATTAAGAAATATGAAATAACATAAAAACAGATTTTCATAAGGTCAACTTATCTATTTACATTTAAAACAACACCGCCAGATTTTCGTTTGCCTCCACTTTTAAAAAAATATTTTAAAAACATTTACTTTTTATAAAACAGGTCTATTCGTTGGTCTTCTAAATTTGCAAATTTACCTATTATGTCTTCATAAAATTGGGGATGGGCACTAAGACTTTGCAGTAGTTCTTTTTCTATCGCCATTACCGATACATCGTTTAAGCATTCTTGTGTCATTGAATTTCTTAAGTAAGTCTTAATGCGCTTAAGACGCACAAAATTACTTTCTACCGAGACACTTGTTGCAGGAATTGTTAAAACTAGGCAAAACAATTTGTATGTTTCCAAAAACACCATTTTAAATTCCTTGTATAATATTTCTACCGTTTTTTGAACTTCTAAATTATGAAATTGTTCGTCTCTGTACAAAATATTAAGTTCGTTTTTTAACCTATCCGTCTCAAAAACGTTTGGATACATTTGTAATAAACATTCAAACGATTTTTCGGGAAATTTTTTTGAATATTCTGGAAATTTTGAGGAATCTACTAAAGCAAGAAAATTTAAATCATGTAAATTCCCAAAACGAGTACTTAATTGAAGGGAAATGGAATCTATAATTTCATAGTACAGCATTTTATAGCTGGAAAATATTTCTAATTCGTCGCAACTTTTGCCCCGTTTACTTGGTAGTCCAGTAATATATTTCGCATAATTAAAAATATTTTTAAATTCTTCTTCGTTTCTTAATTCAGAAATTTTTTGACTAGCGAATTTAATTTGTTTAGAGCAGTAGTTTACATCTAATTGTTTAGTCTGCAGAATTTGAAACAGTAAGTCTGTGCACCCGAAAATTTCGTAGTATATCTTGGTCAAAATAGCAAATTCAAAGTCTTGAAAGTTGTTTAAAAATCCTTTTGCCGCATTAATTGTTGCTGAACCTGAAGTTTTGTCTTTAATTATGGTTTCAAACACTAAAATTAAATTATCCCATTCATTGGCGACTAAACTTACAATCTTTGAACGTGTAAACCAGTGTGTGTCAACAGACCGTGGGATTCTTTTTCCAACTATTTTGTCAAGAACAAAAGCACGTTTTGGCGATTCATGAAAATAAGTCGGTATACTTAACAATGTAGAGAAAAAAATTCGGCTTTTATCGATATGATTAGCGCCTTGCTGTAAGACAAGGTTTAACTTATGTGCACAACAATGGGTAAATAAAGCTAAGGGGGCAGAAGATTTAATCTTTGTCTGAAGTCCATTTATTTCACTAGACATAACACTGGCGCCGTCATAGCATTGAGCCACTAACTTTTCCCTAAAATTGTATGGTTCCAAAATTGTCACTAACAATTCATATAGAACAGCTGCAGTTCGGTTTTCGCTAACATCGAAAAATCCTAAAAATCTTTCATGCAAACACCCATTTCTGACATATCGTAAGGTTACTGAACATTGCGAATTCTCAGTAATATCTGTTGTATCATCCACAATCACCCCCAAAAAAAAACACTCCTTATCAATTACTTCACTTTTAATAAAATCTGTTAAATATTCATGAATGCAAAAAATCAATTCGTTTTGTATTATTTTAGACTGCCCTGTAAAAATGTTGCTAAATTTTTCGAAATGTTGAGTAAGTTCCTGGTTTCGTTTAACTAAGCATTTAAGTATTTCTTTAAAATTTCCACCATTTGAGGACTCTACAGTTTCATTATGGCCCCGGAAAGCTGATTCTTGTTTGCCCAACGTAATAATCACATCAATGAAATAGCCAATTAATAATCGATTTTTGCGAACATTTTCATTGTATAAAATTTTATTCAAACTGGCGTTCTCCCTCAATGCATCTTCAATGGTTGCCCTATTTTGCTGTAATCGAATTAAAGCCAAAAAATTTTTAATGTGTTCTTTAGAACTTTCGTGCATTTTGGTACTACGACTAAAATTTTTTAAGTCTCTAAAACCATCTTTTGAACACCACGAATTTTTTGCATTACCCAATAAAATACATGGCCAACAGTACAAACTTTCTTTATATGAACTTCCACATAGCCATTGACAAATATCATACCAAGAAGATTGAAATGTTCGCGAACTTTCCCGACCTTTTCTTTTTTCATTAAAAATTGCCGTTATTTTTGGCGTTGGTCGACTATTTAAAATTTGTTGTTTTTCTACTTCACTACGTTTTGAAAAAGGCGTTTCAAGTAGAGATAAAACAATATCGTGAGACGGATTCATTATTACCTATGTCTATCGATAATATAATATCTATTATATATTATGTGATATTTAGTTTTACCTTATTTTATTGTAAGGAACTTGTTTTTTTTTTGTTTACTTTAAATTAATACCTGCTTTATAACCTTTGTGCACTCACACTGACATTATACATTTAGACAGTAAGGCGCACAAAACATATGTAAGACGGGAGATGGGTATAACCACAAAGGGTATAACCGCGAAACTGCAGTGTACAACAGGATAGCCAACTATTTAAATATAAAAGTACTAAAGTGGTATGGATTCAGTAGGAAGTAGGAACTAGGAAGTAATGATACAAAATTATTTTAATTACATTTTTATTAAAAAAAAAAAAAAAATCGAGGGAATATACTCAAAACATTTATGGTCATTCAAAACTCCTTCCTTAATAATAAAGAGTTAATTGTACTGGTAAATAATCTATTTCTATTTTTCGTTTTTATATTGTTTAATCGAGAGTAAATTGTCTCTGCACCAACAAACACTACTCTGAGGCAGACTAATTATATCCATGACCATGACAAAATACTAATAGACAAATATTTTCATTGCTCCATTTTTCATATCGAGTAATTTGAACCAAAAAGGTTCGAAGTCAAACGTTTGTAACTCGCCTTTGACTGATTCTCGCAAATTAGAAATCTCTCTGAACCACCACCGTATCAGCCCAGATTATTAATCTGGGCCATATTAAAAATCCTAAAAAATCACTGATTTCAGCAATTTTTTACATTAGGTCTGTTCCAACAAGAGTCAGGGATTGGTTCCGAACCGTTTGAAATGTTTGGCCAGCTAAGTTTTAAATGTGTCTTCAATGAATATATCGCAAGAATTAGTTGGATGCACATTTCTGACGGTTCGGAACCAATCCCTGACTCTTGTTGGAACAGACCTATTGAGGCCCGGCCTCACCTGTTTCAAATGACGAGCCCCCACTGCGACTGGTTTGATTTTTCTCGCTCGGTGATCTTACACACACCGAAACGTTACCTCGAATTAGTGGTTCCTCTCGTAGTCCTAAAATATGTCAGGATAAAGAGGGATAATCCCCCTCGATCCCAAATCATTGAGTCCAATTTCTAGCCATGGAATAATGGCGCGCGTCCTAAAATAAATGAGAATTTATTTACTAATAGTTCGTTCATATCAGAATATTTAAATAGAAGAAGACGAGAAGTAGTCGGAGTAGTGACAGAAGAGTCAGAAGATAGAAGTGACAGATGACAGACGTTAAGTCAATGTCTGGTAGACGTAAACAACAAAATGACAACAAATATAGTTTTATTATAGTTTGTAGTAGATATGAAAGAATAAATAGTCTCCAAGTTTTAAAAATCTTAATAGTGTAAAATAAAGTGTTTATTTTAATATTCAATATAACCAAATCACAACCAAAATGGAAACTGAGAAAGTGACAATGTTGAGATATAGAGGTTCGAAATTAAGTAAAGTTAAGAAACTAGACATTTTTCCGAAAGTTGACGAAACTTTTAAAGAAACTTCTTCAGTTGGTGGTACATGTATGTATCCACAAATGTATAACTATTCTGTTAAGCTATATTTGCTTTTTTTTTTTTAGTTTCAATAATAAGTTTTTTGATAATAATTGTTTTGGTATATTCAGAAGTTAACTACTACTTGAATAGCAAATTCATGTTTAAATTCTCACCTGATATACATTTTGATGAAAAACTCAAAATAAACGTTGACATCACTATCGCTATGCCTTGTCACAGTGAGTATGAAATTGCCATGTTTAACATTTGTTTTATATTGTTCGAACCTTTTAGATGTAGGTGCAGATATATTGGATTCCACAAACCAAAATGCCTTCAAATTTGGAAGTTTAGAGGAGGAAGACACTTGGTTTGAGTTAGCTCATAACCAACAGATCCATTTTGACAACAAAAGACATTTCAATTCGTATCTTAGGGAAGAATATCATGCAGTAAAAGTAAGAATACAATTATTACTAAATTAAAATAAAATATTTGAAACATTTACAGGATCTGTTATGGCGCAGCAGTTTTTCCACCCACTTTGGCGAACTGCCGCCCAGAAATCACAATCCAGATAGGCCGTATGATGCCTGTAGGATATTCGGATCGCTTATACTGAATAAAGTAGCCGGTAATTTCCACATCACCGCAGGAAAGAGTTTAAATTTGCCTAGAGGTCATGTCCATATAAGTGCTTTCATGACCGAAAGGGACTATAATTTTACTCACCGGATAAACAAATTTAGTTTTGGAGATCCGAGCCCCGGTATTGTACATCCCTTGGAAGGAGATGAAGTTATCAGTCGTGATGGTAAGCTACAAAAATAATTTTTTTAATATATATTACGCTTAATGTTTATTCCTCTATAATTTTACAGAATTCTTTATTTTTAGGTATGACTTTGTTTAACTATTTTATTGAAGTTGTCCCCACGAATATAAATACCTTTCTCACCGCCGTTAACACTTATCAGTATAGTGTAAAAGCACTCAGTCGGCCAATAAATCATGACAAGGGCAGTCATGGGATGCCAGGCCTGTTTTTTAAGTACGATGTGTCTGCTCTTCGAGTCACTGTTAGGCAGGAAAGGGACCATCTTGGCGTGTTCCTTGCTAGGCTGTGTTCTATTATAGGGGGAATTTACGTTTGTTCAGGTATTATTATTTTTATCTTAATTTTAAAATGCATGAATACACTTGTTACCTGATTAATCTTAGTTTTCTAAACAACCAAAATCAAAATCTTAATAAGAGGTAAAAAAATAGAAAAAAACGGTCTACTTGAAAAAAATATTCTAAAACCATTAGCACTAGAATCCCCCTTTCCTCCGTTCATGCTTTGATATTTTAAACCAAAAATTACACAGAAATTAAGTTGATTTAAGGTTAAGGGTTTTGCATACAGTGTATATCGTATAAACGCTTTGCGATTTGAATTTTTTTATTCAAATTTTTGTAGGTATATTAAATAGTATGGTGCAATTTATCCTAGATCTGATTATGTGCAATTGGGGAAATAAGGCTTTGGAAAAAGGGAATGTTCACTTAGCAAGTGAAAAACCTCCATTAAATAATGTACCTGTACCGGTGTCGTAGTGATTACTATTCACCGCTGCGCCACTATAAAACATCACAATAAAATAATTTTATCTTTTTTAACAGTTTTTAAATATGTCAAAGAAACCTTCACATTATCCTTTCTGATTTGAGATGTTCGTAGAGAAATTATTACATCAAATTACGTTAAATAGTTTATTGTAATATATGTATAATGTATCAATACATTCAATATTACAGTCTTGTATATTAACCCAGAAACGTTTAGGTTCGTTGCCTTTGAACTTAAATCCGAGACCGTTATAACACTCTCGGGAATGCTCACTTGGACAGTAGTCATCATTTCCTCTTCTAACTCTGAAACAAAAGCTTTTGTACAATTATTTTATTACAACAGTTTTCTTACCTGCTCCGGCTGTTGCGAATCTTAAAATCGGCGACGGTTTCGACCACCCGTACCGATTCCTAGACACGAGAAGGGCCTCGTAAACGGTTCTTTCTCGAAGCCCTCGGATGGTGTAAGATTTGGAGTAGACCGGGCCCGAACTGTGTTCGGTGGGAATAGTCAGTTTCGTCCAATTGGGCCGATTTATCCCACTCCTCGGTTTGTAGGGTCTGAACCACAAGCTGTACTCTATGATCGGAGTGTAGCTGTCGACCTCCCAAATCAAGGTGTACCAGTCTCTGGCGTGTATGTTTTTCTCGTCGGTTTTTTTGAACACCCCGGGATTTGGCACTCCTAAAAAATGGCGAATGATGAAATTTTTTATTCGATTTGAAAGCTGTTAAGCAAATTCAAACAAATTCAAAATTTTTTTCTAAAAAATCTTATCGAGTGAAGTTAAACAGTGTTTTTCGATACCAAAAATGTACGAGTGCGAGACATAACATTTTAAAAGCTGCAGAAATTTTTACTTCAGCTTCAAAACTGCATTTCACCTGAAAGTTGTATGTGTAGCTCTCCTTGTCCCAGTTCGTTAATAGCCCTGCAAGTGTATATCCCGAAATCGCTCCTTTGTACGTTTCTTATCAATAAAGTGTATTTATCTCCATCTACCAAGGAAATTACCCTGTTGTCTAGGGGAACCGGTACTTCCCCTTTTAGCCAGGTCACGGTAGCTTGCGGATCCGCAGATATTTTGCAGTCCATTTGAACCCTGAGCCCCGGAGCAGTGTGGATCCACGAACGCAGAGTTGTTAATTCGGGGGGATCTGAATAAAAATTAAATAACATTTTAGTTCCATAGATTCTGCTCCAACACAAAATAATTGAAACAAACGATCCTGGCTATTGCTTACATATTATACTGAGTTGGATCTGCGCTCTTGCTGGTTCACCGACTCCATTATTAGCGATGCATTCGTATATTCCTGCGAGATATCTGTCAGATGCTGCGAATTTTAACACTTCTCGGTGATCCAGCAACTTTAGCTCTTCACCCTAAACAAGAAAAAATATGTCTTGAGATTGTCCGTCAGTCATTTTAGATTTTAAATTCTATTTCATTCACAAAACGGTTACCTTACTTGCCCACGAGATTATGGGGTAAGGAACTCCGCTTCCTTTGCAAGACATTCGGACGTCCTCTCCAAGCTTGACTTGAAGGAACCCCGTAGACGGAAAGGGTTCGACTGATGGAGAATCTATAAAAAAAAATACTACTTTTAAATTGCACAATTTTTTAAGGGATGGGTGTAAAATACTATAATAGTTTGACTTTCTTACGTAACACCTCTATGGCGTGCCTTTGCTTGACGGTACCCCAAGGCTCGGGTCTTTCGATTTCGCACGTGTACTCCCCTGTGTCAACCGGTTCGACCGTGTTTATTTCCAGGGACCCGTTCGCCCATAAAGTATGCCTCTCAGGAAGTATCATTGTCTCATTTTCACTGTCCGCCAAAAGATAATCGTCTTTGTACCATCGAACCGCTTTGGCGTAAGCCCCATCTTGAAAATGTAAAAAGAAATGGTTGTGGATAAAGGTTGCATTACTTTATTTTGAATTTTAAGGCAATAATAATGTCCTGTAATGTGATTGTAGATCTACAGAAATGTTAAAGGGGGATTATATAAAAGCATTCTAAATTTTAATTTGAATGTAAATGTAATGGAATGACGTTCGACCCGATTAACCTAATGATAATTAAATAACAAGCCGGCAAATAAAAGAAGTCACAAAATTTATGACCTCAAGTTGAAAGAACTTAAGTACATTAAGGGTATTGTAGTTTAAGTTAAGGTGCTGAAGTCATCACATTTATCTTTTACTTTATTTTAAAAAAATTGAAACGTATACATAACTTTTTCTTTAAATTAAAAAAAAAATTCTGTCCTTAATTTATTTAGTCAAATTATGAAATAATTTTAATTTTAAATAAATATCACAAAGCAGACACTATATAAAGTTGGATTCTATTATTGAGTTTCCCTAAAAGTGGTAGCCCTCCCAGTACATAAATATTAGTGACAATAAAAATAAAGTATTATGGTATCCTAACCTAATTTTTAACTCAAATATGAAAAAATTCTTGATTCTATCTAGAAAATTCTGCTCTGTATAATCCATTTTTTCAATATTATTACAATTAATTAAAACGTTGCTAAGTTACAATAAGTTTAATCTTGTTAAATATAATATAAATATACAGTATGTTTGAAAAAAATACTACTAAAATACTAAAATAGACAATTCCTGTAGTTCAGAGGGCCTTTCGATTTGGCAAAAATAATAGCTATTAGCTGCTAATAGCAACTTAGAGTTACTCTGAACTGATATTAGTTGCTAATAATGCTAATAGGTACAATTTTTGCCAAAACGAAAGCCCCCCAGTAATCAGTTGCCGTTCTACAGTGTTTATATTCTGTGATAGAGATGGCTTTGATTGGTCCATTTCTATTGACCAATCAGAAGCAGGTGGTTTCTATTTTACCTACCTAACCTACCGCGCGTTTCTACCGGTGTAATGGCGATTTTGTTTAAATTACTTTAATTTGATTCTATTTTAAGAAAACTGGAAAAAACTGTTAGTTACATAGCGTTTATAAAATGCGCGTTTGTTAAAGTGCGAAGTGATAATTTATAATTGTAGAAGATAGTGATATATGCAGTGGCGGCGTCTTAAATATTTTCTCTCTCATGCTTCAAAATCTTCAAGATAATAGTAGGTTTATAGCCCTAAGTTAGCCCAGTCTTTGCCTTAGATGTTAAAACGTATAAATTTGTATGTGTAGTTTTATAAAAGTCCTAACTTAATCCTAATGAAGTCTTAAGATCTGACTCTAATCTGAAGGTTCCCATCTTTTTAACTATTAGGACTAACGCCGTTTTTTCACCTATTGCTAAATTTACCTACCAGTTAAATCTACATCTATCTCAAAAATCGCATCATATTTTTATTACCTTATAAACCAAACCAAAAATATTAGGGTTAAGACTAAGACTAGCATAAATTTAGGACTGAGGTTAAATCCTTTTATAAACTTACTATGAGTGATCCTAAACTAAAAATCCCAAAAAAGGTGGGTGCTTATTCTTCTTTTTTATACTTTTACGACGAGGTAGATATATCTATAGATTTATACCAATATAGTGATTATAGATTAAGTTTTTGTCATACATTATACCACACATTTTCTATATCTGTAAGTCGGACATATTTTTATATTTTAGTGTTTATATGACAAGTTAGGTACCTAAAATTTGCGGTCAACTTAGAAGGTTCCACATTTTCTACAACTGTTTAGATATGAAGTAAAATATGTAAAGAATTCTCGCGATCTAGATTTTTTTTTATGTTCGTGCCCACTATCAACTAAATCAAAATACCCGTCAAAGGTGACGCGACTAGCTTCTTCAGTAGGTACATGATAAAAAATAAAGGATCACGCGCTATTCCAGCTTGTCTTTTTATATAGTTGAAAAAAATAGATCCAACTAATAGGATAAAACTTTTCATAATAATTAATTAGTATTTAGCGAATTTTTGTTCTTTGCAACATTCATTTAAAACGGCCTTAAAAAAAGAACTAAAGGGAATTTTTCGCTCACCATTGGACAGGGTGTTGAGGTAGCAGGGCAACAGCACGGTGTTGTTCTCGGTGGCCTTCACGGTCGTAGGGTGGCTGACGAAGTCGTGGACTTCCACTCCCCGACAGGAACTAATCACAAATATTAACAGCGACCCGGTGTACGCGTAACTCCCTGTCCGGCACATACTTGTCGACGTCGTTTCGAGAGAGGGACTAGCTGGGAGTACCACTTGTGTGTGGTGATTACTATACGCCGGCTACTTCCCATTAAGTAGTGGACAATTACTTAAGGTGACTAGATTCCGAGATCTGGACCGAGTGACTAGAATTCGGTAAAACTACGAAATGAGTTTCAGAATTGGATAAACTTACAACTTGAATTCGGACGGCTAAAACAAAAAATAAAATGCTATTTGGAGAAAATATCGCTTTTCTATAATAATAATAACTTATCTAATTAGAAGCAAATGAATTTATATAAACTTTCTAAATTTAAAAACGAATTCGTAATCGGTATAAAATTCTGCATATCTTTGCTTATTTAACCATTTTTGTATCTCTTAAAATAAGAAAGATACCTGTATTGGACCATTAAAAAGTTGTAACCCTGTACATACAGGGTGGCCCCAAGGTAATGGGCCAAAATTCATGGGTAGATTCCCTCAGCAAAAATATTGCGATTTAGCCGAACTTACCTTAGTTCAAAAGTTGATAGTTAAAGAGATACAGGATGTTAAATGTAAAATATTATTTTAGTTTATTTCCATTTATTTCTTAATAAATGCAAATATCTACAAAACATTTTGGGGTTTGGGGTTCTTTGGATAGAGGAATTGAAATTTATTCACAGTTTGGTTATAGTTCATAGAGGGCGCCAGCTGCCGTAGATTGAAGGTGTTGGAAACGACCTAACTTTTTTGTACTTAACGGTGTCTCATCTTTGGTATCAAATTCTTATTTTCCAACTTTTTTTACACAAAAAGGTAGACTTCATGAAAGTAGCTGTATCGCACTGTTTCCGAGATATTTGGCTTTGAAACTTCCAATGCTAATAGTTGAAATAATTAAAATAATTTATAAATGTCAAAAACAAGGGTTTATTTAGAATTAAATATTGTAATGCACAGTAAAATAGTAAACATTAGTAAAAAGTATGCCTTTTTGACAATAATTGCTCAAAATGTCCACCTTTAACTTCAATACATTTATCAACACGTTTATTAAAAGATTGTCTTATTTTAAAGTATAAATCCTTAATGCGAAATGACTTTGCAGCATTTAAAACCTGCTACTAAAGTTCTTCTCGAGTGTTTATAGTTTCTCCATAAACAACTGATTTCATGTAACTCCAAAAACGAAAACCTCAACATTCTATCACATTTATGTATACGAGTATACAATTTAATTTGTAAGTTACTTAAGATGTAATTTTAATTAGATACGAATAATACTTAATAGAAATTAGCATACAAATGACAGCAATAAGACAAGTGAAAGACGTCAATTATTTGATTTTCGTCCAAATCCTACTTAATGAACTTTACGGCTAAATTAATAATACCTGTAGCCTGTAGGTACTTAATTGTAATTTAATGCAACAGCATTGGAAGTTTCAAAGCCAAATATCTCGAAAACGGTGCGATATAGCTACTTTAATAAAGTATACCTTTTTTTGTGCAAAAAAGTTGAAAAATAAGAATTTTTTACCAAAGATGAGATACTTTAAAGTACAAAAAAGTTATGTCGTTTTTAACACATTCAATCTACTGCAGCTAGCGCCCTCTATGAACTTTAACCAAAATGTGCACAGATTTCAATTCCTCTACTCAAAGAACTCCAATCCCCAAAATTTTGTGAGGATATTTGCATTTGTTAAGGAATAAATTAAAAAAACTGAAATAATATTTTACATTTAACACCCTGTATCTCTTTAACTATCAACTTTTGGACTAAGGTAAGGTCGGCTAAATCGCAATATTTTTACTTGGGGAATCTACCCATGAATTTTGGCCCTTTACCTCGGGACCACCCTGTATATATGAGCTAGATAAATTTTAATTAATTAATAAATATTAATTTAATTTTAATCATTCTACGTCAAGCATCTTTAGAGATATTTAAAAAAGCGTTATCTTTTCATTAACAGACTTTTTTTAAATATTTTGGCCACCCGAACTTTGAGTTTGTCCAGTTAAGACTGAAACACCCTGTATACTATTCTGATACGCAGACAAACAATAATAGAGTAATACAGAGTAATAGAGATAGTCAAACTTGGTACAACTTCTTGCAGAAATAACTGGGAAATCATTTTTGAATTTACCAATTAGATAGTCAAAAAGAAGCTATTGAAGAACCAAGAGGTTGACAGTATGTACCAGGTTCGATCGCTGACGCAGTAACTCGGTGTTGAAATATTTGAAAAACTTGTTCCCATATTTATTTAGCCATACCCTTATACAGGTCTGGTCGAACTAAACGTGGAGGTGGTAGAAATGTATACGCCCAGTTGAAAAATGCGAGCGCGGGCAAACGAAATACGAACACAGCTGCATTGGGCCACTGGGCAATAAATCTCAGCTGTTGACAACTGGTTGATAAATTGCCCAGCAGTGCAGTGCAGCAATGCGGAATTCGGTGTGATTCAGGTAATTTTAATTTATTATAGGCACCTTCCATTAATCATTGATATTACAATTGCGAGGGAGAAATAATATTATTATAACATGGCATTTTGGAGACCTTTTCGAACGGAACAAAACGAAATTTACCATCAATATAATAAAATTGTTTGAGGACATAAATAATTAAAATATGTTGTTGGCCAAATGAACATATAATAATATTTTAAGCTTCACTTAACCATAAACTATGTACCTAAAGTCAGACAACAACTAGGATATTTTTATTTGGTTCAACTTCAAACATCGGCCTCTTAGAGGGCCTAATCTGTCCTCTCACGGGCCTTTTCAAAGTGTTACGAGTACATTGTTGGTCATTCAATCATCCTGATGAGTTAATTCAATTATTTGCTCTGGCTGCCGTGCCGGGGTACCTCTATTTGCTCCTGATTTATGACTGTTAATATATTTTAATTGGCCGGTTGGAAAGTTTGAGTTTGGGATGCGTGTAGTAATTGTGAAAAATAGAAACAAGGGTAGATCATCTCAGTGGCAAAAATGAAACGAAATTTCTACCATTTAATAATAAAAGAGGCGAAAGCAGTGAACTGAGGCGAGATCTTGGTTAATTACAGCTTTGTGTGTGAAAAGACGGCTGTATTTTTAATTGTCACACTTACCCGTACAAATTTGAAGTAATTATTCAATTTGCTCCTCCCAAGCGAGTGCTTCTCTACAGAAATATAGCGTTACAGTCTCGAATTCCGTCCAATTTAGGTCTTGCTCAATTATCCCTATTAAAGTGGAAAAAAATCGACCTTTAATTAGTGTTACTCATCTTCAGAATTGCACTTCGCCAAGGCCTTTTATTGCTTAATAGAACAGAAATAGTTATTATTAATGAAGACGCGGATAGATATTCTTAGTTTGTCATTAAATTGTTGAATCAGAATCTGCATTTCCACTAATGACGAACACAATTGCTTTATTTTGTACCCTACAAGTTTTTCCAAAAGATATCATTTTTTTTAATACAGCGGCTACAGACTGTTTGGTTTTGCAGGCTTGTGACAATAATTTAACAGTTTCGGTTCGAATTTCTTCGTTTCGAGAGACATACCGTTTTCTTCTTCAAGAGAAACTTTAAGATTCTCTTTTATAAGGCTCGTCGATTGTAACTTTCTTTGGAAACCTTTTAAATTCTAATTTGTGTTAATTTATGAAAAGAAAAAATGGTATAACTCTAATTTAAAAGTATCTTAAGAAGGATACGACAAGACGACATTGCCGTATCCAATTACATATCTTCTCAATTGGGTTACAATAAGATATTGAATTAAACTTGTTATTTCATTGTGGTCGAGTTCTGAAAGGACCTTATTTGAGTTGACACAACATAAATAAATCTAGATTACCCGCATGACTTACTATTATAGGGTCGAGAAATAATATGCTGAAGAAAGTGAAGTTTTGTTAACAGTTGTAGAAAGCTCAGCACGTACATAATATATTCATATATTTCGTAAAAACAACCTGCTATAAATAGTAAGTAAAGATACTGGTTAAATTTAGACAAATGTTTTGTAAACTAACTATTATCAGAGAACAGATAAGTACTCTGCTATTATTATGTATGATGCTGATGCTTCATGTTATCGTTAATAAGGTTAAATGCCTTCAACACGTGTTACACGATTGGTGTATATGTGGTTGCATAACAGACTTCATTGATAAAATTGTATTAGACGCTATGATGTCGAGGTTCTTTCGCACTAGTCATAGAATTTTGAACACATATTAATTAATTTCTATTATAAAAAAGATATATATTTAAATTACACCATTATCTAGTAAGTAGTGGGAATAAACTGCATCTAATCTTCAAGATGCAATATACCGTACTTTTGAAAAATATCTTATCTGCTTTGATAAAGTTCAGGTCATGCACCTTTTTGTGTAAGCAAGTATTCTACTGCAGTCTGCGAGCTTTAACCGTATTTTTTATATTAAAAATTATAAAATTAAATAATGGTTTATACACCTATAAATCGGAACACACTGTATGTTATATCTCTCTGGCACAAATAAAAAAAATGTTGCGCGTTTAGGCCTTTTTTGCATTTTTCGGTCAAAATTTAGTATACACCCTGTGCGATACGTTATTGGGCAAAACGAATAAGTGCCACAGATCTTACAAAGGCCTGTAATGTTTTACATAAGCTTGCAAAAGTGTTAAATTATATGATTATAAATAAATCTTATGTATGTATTAAATGTGTTCGGCAGGCATCTTACTTACGTCTTGATTTTTGTTCATGGATTAATACAAGCAGTAGTAGGCTTGTCGAGAGTAATTAATTTCGAAAAAAAAGCAACCGTGCCTTCGTTTGGTTCGCTGCCTGTCAGTGAGACTCTATTAGATACTATTGGATAGCAGCTGACAATGAATTAGAGATAAGGGTTACCTGTGTCTATTTAATGCTAATTGATGGGCAATGATGACGTCCCAGGTCTTATTGAAATAAAATTTTTGTTTGATTTGCTTCATCTAGGATAAAATATTATTTATAACAGTTTCA